AATCCTTAAATAGAACAAGGACGGATCAATCGGCTATAATAGATAAATCCTCGCAGTAACTATTAAACTCGAGAACGATAAGCTATTAAAATAGCTCCGAGAAACTACTACCAACGACCAAGCAATACAAGATTTACTTAAGGATTCAGCGGAAAACGACAAATTAACAATAGATAAAACCAGACTCGTATATATATATAGATTAATATATATTCCAATATCACTACAAGAAGAAGTTATCAAACGTCACCACGATATACCTATATATAGGTATATAGGAACCAAAAAAACTATAGAATAGATCTCACGTAATTTCTACTTTCCGAATATAAAACAAAAAATCATATACTACACTCGATAATACAATATATATTAACGAAATAAACCAGCAAAACACACGTAATATAGAAGATTGCAATCCGCAGAAACCCCTATAAGACCTTAGGAATAGATCACCATAGACTTTATCACGAAGCTACCAGACTCGGATAAATATAATATAATTATAGTTATAGTCGACAGACTAACCAAATATACTTATATAATCCTAACGACTAAACGGATCAGCGCGACCTAAATAGCGAATATACTACTTCGCTATATCTTCGCGAACCATAACACACCAAACAAAATCACATCTAACAGAGATAAGCTATTCATATTAAATATATAGTAATCATTCACGGACCTTATAGATATTAAGCATAGACTCTCTACCGTATACCACCTATAGACCAACAGACAGACAGAAAGGGTCAACCAAACCCTCGAGTAATACCTAAGATACCACATTAACTATCAACAGAATAACTAGGCAGGATTGCTACCAATAGCACAACTCGTATATAATAACGCAATAAACTCAACAACCAACGAGACACCATTTTTCACAAATTACAGATATAATCCCATAATCATCGGCGAACCAATCGGCAAACAGACAATCGCAGAATCAGCCAACCTTTTAGCTATAGGACTCAAGCAGCTATACTTACAGCTATCTAGAGATATCGAATTTATCAACCTCTATATAAAAAAATATTATAACCGACGCTACTAGAAGGGACCTAACCTAAAAAAAGAGGAGAAAGTATATCTCCTACGTCGAAACATTAAGACTAAACGACCTAGTAACAAACTCGATCACTTAAGAATTAGACCATTCACTATTAAAGGAAAAAGGGGACTAATTATATATCTCTTAGATCTACCTAACAACATACGACGCATCCATCCAGTCTTTTATATCTCGTTACTCGAACCCGTACCAGAAAACGCCGAACTCATTACCAACGTAGAGATCGAGGAAGAAACTAAAGACAAATATAAAATCGAAAAAATTCTAGACAATAAACACATCAGTAACAAGCCTTACTATCTTATTAAATAGAAGGGGTATAATACCTCTAAAAATATATAGGAACCTATTAAACACCTAACAGGTTACTCCCAACTAGTTCGATAACTCCACTAGTATCGATAATCGCGGAGTTAACACTCGTCTAGAACTCAGGGGGTATCCAATCAATCTCCGCCAGAATCTAATCAAAATTCGGATTCTTAGTAATAAACGATAACTACTAAATATCGAGAGTAGAAAGGGAAACCTACTCTAGAGATAATTTCTTTATATCTAAAATTACCAACAATTCTATATTATATTCTAATATTTTAAACCCGCGTTATTCCAAGAATTTTTATTATTTCCGTAATCGGGCATAACGAGCTAAGGTCTCAGCAATTTTACTCTACACCTCCAATAGACGAGCCTATAATTAATTTAACTCCGGCTCTAATAAATCTAACTCGTTATTAACGGCCGATAAATCCGTTATTATTTTCTTCTTTATTTACTAAAACAAAGACTACTCCTTTTTAGTATAGAAATCACGTTTATATAAGTAACCCTACCGCGTACATAACACGTATTTTGAATATCTTCGGGTTCGATCCATCACATACTCTTTACTAGAATCGCGATAACTCTCGTAAAGAACCGAAGGGACAAAACCGAATCGTTAAATATATTCCGTTTAATACTCGTAACTAGCACCTCGACTTCGAGATACCTTAGGAACGCTTTCTAGGACAACGTTAGCTTTACGCTTCGCGGGTATAACGCGATAGAAGAAGAAAAAAGCACTTACTAAAAAAAGAGATTCGAAGATAACCAGACAGCGTAAGCCTACTTATATTTTCAAGGACGAAAACCCACGAGAGGGGAAGGTGATATTACGGACCAGCCACGTTAACGCCTTAGCGTCCTATAGAATAGGAACATTAGAGCCAACCGATTTATACTAACAGAGATATTAGCGTCACGTAACCAAGAAATAATAGAACGATCAACGATAGCATAGTCACTAACAGCTACTATACTACCATCTACCAAGATACCGACAGAAAGAGAAGGATATATAAGGACGCTCATTTACCATATATCTAGCTCTTCGCGTTTAACTCATATTATCAACCTCAGTTATAAGTTTAACTCAGATTGTCTCGTTTACACTATAATCCTCTCAAGACAACCCCTCTAGTAGTGAAGCACCCTCGGTACTTCTATCACTAAGCACCCCTTACCTTGACCGTTCCTCGATACCTCAACAGACCCGAGCCTATATAAGGCCTGACTAACAAGGCAACAGTACGGTTGCGAGGCCAGATATCGTTGATACTAGGAGACCCTTGGCCTTCTAGTATAACTAGAAAGACCCCTGTGTCTTGGTATCTTGAGAGAAGTATACCTTCAGGTTCCAGCTAACATTCATAGGTGACCAGTGCGTAACATAAATATTCGTTAGAAAAGATTAGATTCTCCTAATCTGAAAAACTCACCTATTCACGTATAAAAACACGTCTTTTTTATATAACCGACTTTAATAAAGGTATTTATTTCTTACTCTTCTATTTTTAAAGCCTGTAGCCTTTTAAAACGCGTCGAATTATTAATCAAGAGAGTAAATAGGGAGTATTCACTCTAAAGGCTCTATAACTTATTCGCGGGTTCCGATAGGCTATCCGATAGATATATCGAATAGTCTAATTACTAATCTTAGAAGATCTACTACTTCTAGACAATAATTTAAGAGTATAGTATTACTAAAAGCGATCGCGAGTCCGGTAAATTATAGTACGGCTAAGATTTAAATCGTAAGCGATTTTAGTAGGATTTAAGCTATTTTCGAGAGCAAAAATAATCGCTACGCGAGTAGATTCTGATAATTTATTGTTTTACCTATAATTTGCACTAATTTCAGTACTAAAATATCGCATATTCGTTGTGGTAGAGAGAAAAGAAAAAAGGGGTTAGAATATGGATTTTACTAAAGTGGGGTGCTATACAGTGGGTGACCACCAGCGAATCCTGGCTGTTGTATGTTTTTCTTTTTTTATTTTTCATACCTGTTTATTGGTAGTATATAATCAATAGCCCTCATTTTCTACAGAAAAAAAGAAAAAGAATATTCTTAGGTTCTTTAATGACTGTTAGATGAATTAATTATTCGATTTATTACTGAGCCATAAGACTTAACATAGGGTGGAGCTATATAGATGGTTGGTCTCAAATATATATCTGGAGTAGACATTGCTATTTCATTCACAAAATTTTGGTTGGACTGTCTAGTTTCAATTATCCGAGAAACTCTACTACTCTCCGTAAACCAGAAAAGAAATATCAGTAAAAATAAACGTACTAAACATACTAAATTAGGCTGGCCGCATGCGGGTTGTGGGTGATAACCTCGGGTAGGTGCATGCGACTCCAGGAATTTGCAGACCCTAATCTGGGATAAGCACTAACAAAGAGTTAAAGTTGAAGATTGAAGGTATCAAAGTATGACTTGAATTATGTCTACATCGTTCTTTTACATTTTATGCCTGAACCCAGCACAGTCAACAGATAAATGTGTCGTTCCTCCTACCGGGCTAGACCAGTAGTAGATGCAAAGTAACACAGGAACACAAAGTACCACAGTGTCAATAGTCGACAGACAAGCGTATACAAGGCTCAATATGTCCAAATAAATAGAGCGACAATAGATGCCGAAGTTAATGATCCGTAACTAAACAAACCGCTCTGTACAATGTTCCAAAGACACCGACCACAGTCAAGATAGACTCGAGCCCTAATTGAAATGAGGCGCCAGTTGCCCTACCTGCTGAGCGACCTTACAGAGCAGGTTACATCCCATAGGCTGTATCCAGGCCAGGGTGGGATCCTCACATTGAAGTGGACGAGGAGACCGCCGAACGCAGCCTCTGGAAGGGATGGGCGAACAAGGCACTTCAATGATCGACCAAGGGAACGGACATGCCACTGAGCAATGTGCCAATCAAAGCACTCTTTTTGCTGCAGGGAAAGACAATCCCTTCCACGAAGGGAGCCGGGAATGCTGCATCGAGTGGTACGAGATTGCCAATCTAGGGATGAGAGCAAAATCGTAGCAAGCGGCCTTGCATCTCGTCCCCCTCCAGTGAGAAAAAAAACATTTCTCGGAGAGAACTCCCCCTCTCTCTTTCGAATGTAGGGCAATTGGATTTTCATTCACCCCAAAAATCCCCCAGTGACCTGGGCGTGTGGAGTGACTGCCGAGAAATAATCAGCACTGGAATTATCAGGAAGCCACCGGGTTCAAGTCCTTTCCTAACATCAAAAACTCCCCGGGCACCAACATTTGCCCATCCAGTGCAGCTTTTTTTTTTCCTCTTCTTATATTGGTTATCGTGCTTCTCGCGCAGTCACCCGAGTGATGAGATTGCCGCGGTCCGCCTGGACTTGGAGCGCATTCCAGGTTGACACGGCATTGTTTATGTATGGAGGTGTCGCTACTGTGGCCATCCCCGTCGAAGCAATCACCTCACGACCTCCCAAGCCCAAGCCTACCCCCGACGAGACCAAATCCAAGCGTCGGAGTTTAAGAAGATCTCTCTCCAAGATCTTCTGATTCCCGGGAGTCACCATCCCCGATCGACCACCCAGTTTCTTTTTCCCGGCCATGAGTTTGCATGGGCTCGGTGTAATTGGGGCCCAGGTGGCCGCATCCATCAAGAGCAACGACGAGAAACATCCTTCTACCCCTCGATGTCCATCGCCCGTGCGCTCCACTCATTCAAGTCCCTGTCTCAACGATGCCCACCCACAAGACTTTGACCCGCACGTCGGCGCCAAACCTTCCTCTCCCTTCTATCGCCATGGTTCCCCGACCATCTCCTTCGAGCAACTGGCTTTCTCAACAAAGATGTCGAGCCGCAACCACAGTCAACTGCGAGACCTCGAGAACGCGGGCCCGTACTCGGCACTGCAAACCGACAGCCCTCGACGATCGAAGCTGTGGGAGGAAGAGAACCAGCCGCGGACATGGTTGCAGTCATTGAGCACCCGTCAAAAGATGGGACTGAAAGTGATCGTGGCCGTGGTGACGGTAGGAACCATGATTGCCATCGCATTGGGGATTACTGCAGCGGTGGGAGGTGCAGCCTGGAGATCCGACTCCCAGCACACGGCTGTCGGAGGGTGATGGGTAAGTGGTGGCCAGCCACCAGGATGAAATAGACTTGACGCTGACTGTCTACGATCTTGATCATAGTGCATTTGGACCCGGTTGAACATCACTGGGTCGGCCACTCATTTTCACAAGCATGGACCACGCTTGGCCCTGAGTTTATACATTTTTTTTTTGTTTTGGCACACATCAGGGACGGAGTTTGGGCGCAACCATTTGATATTCCTAGTTCAATCTGAAAAAAAGACAGTTCCACCGTCTGGACGCAGTAATCATTGCAACCAGTGGACAAACTGGCTGGATCTGTTGTATATTCCGGTAAATGATGCTGGCCGGTAGTTCCCCTGGTGATGTCGAGTGTATTCTCGTAACGCGCCAGTCCAGTGTGGGGCCGCGGGAACAACGATATCCCGTCCACGTGACCGCACCTACAAAACGCGCAAAATCGATCACAGCAAATTCTTCTTTCTTCATCATCGAAAAGCTAACAGAACCCGCCACGACCATCGTCCCGAATCCACGGCGATGTGTTGCCTTCGGGCCTACGGGTCCGATTGGTTCTGGAGATCAATGATCCTCGATAGGAAGTTCGCCTCCCGTTGGGTCCTCTTCAGTGAGGGCGATGGGGGGAGAATGTCGAAGACGGGATACATTCCCTCTCCTGTAAGCACTCTGGTGCAGAGTAGCAACCCACCGTGGAGTAGTTCGAGCGGTGTATTTATGTTGTGCAGTCGCTGGCAGTACACAGGTCCTCTTGGGCTATTGTGACTTGCCAGACCGGCATCCTGCCTGACTGACATCAGTTGGCATGCCTATGGAGAGCCCCACGGCGTTTCACACATCTCTCGATGAATGAGATCAATTGCCATTAGCCCTTTGTGGATCGTCCATATTTCGGACACTCGAAGAAGAGCATACCACAACAGCGTGGCCGTGCCCTTTGATGGAGTACCAAAACACACCCCCTGGCGCCGACGGTTGGTGGAGGCGACGGCGAATTCCATTCCCCCCGGAGATCCATCCCTCTTCCACCCCTCGGAGAATGTCACTTCTGCACTTCCACAGGAAACCACACGGCACTTGTTTACCATCGACGATGATCTAAGGGGCTTGGCCGCGGACCTGTGATGTTGTTTTCCATTCCCAACAACATTCTGAAGGCCTTGGTTGCCGCTTGGTTCCATCTGGAGACCTGGCTCGCTCACATCAATCCGCATTCCGACGGCGAGTCGCACAGACTAATCATGAATGTAAACCAGGTACTAAAGGTTCGAAGATCTCCTGAGGCCCCCGAAAGCCTCCTTCGTCCTGAGTTTGAGGGAGTATCTTCCAATTTCTTGAGCCGTTCTTTTGCCTACTCCCGTAGCGCTTGCTTACAGTCACTCTTTTAACTACGGGCATCTTGATACATCTCTTACAGTACTTGCAACCTCATCATGAAGGGTCTTGTTGGTGGAATCCCGCTGGCCCTCCTGGTCGCCGCTGCTCAAGCGCAGGGCTTTGAAGGCCACCATGTTCGTTGCCCCAAAAACCTGACTATAAGATGCATAACTGACTCGGAATCGAAAGGGTCGCGTCCCGCCCCAGAATGGCGGCACGGCTCTGGGTGGACCGTCTGGCAACGACGGGGATGGCAACATCCCTGCTCCCTACCCCGCCGACGTCCACACGAACAGCCATGTGAACGAGTGGAGCAAGGAAAACCATGCCGTGGACCTGAAGAACACGGATGTGTACCCGCCCCCAGCACCGCAGCCCTTTGGCCCGCCCATCCCTGGTCATGTTCATGGAGGGGGTTCTTTCCCAAAGCGTAGCTGGCCCTCTGGGGGCACCGCTGAGGGTGGCCCCTCCGGCAATGACGAGGGCCAAAGCTTTAACATGCCCATCACTGGAAACTTCCACACGGATGTCAATGAGCTGAGTGATGATGACCACTCGATTCACGTCAAGAACAAGGACATCCATCCGCCGCCTTTCCCGCCTCACCCGCCTCACGGCGGTCCCCCCGGTGCTTTCCACGGCCCGCCTCACGGCCCGCCAGGTGGTCCTCCTAGCGGTCCTCCTCACGGCCCTCCGGGTGGTCCTCCTAGCGGTCCTCACGGTCCTCCTCACGGTCCTCACGGATCGCCCAACGGCCCGCCTGCCGGTCCTCCTGGTGGCCACGCGGGTGGTCCTTCGGGCCCGCCCTCGCACGCCCTGCGCACCCCGACTGACGCCTTCGAGAAGCGCTTCGGTCCTGAGGAAGGCGGCACCGCTCTCGGTGGCCCGTCTGGTAACGACGGTGGTCACGAATCTGCCGGATTCCCCGGTCATGGCCACAACGGTGGCACCGCGCTGGGCGGACCGTCTGGTAACGACGGTGACCACGGACCTGCCGGATTCCCCGGTCATGGCCACAACGGTGGTACCGCGCTGGGCGGACCGTCCGGCAACGATGGCGGCCAGGGCTTCTCTCGCCCCGTCGACGTGAACACCAACAGCGCCGTCAACGAGGCCTACAAGGATGACCACTCGATTGACCTCAAGCACAAGGATGTTTACCCGCCTCCCCCGCCGCCTCACTTCCCTCCCCACGGTGGCCCTCCCCACGGTGGCCCTCCTGGCGGCCCTCCCGCTGGCGGTGCTCGTCCTTTCCGCCGTGCTTTCGCTCCTGAGCCCCAAAACGGTGGTACCGCTCTTGGTGGCCCATCCGGCTACGACGGCGATGGCGACTTTGTGGATCCCACTACCGTGGACACCAACAGCGATGTAAACGAGCACCATGAGGACAATCACGCTGTGAAGGGTGACTTCACCAACGTGCACCCGGCCCCGGTCCCTGAGCTTCCCTGGATGGAATACAGCCACCCCCCCGCCGGTCCCGCTGAAGTCCCGGAGTCTGCTCCTCACGGCCCCCCGTCTCCCCCTGAGGGACCTCCCTCCCACGGTGCCCCCTCCGGACCTCTCTCCGGTCCCCCTGCAGGCGCTCCGGCTTCGCCCCCTAGCGACGCCTTCGAGGGCCCTCCTAAGAGTCACACTCCCCCTCGCGAGGAGCACGAGAACGCGCCCGAGTGCGCCGCTAAGGCCCAGGTCGTGCACACCGTGACCAAGACACACACCCAGTACAGACAGGCTACAGCCACCCCCATGGCCTTTGCCCAGCCCTCTTACTCGCACGGCGTCCAGGCCAGCTCGATGCCCATGGGCGCAACCCCCATGCAGTCCTCTGCTATGGCCGACCCCAAGATGCTGTACTCGAGCGCTATCCCCATGCAGTCGTCAGCCTTTGACCCCAAGATGATGTACTCGACCCCAGCTGTGCACTCCGCCGCTGTCCCTATGGCCTCCTCGTCGCACATCCCGTACGAGAGCTACAACTACTCTCCGCTGAACAGCCATGCGGCCTCGTACTCCCAGATCCCTGTGCACGTCCCCATGGCTACCCCGGCCTCGTCCTCCATGGGCTCTGCCATGCCTTCCAATGGCATGGCCAAGATGATGCCCAGTGGAGCCTCGCCTGAGTTCAGCTCTCGCGCTTCGGTGTCCGCCTCGGCCTCGGCCTCGGCCTCACACGGCCCCATGTTCACCGGCGACGCCGCTCGCCTTTCCGGTGGCATTTTCTCGGCTGCCGCCGCCGTCATGGGTGTTCTGGCTTTCATCCTGTAAAGTGGCGGTGTCCTGTGAATTGAGCTGAGACTGCTTGTAGTAGCTTCTTGTCGATCGTTAGGGCCTTTCCACTGTCCTTCGCTTCACTCCAACATCTTTTTCCCTTTCCATTTTTGTATCTGCGTTGGCTTTCTCAATACTAATGTTATTGTTGCTTCTTCTTGGAGTTCACGAGTATTTACCTCAATGAATTTGTTCTCTTCATATTCAGGTATACTGTAGAAGTCGTTTTATTGACCAATACTCATATTCTGACTTCCCCTGTTTGTCATTTTCCTCAACAGTAGGAGCGCTCGCGCCTTGGAAGTGGACCTTGGGCATTTCGTCACCATCTCACATCCCAACCTTGCTACCATCCCAAATCCCATGAAATTACCTTGGTTAGACTTGCCCTGAAAATGCAGTGCAATCCGTGCCTCCTCGTTTTCTGTCGTTGCCACCAATTAAGGTAGCTCCTCGCGTGATATCATCACTCCATCATCCGCATTTTGGAGTAGTGACATCAGCCCGCCAACAGAATATGGAATCGAGCGCCTCATTAACTAGTTACTGTTACAATGAAATATAATTGCTCTCTTCGCAGTACCCCATGGAAATAATCTATCCCTCTATCCACTAACACAAGTTCAACGCTTCAACCCATCTACATTGACACCTACTACACTTCCAGCTCTAGCCAATACCGCAAAACCAACAACCTTAAAAGAACAAAAGAAAAAGGAAAACACACAATGGTCTCTCAAAAACAAGACCCCCACCAAGGCGGCACCCTCTCCGAAATGGCCGCAACAGGCACAAGCATCCCCAACGACGCCGGCCTCCAACGCACTATCCCGTCGGTGCCACGCCCCGACCAGTGCGCCGAGCACTTCCACTTCGACAACGAGGGCCTGGCACAGCCGTCCGCGGCAACCGCCGTCGACAACGCCACGGACATGCCGCGGTCGACGCGCGATGTCGGCGTTACGGGCGAGGTGGTGACGGGGACGGGTGACACGCTGCCTGTGGGCGCGGAGGCGAAGCGTGCGTTTATGGGCACGAATATCCCCGCCACCAAGGGGGATGCACGCGATGTGAAGCATGCTGGGTTGACTTCGTCGGCTTTTGATCGGTTTGTTAAGGAGGATGGGGATTCCGGGGAGAAGGTTCGGGAGCATACGCTGCGGAATGGGTGATTCGAGGGGTTTTCACTGGGAAGGGTTTATATTAGAGTATGTTAGGGTAAAACTGTGGTTTTTTTTTTATTATGCTCTGTATTATGCGGTTATAAACGAAGTGGCCTGTATCGTTCAGAGATCATGAGTCTGTGCTGTTGTATGGTCATTCTCCTTGTAGTCGAGAATTGTCCGGCCCTAAAAACCCCTGGTAGATCTCCTCTAGCACGTCCCGTTTCCTCTTGCGGTCGGCGTGCTCTGCCTCTTCCTCCTCGTCGGGTTCCCCGTCAGGCTCGCGGGACACCCATGTCCGGATCGTGCCATCGCCATGCGCAGAAAACAGCTCGATGCCCTCCCCCGAGCCACCGTTGCCGCGCCAGACCAAGTCGTTGATGCGCGCGGCACTCAGTGCAGTCGAGCGACCTCGAGACCCTTGGGACCCGGCCATCAAACCAGGGACCCGGAGTCGTTTGATGAACGTCCCTTCGCGGAGTTCGAACATGAAGAGTTCCCCACGATCGTCTTGTTCATGGAAGTTCGGCCAAAGCAGTGTTTCATGGCCGGAGTCCATGAAGTGTTTCGGCACAATCAAGGGAGCTCGCTCTGCCAAGTGCGACGAAGCACTGTTCCGGACTCGAGGCCCAAAATGTACAAGTGTGTTTGCGCCGCTGGCTGAGTCCCATACGCGAATGCGCGCATCTTGTCCTGCAGTCACGAGGTGGCTGCCATCGGACGTCCAGCGCACCCCAGTCACGGCGCCATTGTGTGCGCGAGCGTGTCGCGCAAAAGCCGGTCGACTCTCATATGCCGCTGGCGCAGACCCGGACCCTGGGGGAACTAGTCCTACCGGATCATCCATGTCCAAGGTTGCGATAGCAGAGTTGTGGCCCCCGCGACGCACATCGAAGATGATCACTCGGTTGTCCACTGAACCAGATGCCAGTAGATGTGGCCGGTGAGGAGCCCATGCCACAGAGAGTACAGGTGCATTGTGTCCCGGCAAGCCATGAGTTGACAATCCTGACCGCAGATCAACTAGTCGAACCGATGGCTCTGAAGTGGCTACCGCTACGAGCAGCGTAGTATCCGGCTGAGACGAGAACGAGTGTGCATAGGGCGTACACTCCAGATTGAACGTATGGACAGGAGTAATGGATGGCGACTGCAAGGCCGAAAGCTTCAAAGTGCCATCGTGCGACGTCGAGAAGATGGTGGACGGGACGGGATCAAACGGGTAAATGGAGAGCGAAGTGATCGCGTGCGTATGCGCGTCGCCGTGCGAAGACTTGCTGACCGATGCACAAGACCGGTGGACGTGCTCGAGCTCCGATCCTCTTGTTTCGAGATCCCAGAGGTGAATCGATGGGTCCGCCCCGCCCGATATCATGCTGTTCCATGTTAGAACTCAATGCGATGACCATGGCGAGGTGCGGCACGCACTATCGGGCCTCGAATTGATCGAGTGCTAGGCAGTTGACTCCCGCCTTGTGAGCAAACACCTCTTCTGGCAGGTCGAGTCCCGGGTTCAGAGGCGTGTTATTTTCAGACCGGCTGGGTGCAGGTCTGCGGCTGGAGAACCGTATTCCTGGACCCGGCTCGAGGTGGTGTACTAGCTGGGTGGTTTGGGCGACATGGAAGGTGTTTGGAGCGACAGACCCGAGGGCTCTGTTAAGGAGATAGGAATTCATTCATTCATTCATCAATGGTGTTTTGTAATTGAGGTGCACGACTCGACGGTGTCTGGCTGTGACCTCACCGGATTAAAGTTGTACCGGCGCATTTGCTGATCAGAAATTCGATGTTTTTGGTTCAACTCGAATGATTCATGAGGTTCACCAGATGTGTTTGACATCGCTGGAAGATGTCATCCGGCAAGCCGCCGGACTTGGATCCGAATGATTTGGTCGAGTCCCTGGAGGTCGAGCTCGATGCGGAAGACCAATCGTTGAAACACGCCAGACGCCGGGCCTCTGTCTACGATGCGGTAGCTGGTATGTTGCTTGAACTTGCATTCTATGGAAATGAACAACCCATCTGACGAGCACAGGCCGTGTCAATCTCCGCGGATTCCATCCGTCGGCGCCGTTTGCCTCTCGGTATCGAGATACGCTTTCATCGGGCGCACGAGTCTTCCGCCCCGAAGAGGTTCTTATGCGCTCACAGAACATCCCCAAACAATCTGCCGAGAACGAAATCTACTTTGCACATGAATCTCTCCCCGCCGATGGGACCCTGCCGAGCTCGGAGCTCCTCGAGGCAATCCATGCCTATGCGGCCGATTACTACGAATACGCGACTGAAGACCACGGACAAGACGACTACCACAGCATGGACGAGACCGCATTGATCGCGATGGGGATCTTAGTCGAGGAGATGGCCCAAGAGGCTCTGGGTGACACCGGGGATTTAGTCCTCGTGGAAGGCCAGGAGTTGTCAGATGAGGAGGAGCCCTCGGGTGCCGAGAGTGATGGTGTTCCACAACTCGCGGGTCGGGCACTCCGAAGAAAACGGGCGAACACTGCCGCAAATTGTGCAACTGTCAGCACGCAAGAAAACCTCAAGGGTGTGCGCAAGAAGTTGAAGCGCCGCAAGGTGACTCGGGCGGCGTCGACGGATGACATGGACACGGAAGTCGACGAGGCGCAATGATTCTTACAATTAATAGGATCTCGGTTCTTATCATTCAAGTCGTACGGAGAAAATGTCCTCATCGCACCGCGGAATGGTCACATCTTTGGCTGTGCGCTCATCAAGGTGACTCGATGGTTACGGGGGTTTTGCATCGCCACGCGGCAGCCCTGGGAACATAGGTCTTCCCGAAGACCTATTGTCAAGCGTTGTCGAATCACGACAGTCTAACGCGCATTCGACATTGTCGATGTGGTGGAGAGTCTTGGATCCCTGGCGCTCGGCCGGCTGGTATCTCCCTACATGCTCGCCGCAGGCTGAGAATGCTCTGCAAGAAGGTCCAGGGCGTCATGGCGAGATCTGATCTATAGAGAAGCCCAGCTCGGTAGTGGTCAAGCTCACTATGGAAAGTAAACCTAGGTTTCTCTCAGGTTTGAAATGTGATTGCCGGCTATGTTGACCTCAGCCGTTGGTTTGTCCTTGACCATATCAATTGGCAGCCTTTGCTTCCATTGGGTTTGCTCTTGAATTGCAAGGCAAGCACTTTTACAACAGCGAACTAGTGTTCCACGTCGAAGAGGCGAGCGAAATTGGAAGAAGAAGAAACGATATATACAAAATAGTTTTAACCAATGAGCACATTATTCTAGCAGTGTCTAGTAAGACTTATTGCTTATTGACAAAAGTCTGTAAATTAAGGCTGCAATGGCAAAGTGCGAGATCCAAGTGTGGGAGTCGCCCTGGCCAGCTTCATCCACTCCACAGCTCTCCACCAGCAAATGCTTAATGTGCCATGCTTCCTGTCTAAGGAAAGTTCAGTTGCAACCAAGCTTTGTCTGCTCAGATCAGGTGGAGATCTCGATCCAAACATCCCAGATCGTTTTTACCAGACATGGTACGTGCCCCTGACAGCATTGTCTACCCGGGGGAAACACTCGGAGAGAAAGGCCATGGAAGCGAGACAGACTGACGCGTCCTTGGACATCCGAAGCCACCGAAACTCTCTAAAAGCGCCAAACAGGATCTGATCCTGACCCACCTCCGCTCCACCGGTACCTGTCACACGCTCAAAGACCTGGAAAAGATGCTGCCCTCGGTGGCCTCGATCAATGGGATCCAGGTCAAGGAATACATTCAGGCATTGACCGATGAAAACAAGCTTCGCGTCGAAAAGATCGGCAGCGGCAACTGGTACTGGAGCTTCAGCAGCGATGAAAAGCTGGAGCGTGAGCGGCAACTGGCCCGGGTGAGAACGGAGGTGGAGAAAACCCGCAAATCCTGCGCCAACGCTGAGGCGGCCCTGACCGCCGAGACCGGCCGTCGGCTGGAGGAGACAGATTACGATGGGCTGGAACAAGAACGCGAGGCCCTCGTGGCCACCAAGGCCGAATTAGAGACCGAGGTTGCTCGCCTCCGGAATGCGGCGCAGCCTGACTCGGTCAGCAGCAAGGGAGTCACGCAGGTCCAGGACGAGCTGGCGGGGTTTCGGGAAGATGCCCTGCAGTGGACGGACAATATCTACGTGCTGGAGGAGTATTTGCGCAAGTTGGCGGGCGGGGATCGGGAGATTGTCGAGGCGGTGCAGCGCGAGTGCTACGGCGACGAGTATGTAGACGGGGGGCTACGAGAAGTGGGATGAGCGATGAGCGATGATTTCGAGTCATTCTATAATGCAGCGTATTCATAGCTATTCATAACGAAATGAATGCAATATCCATGGGAAATTAAGGCAGACAAGTTCGCGGCATACTAGGGCCACCCAAGAGAAGCTTGACTCTGGAACACGCGAATCGAATCGCTGGGGCTTTCTCCGCCCGGGCTTATCGCGAACGCTTCCTCTCCCTCCCTCTCCCTCTCTCTTCGGTCTTGTAATCTGATTCTCTTCTCATTCTCCGAGTCTCCCGATCCACCTCTACGCCCACATTCCATCCTCCTTCCTGTCGCGCGACATCTCCCCCTCGACTCTCATTCGCACCTTCGGCTTGCACACACCACTCCCAGACCCCCCCGTTCGCCCCCAAGCCCCATCCCCCCAGCCCTCTCTCGACTCCCGCACTGCGAGGTCCAGGCAGGGTGTTTGCGATTCCTGCCTTGCGCTTCGATGCCACGAGAAACAATGCGGTGCAGTGGCCCTCGATCATAACTCCCACTCCTTTCCTCGGACCTGGGGGATTCCCTCTCGCGTGCCGACCCGGAACTATTCCCGTGGCATTTGGAACCAGACCGTGAGTCTGTGGACTTACCCGGGGTGTCGGATTCTCGACAGGACGTACCGTTTGACGTGTCGCTCGATCAGGTTGCCTCGACGGTGCCTGCGTGCCTGTCCGATCATTCCCCGCCACCCTGTGTCGCTTCGGGGGCCGTGTGTCTGTCACTCGGATTAGTGACTTGTCTCCCCTCCCTCCCCTCTTGTCGCCCCGTTGTATGGATGCAGCAATCAGCTGTGTGTCATGTCCGCCAACCCCCCTTCCAAACCTTCCACGTCGCCGCTCAGTCGGAATCGCACCTCTCTCCTGTCCAAGTTTCGCTCCCCACTGGGCCAACGAAATCGAAGCCTCCCTGATTTCTACATCGAGCTGGATGACCCATGGCGCTCATATTTCCCCGGTGATATTCTCAAGGGTACCGTGGTTGTGAAGGTGGTGCGACCGGTTCGCATCACGCACATTGTGGTCTGTCTTCATGGATATGTCAAGGTGTTCAAGAACGCCGTCCCGTCGGGCGAAATGTCCCCCGACCTGGGATTTCTAGGTCCCGGGCGCGGCCGGCGAGGTGCGGAGTATTTGGGCAATGGGCTGGCCACTTTGTTCGAAGACGAGATCGTTCTCTGCGGCGAGGGTCGCTTGAAAGAGGGCATTTACAAATTCCACTTCGAAATGGGCCTCCCTCCATATGCTCTTCCCAGCAGTATTAATGTGCGCTTCTTCCCCTCTGCGATGCTACCCGTCCATGCTAACAAGTTCAAATACAGTTTGAACGAGGCGCCATTTCTTACTCGCTTACTACCACCCTCACCCGACCGACCACCATGAACCCGACTCTTACCTTTCGCAGACGGATTAATCTCCTGGAAAACATTGATATTGCTCCCTTTCCCGCTCCTAAAGCCCGCATTGTCACTCTGGAACCCGTTTCCAAGCGCTCCAAGTCGCGCGCGAAATCCAAGTCGACAAACTCCGACGCAATTGCTGCTCCAGATACCTCTTCGGTCGACACCCCTGTGAGCGGCACTGCAACATCTACAGATCAAAGACCCCCTTTGAGCCCTTCTCCAAGCAATGTCAGCACGTCCAGTCGGCCTAGTAATAGCAGTCAAAGCTTTCAAATCGCCAGTGATCCGAGCTCGTCAACAAGCACGAACGGGCGGAATAGTGAAGGTCGCAGTGCGACTCCGTCCGTCTCCGATAAAACCATTACAGCCAAGGCCGAGGTTTTGCGCGCAGGCGTGCTGCCGGGAGATACTTTGCCCATCAAGGTCACAATCAACCATTGCAAACAGGTGCGCAGCGCGCATGGCATCGTTGTTACTCTGTACAGACAGGGTCGCATCGATCTTCACCCTGCCATTCCTATCGGCTCAACGGCATCCGGGAAGAAGCCCGTCTACGAGGACTGCTATCCTCGGTCGCGTACAGGGCTTGGAGGATTAACTCTGGGGACGAGTCGTACCACCAGCACTTTCCGCAAGGATCTGTCCCAAACATTTGCACCGCTCATCGTCGACCCCAACACCATGTCTGCCGTCGTGAAAACCTCCATCCGAGTCCCCGAAGATGCCTTCCCTACCATCACTCGTGTGCCAGGGTCCATGATCAACTTCCGGTATTACGTGGAGGTAGTTGTCGACTTGCGTGGCAAAATCACTTCGCCCGATCGTTTCATCCCGCGATTCAAGATGGTTTCGGGCGGCAGCAATTTCTCGCCCAGTGGGCAGATTCTCAACCCAGCCGACGTGAACGGGAACGGCGTCACAGCCAATTGGGCAGGGAACATCCTGGACACGGATCAAATTCGCCGCGAAAAAGGTGTGATTTCAGTGGCGTTCGAAGTCGTGGTTGGGACTCGCGATTCACAGCGCGGTCAGGGCGGGGTGGAACGTACCCCATCCACGGCCGCCGAGTCGTCAGTGTCGCACACGGCACAGCCCACCTTGATGACTGTCAATCCCGTCGACGGGGAGAATGGGCCCGAGGCCAGCCCACTACCCCCTTCACATACGGATTATGGAAACCAAGACGATTACGGGTTTCCGGAGGAGATGCATTGGGCAGAGTATCCGGAAGAATATTCGCAACCATTCCAACCGATTGGACCAGCACCCCCAGAGATCGAAGAGCCCGTGGACGAGAAGACGCGTATACGAAGGCATGAGCAAGCTCTGTTGCCAAGTCGACCACCAGAGGACGATGGTGCTGGGCCATCTACTGCGGAAGGGGCTGTCCCAACCGCGCCGGTCCTGCCCGATGACCATCATCTTCAAGACTATCACCATGTCCCATCCCCGGATACCAATGAATTGCCGCATACTGTCCGATCAGCCGACTCACTACAGACGGTACTTGTGAACGGCTGCGCGGCCGAGCCCAGTGAGCCGCCAGGACCAAGCGAGGACAAGCAAGAGCTGGAGCGCCAGCGACTCATGCAGCATGCCAGTTCACCTGACGACGAGCCTAATGGTGGGCCCAGCCAGGCACCGAGTGCTCCAGTCTTTGACGAAGATGATCAATTGGTGGGCGGGATGGCGCAGGCCGATGAATCTTTGCCTCGGTACCAGCGGTGATATTGGGGGGATCTGTATATTTGCATTTGCGGGATATTCTGGAAGATACCACTATTCGCATATCTGGCTTACTCTCTTACTAAAAATGGCGCAATGTGTATCATAACTAGAGAGGCTCATATCATTATCAGTCTGTCAGTCTGACATCTCTCTTATCTTTTTCTTGGGGGGCGTCTTGGCACCCGCTTAGCGATAAATCGTGTTTCCCCCCTGTCCTCTTTTCCCTCACCCATTTACCTCGACTTCCACCTCATCATGGCCTTCAAAAGCGGGTCGTTTGCGACCTTTCTGATTCTCTGCCGTGAGTTTCACTTTTCCGGGGAAATGTGGCTCTAGTGATACACCCGGCCCCAACCTCACCCGCAACGTCCCTGCCACGAGGCAACGACCAAAAAAAGAGTAAAACCACCTGCTAACCTCTCTATGAAATAGCAACATGCTTCTTCCTGGGCATCATCTTCTCGCTCTTCCCCTACGACTACCCAATCCTGTGGTCCACCGTCCCAACCCCAGCCTCGCACTATGACTACTTCGAAGCCCACCTCCGCTTCCTGCACGCCTCCCCGCCGCTGATCCCTCGCATCCTCCACATCGTAATCTTCCTGGGCCTGGCCGGCCTCGTCACAAAACTCTACCGTCCTTCCGAATCAAACATGCTCTTCGACGGCGCCTCGCTGGTCCTGTACATGTGCGGCATCACCGTCTACATCGCCAACATCGTCAAGGGCCTGCGTCTCGCCTCCGCCGGCCAGTACGGCGCCGACCTCGCCTCCAACCCCGAGGAGAAGGACCAGATCCTCGGCCGGGAGGACTCGCTAAAGGTCCTCGCTGCTAGTAACACGATCCTGGCGCTGGTCCTTGTCGGTATCTTGGTCTTGCAGGCTGGGCAGTGGTATGCTGAGCATAAGGATGAGCAGGAGTTCGAGTCGCTTGCGGCGGATAAGAAGAAGAAGACTGATTCGTCGGATGCAAATGTTGCTGGTGCGCAGGATGCGCAGACTTCGGCGAGTGCGTCTGGGTCTTCTGCTGCTGCGGCGAAGCCTGGTCGGCAGGGGAGTCAGCGGAAGAAGAGTAATTGATTTCTTTTCTTTTGCTTTTACTTCTGCTGTTACTTTTGCTGTCAGGGTGTTGTCTTGAGAGAGTCCTTTCGGTGTGGACGTTTTGTGTGGTGTATGAGACAAAAACTGTAGTATCTTGTAAACAGACAAGAGCGCTAGAGCGAGAAGCATTGCTGTTGGTTGTCAAATGGACTGGATTCGGTTTCGTCTATGTACATAAGACCATGGCATTTCCATTCGCGATAGGGAAGACGAGGAATGCAGATATGAGGTACAGATTTCTCATGTATATCGAGAATGGCAAAGAAAATGCGGGGCAAGAACAGAAGAAGGCAAGAAAAGATATCGTCACATCGCAGCAGGGGAATCATAACATAAAAATCGGGACAGGCATACAATAGACAGCCAACTCAGACACATACTAACTAGGTAGTAGGTGTGTGTGTATGAAGCCATCAAGCGAACGAGAATGGGCTCCGTGGCAGATCCGGCGAGCGCGGACTCAACGCTTTGGCGAAGAGATCCTCACCGGACTCCGCGCTCGTTGTGCGCGTGATCGATCCCATCGCCGCGAACCCGCCCGGCCCGCTGGTTTGCTGGGCTTCCTGGACGGACTCGGGCGGGTGGTGCGCCACGGTCTTGAGCGAGTCCGGGCCAGAGGGGTTAGTGTGGGAGCTGGGCGTCGGCGTGGGGTTGGTGTCGGGGGTCAGCATCGAGTGCATGGGGCGGCTGGCGATGTTGCGGAACGAGCTGAATGATGAGACCGCGACGTCGGGGGACTGCGGGGAGAGGAGATGTGCGGTGTTGGGGCCGGGGCCTGGTATGGTTAGTGAATGTTTTGAAGGACAAATATTGGGAACAGATAGAAAGTTTTTGCAAAAAGAAGAAAGCATACCAGCCTTCGCAGATAAATCCTTCTCGCTGGTCTGCAGCTTCAATCCCTTGAGCTTATCTGTCAATTTGCGTCCGCTAATGGGCGACACTGGGGTGGCCGGCCCTGTGGGATACACCGACGACGAAGTCGACGAGTCGTGGCTGCTGGCGACGGTATCAACGGCACGCGACGTGATGCCAAAGTTCGTCTCGATCCACTCCTTCTCCTGCACGACCATGTGCAGCGCGATTCCCTCGGCATTGTTCAGACACTCGTCGTGGATCTCCTGCTCCAGCACCCGCAGTCGCTTCTTCGCCCAGATCGTGTGCAATACACCTTTCTTGCCGGCCGCCCGGCCCGTCGCACCCAGTTCCGGTGGGAAGATGGCGGGCAGGGGATTAAGCTGGAAGGTATCGCGGGGTTTTGAGGGCGGGGTCGAGGTTGTAGTGTCCGCGGTGTCTGTTTGTTCCGTTGTTGCGGCCCGGGATTCGTATGAGAGCGTAACCACCGGCGGAATGGTTACATTTGGCGGCAACAAAAAGTAAAATCGGCGTAGGCTTTCACTTGGCCGGTCATTGGCGGGGAGCACTGTTGTCTTGCCAGTCCAGGAGACATGCCACGACCCCTCCAACGTAGATCGAGTGAGGTCGTCGTCCTCCCACTCGATCATCAAGATTTTAGTGCCATCATTTCCCTTTCCAGCTTCAAACTCGAACCGGGCTAGTGCAGTTATCGACAAGCTCCCACTGATGGGTCCGCGGGGTGTCTCTAGCTCAGCGAATTCGCTGTCTGGGGTGAAGGTGGGCGGTGCTTGAGACATGGCTGTGCAGGCAAATAGTGGGTAAACAACAACAACCCAAGGATCGGATTTTGGGGCCGCTCGGGATTGCGGTTACGGAAGAATCGGGGTGTGCTTGGACTGACACACCACTCAACAGACACGAAGGAATGGCCGGGCTGAGTGGGATGGGAGTGCACCGAGGGAGGAGAGGGTCCTTTGAGACGGGCCGATCACGGGATTTGGTCCATGCGAGTTTAGAGGAGAAACAGTGCATCTAACCTCATAGGGAATGGATGCCCATCACATCCGCTGTTTTAATTCGTGCGTTTGTACCGGCGACAATTTATATTGCATTGGTAAGACTGCCCCGCGTCTAATTATAGAACTGTGTCCACGAGGGTGTGCTTCTTTCATCATTTAGACCATCAATGAATCCATAGACAATGAGCAAGTGCCTTCTTTCAAGCTCTAGTCCTCTTGAAACATCATACTGCTACGAGCCCTTTCTCTTTCATTCAATCTTTCATTTGAAGTGGTGCCGATCCCTGTATATCCTCCTTTATCTCGAATGATCTATTTTTGGCACCTGCAGTGTGACACGACCCGCGCTCGTGCATGTATTCAACGTCCTCGATCTTCCACGATGCCGAGAGCTTTGAATATGAGAACTATACACATCCATTTAGTCTAGAGCGAGATTATTTGCAAGGCATAAGATTTCACCAGCACCAGAAAATATCTTTCTAGCATAATAACAAAGAAAAATCATTGGGTATACTTTCGCTGCTTAAGAGCAAGTATAAGGTCATAAAATTGTTAGGGTTCTGCATAGGAAAATATCTTAGGCTCGAGACAATAAGTTCGCAACATGCTAGAGGTTTCATAAAGGGGCAGATAATGAAATCAAAGCGCGCAGCGGATACCTATCTAGTTGATTGAGCCATCTTCCTTACCAAGAATATGCCTTGAACGAAACAAAACAAAGAGAGAAAAAAAGAAATGATACTTCAATTTACCAATCCTGTCTTCTTGAGTCTCTAGCCAGGATTTGGCCGAGCCAGGGTGGCGGCAATGTCCTTCTGTTGATTGAGAGTGTGCTTCTTGGATGGCCACAGATCATGCTTGCTCATCAAACATGAAACAATAGACCATATGCGCGAGGGCAGACCCAAGCGGCAACACGATCTAAAAAAAAGAACCTTTATTTAGAAGCAATACCAAATGATAGAGACATTGGCTGGGGAAATGAGGTTGGATGCAGAGCTTGTACGATACTGTATGATACTCGAGACCATGTTTGAAAGGAAACGGTGATTTCAGAACAGAACAGCCTATTTAGAATGCCAAGTTAGACATGGATTCGTAGATCTCATGGCCACAAAGAATACCGGGCGTCACCAAGCGGCATCAAGTGTATCCTTGTGGTGGAGTTCCACAGCAGAGTGGGGAGAATAACGCAACAACAAATGACATCAATCAGGATGTACAAAAGCTACGCGATCAATGACTCTAGAATCTATAATTAAACCAGGAATTACTAGTGGTTTCTAAGAATAGTTCTGTTAATGGGGGAAGAAAGGATATGTTAATTTGAACGGCGCTAGACTAGCGAAAGGAACAATGCTGAGTGGCTCCAACTTTTCAAGACCGCGAGTCGATCTAGAGCTCTGGGCCAATGAAAGGGGTTATTTTGCCTTGCATCCATATATGCAGCCCTATTTCCTAGACTAGATAATACTGTAGAGGGGCCCATGGCATTCATTCAATCTTTAGAAGCTCCTGGCGTCTGGAAAGTGGGGATGAGTCTGGTTGGGCCTAACAACCAATAAATGCGCGAGCTTGCGAGCCCTCTTTGAGATATTTTTGGTATATTATGACACCATTATCCAGGATAATGTGGATCTTTTTGCCTACACTCTGATATACCACAAAGTACGTTAAGCAGATGCTACTATTATTATCCTTGAGTTTGCCGCGAGTCTCTCCCAGATTCAGGATAGGAGCTCATATGAGAGCCAGGTCGACGTAAGTTTCAAAGGTACCTTCCTGTGCCAAAACGTGCCCAGGAGATATTTCCATGAACAGGTGAGGTTAGAATCAAGTTAAGTTCCAAAAATAACCCTACCTTGTTGAAATCATATGCGGCGGATGGGTCCCGGTAGCTGCATGTAGATCCCACCTCGAGCGGCAATGACCGGCTGGAACAGAATCATTGATTTTTGTTGGCTTCAAATATTACAGAGTCAAATATTAATAATAATAATAAATAAATAAATAACATGTAGTCAAGCGGAGGAGCAAATATCTGGGAGCGGGAATACCTTCTATCAACGGGATGACGCATGCCTGATTTCTTGCATGGCATAGGTGTTGCTAAATATGGAGTCTTCACGAGGCCAAGGTGCAGGTGGAGCTTTTGTTGACTGCCACTTTTAGCAACAGCTCTCATCCCATGAGGTTGATCCCGTGTCTCTGTTGCAGGATTGTGATAGAGTTCCTATATGTGCAGACAGCCATCAGAGAATGAGAAGGTTTACATTTAAATGGACTATTGAAGCATCACAGTGCAGGATGGAGAGTTGATTCGTGGTCACTATGGAAATAGGAACATGCCGGTAGCAGGTGATTTGGTTCTGACCTGGGAGATTCGGGCGGCCCATTGGCCAGAATCAAGGGATGAGAAGCACAGGAAGCACAGGGGCCTAAGAGTAGCTTGCCGTGCTGGGGACTTACTGGGGCTTCCCCAAAAATAGTAGCTTACTCCCTGAAGGTGCAGCATAGATGTAGGCCTGGGCAAATCAGGTCTCTGGAAGTGGTCGATGGGTCTCTTCCCCCGCTGTGATAGCCCCACTAGACCGGGCCAATCACTTCACGATTATCGCAGGTTCCTTATTCCGAGCACACGCTAGTCTTAGTGTGGTATAGCGCCGGCGCTTAAATTCAGATCGAAGGAGCGGGGGGAGGCATCAGACTATTGGGATATTGCCTATGATTGGTCCACAGTCTCGATGTGGGGCATGTTTTGTTTTTGATGTTAACAGTATCCGGCCTTACGTCTATATCACTTATTCGTGTGATGGGAGTGGGGGGGAAAACTTGGATTGGAGGCCCATAATTAGAGGAAATGCACTGCCCACTCGAACTAAAATCGAATCTTGAGACCGTCCTGGTCAGCAATGAGAACGAGTCAGGGTAAGCTGTGAGCTGTCTTCGTTATTTACTAGTGGATCCCGGCTGCCTGGAAAATGACCGTCACAGTTACCAAATCAATACCTCCGTGTGTATCTAAGTATTTCTATCAACTGTAGCATCGTGTCTAAGTATATCTTTTGCTAAATTAAAAGAAAGAAAAAATTAGGAAAATAATGTTACATTAATGCGGTGAAATAGAACCATCTGATTCTCCCTAGCTTACTAAAAAGGGTATTGCGTCTAAGGTTTATTGTTTATCTATTCCCCTGCCCAGTAAAGCAGAGTGAACCCTTCATCATGGTAAGTATCAGTACCGAGTATGCATGCCTATATATAAGACCATTACTATAAGAGATATCGCTGCCTATAGTATTCTCCGATCCTTTCGGCGGGTACTGTGTGTACCTAAATATTACCAGTAATACAAATATTACATGTCATACAACAAGTCTTGTCTCAATCAATATGTATGCGAGAATGTCGGCATGCAAGAAAACCAAAATTACTTTCTACATTCAGACCCCTCTGAACGGTCAAACTCGCAAGAGGATCCTTCGAGTCAGCGCCTGGGTTCTGGAAGGGAAGCGCGTGGCTCAATCGTGGGGGCTACTGTCCTGGACCCGAGATCTATGAGGACGGGATCAAGAGATAGGGATCCTGTGATTCGCTGCCAATAGAATCTAGCTCTCTATACTATTGGGATAAATTGAATGGCGCAAGAGGTTCGCGCTCTCTAACTCGGTTTTTCTAACGCCACTGTAGACCAGCGTCTGCTTTGGGCATTTGCGCCGCTTGTATACCCCCTTGTGTATAATAACCAGGAGGCTGAGTGATATTTCCAGAAAGCTCATAGGGCCGTTGTACGCGCATCAAGTTTCCGGTACTTTTGATCAGCGGTTTCGACAATCTACCCAAACAATAGCTTTGGGGGCTTAGTTGGGAAACCTCATTTCGGAAATATAGCGCTTAATGCCGTACTTGGTACAGTCCAAATCCAGGGTGGATAATGAGTAGCAGCTCTAGCAAAAGGTGGCGAGGATTTCTTTTTTTATATCAGAAAGAAATCCCACTTTTTTCAAGGATCTAGTTGGGTCTAGATTTCAGCCTCTCGTAAGAAATGAATGCGTATGTATTAGCTTGATCGCAACGGGGCCAAGAGTCTCTTTGCATTCAACCCTGGTGTTGGATTCTGCGTTGTCGTGGTAGTGTTTCCAACACTATCTCATGCGGCTGACACGTGGTAATCGCCCGGGGGGTAACCGCTTCCTCGGGCCTGATAGATGGCCGGGTTCTTGAAGGCGTCAAAAAATGCCGATTCCGCCCCAGATTTCCATATATAACCCCCGAAATAGATACCTGTTGTGCGAGTATACCGCCAAAATAGCCACTTACCTGGTGAATCCATAGATTGGGTGAACAATGTGAAGCGCCCTGTCCCTCGTGGGGAAATAGAATGATCGGATATTGAAGTTATTTTAGGTTGTGTCATGTTAGATACACACAGAGTAACAATCAAGGCATCAGTAATGATATTCCTTATTTGAAAAGAAACATTGCGAATCAACTAGACAGGAAACACATTGCAGCATCACATAAAACAATCCTTGAAAATCATCACTATATCCCCTTTTCTCCTTGACCAACACAAAGCAAACCAAAGATTGGACAAAATGTTGAATCAAATCAAAACTCCATTCTCCTTCCAACCCAGCCCCGTTCGCTTAACAGAAACCCCCGGCGAGGCGAACAAGTGATTAGGAAATACCCTGCAACCCGAGTTCAACCCAAAACATGACCGTAAGGCAAGATGCGAGTCGTTCTAACAAAGTCATAATAACTGAGGGAAACAAGAAATCAAGACAAGAAAAAAAGAAAAAGAAAAAGAATAGAATAGCGATGGCTCAACACAAACAAGAGAAAATCGAAGTAGAAACCCAGCAATACCGAGAAGATAGTCCTAGTAGACCAGTATTAGGTATCCCGGGTGTCACTAGTTTCACTAGTCTTTCGCCGCTTGCCCTTTCCCTTGGGGGGAGGGTCCAGAGGTGTGCGCTTATATGTCACAGTCCGAGTGACGACTTGTCGCACGCTGACAGACTTTCCGCCCGCACTTCTCGGGGTCTCAACGTATCGAACCTTCCAGTCTGAAGGGGAAAAAGGAGACCGGATAGTGCGCGCACTTTGAGGGGAATCGGACACAGGCGACCAGGCGCACGATGGGGGAATCCGCAGACGTCGGAGGGTGGTGGTGGGAAGCTTAGCAGACTGCGGGCTAGCGACAGCAGGTGATGGGGGCGGGATGGCAGCACTAGTCGTCTTAGGACCGGCAGACAGCGGCGTGCTAGTTGCACTTGAGGGTATAGAGATTGGTGAAGGTCGGCGCTTTTCAAAGGTGAACCTTCGGAATTCGGTGCTGGCGCTCGCTGGACTGAAGGCTGGCGTGAGGGCTTTGAGAAACTCCGTATAGGCAAGTGGTGGGGTGATTGGTGTCGCACTTCCTCCCTCTTCGCGCTTGATGGGCTCAGACCCAGCAGTGAGAGGGCTGTCGTGCATCTCGGAGGGGAAGGTCATTGACTTGGGTGTTTTGAGAGGATGGAGGACAGGCTTAGAGGGAGCCATGGTATGTAATAAGAAAAAAAAAAAAGTTCAGAAGGGGCGAAGGCAATGCAAATATAAATCTTCGAGTAATGAAGTGGTGGAAAAGAAAGAGTGGTAAGGGTAGGCCGAATAATAAAAGAAGCACGTAAATGCGCAAGGCAGGTGGGTTCCAGCTGCCCAAGCACGGGTGAAATAAAGAATGGTATGATTGGAGGGAAGAGGGGTTATAAGAATTTTTGGAAAAAAAAAAAAAAGAAACAAGACAGGGAAGGCACAGCCCACACAAGCCAAAGATCAGAAAGTCGAGCGGCACGGATAAGGAGAGAAGAAGGTTGGCGGAGTGAGCGACTTCGTGGACTCCAAGTTGGATCTATATGGGCGGAGCAGACACAACTGTATTGTACAGAACGAACGGTAAGATACAGTACCACCGTGCCAGACGGTATTGATACCGATTTATTTCGGGCAAGAACTAACACGAAGGCGGTTAGTACTCTTTCCTTCTGGCAACACAGTCAAGGGGGCGACTCTTACCTCGTTGACTAGCAAAAAGTAGGACCGGCTCGTCTGAGAAACCTCGATGAAAAACCTGCACACCCCCACTTTTTTGGTGGCAATGATGGCTGTGAAGGGAGTGGAAATCTGAGTTTCACCGCAAGGATCTCAGGTTTGTTGACGCTGGACGAGCAAAAGGCGTGGACTCAGTCCAGCTGATAATCGTAGGCCTTGTGTGGTCTGAGGAGAATAAGGAAAGTCTATGGGGGTTTTTTGGACGGGTTCTATCTGTGCTATAAATCTTTTTTCCACTTCCCCTTTTTCAGCCGCGTGGCTTCGGACAGGAGTAGATCGGCGATTAACAGATCTTCTAGGGCGCCATCTGAGGCAAATCCTGGCCTCCTATTCCCTACTGAGGAGACTGAGACAATGCGCCCCCGATTAGAGTGTTTCATATTCTCCCCCCTGGCCAGGGGTCCTAGTGGCTTACTCACCCATTGTGGTTCGCTCTGACTAAAGCGCGCGGTTCCCCCTTAAGAATCCAGCGGCTCGCTCTGTGTAGAATTCATATTGAAGGTAAACAGCTGGCTAGAAGCCTTCAAACAGCTCCCGCCGTCTACTTGGAGTCTCCTAGGCGCCTTAAGCCGCCGGTATCCATTATATATTGGCGCCAGAAACACACTTTGTCAAACAATGGACTGTGTCAAATGGCTGGGCATGGGCTTTACTGTTAAGAAATGCGTTTTTACTGATCAAAGCTCTCTTATTAGCTTTTCGAGGTGTTCGTCTTCCGAGGAGTGGCGTTGAACTCTGTCTTGAGGCAATATGAGAGAGGTCTACTTGGGAACTTCCTTACTACCAAAAACTCTTATTCGAGCCTGACTATTGTTGATTCGAGAGTAGGGTATTTCCAGCTCATGCTGCAGAAGAAATAAGCATGCAGGTTCCTGTTCATGCAGAAAGTGATCCATTTTGGAGACCTTGGTCCGAAGATCGATTGGCTCGAATGCTTGGATGTCTTCACGTCTGAGAAAGGTCACCAGCGGCGTCAAGCTACACCCTGCATATATTTCAGAATATAATTCTGCAGATTTCAGGGTCTTCTCTTATCAACCAGCTTTTCAAGCTCTGCCGCCCTCGCCGTTTCATATTCGGAAGCGAATCCCCAGCTCAACGACCACCGGAGGTATTCGCGCTTGGAGAGAGATTTCAACTCTCAGTCAAGCCACATTGGCTGTTATTTTAATACTAATTTTAATAGCGCGTGGGACCAAGACCATCTTTAACAAGATTTAAGCACTGTCTCACTCTCAAGGATGTTACCTGGGCAACAAGTGCTCACTCTTTCTATATTGAAAACAGACGGCGCCTATGTGTTTATTGTTACCGTCCACTGCTTCATGCCATCAAGCAATGGGACCAGAAATATTTTGCATCATTCGGGGGCATGGGTCGTTGGATTGAATCCGTGACATCTTTACCAACATGGCTTTCTGGCCGAGTAGAACAGTAGCCCACCTTAAAGTATGGAGAACAAAAATATACTTATACGACACGAATCTCATTTAAGCACCATAGAGCAGCCAACGGAAGGAATGAGGGACACTAGAAAGAAATGGGAGACCCAATGAAGACTCTGGGAGTAAGTCTAATTCCTTTACAAGTAGTTTGAGATTTCGTTCCCATGGGGGGAAACATGTGTCTTCTTGAGGAAACAAGAGCATTTCACCAAGGATCTACTTATAATGACAACCGAAGGATAGCTAGGCATTGTGAGCTCTAGTCCATTAAGCACTAGTTTGTGATTAGTATATTTAGAAATGCCTTGGCCTCTGATGTTCTACTCATACTTGTAACATCACCCAAAGGCTTTAACCAGCCTGCATTGCGTTTATTCGAGGCAGTTTTGCTTCCACTAAAATTAGTCGATTGATTGGTTGATGTTTAACTACGACACTATGTTGAACAACAACTTTAACCTTAAAGAAAGGCACATGTTCCAAGTCTCAACTCCATACATTGATCAAAACGGTATAAAGTGTGGTTGTCTGGAAATACATGCTCTGGTGAGGAGATCGCATCGCCTCCCATAATCAACGCCCTTTGGCTATCAAAAGACTACAGTTCCCTCTCGATGGCCCAAAAAAATCTCAAAAGAATGAAACCAGAGAACAGGGTTATAGAAAGACAAAGCACACCTGTGTATTGCACTAATCCACCCCCAACATAGAAAAAGAATAAACCAAACAAAAAGACACAAAATCTCAGAAAAGCAAAACTAAAACGGAACCTCAACTAGATCAGCAGATATTGCCAGCCATTTCGATGCATGATGTCCCGCCAATGCACACTTTGCTTCTTGATAGATCGCATACCAGAAGCCCCAGGGTCGACAGTCGAGGTTTCTTGCTTGACACCAGAATATTGCGGGCAGTATGACCCAGCATCACTTACAATGATAATTGGGGCATCTGGGTCGTCCGATAGTCTCCATACCTCCTGTAGAACACAGTACATTCGACCAAAGCCGCCGAAGTCACCGATTTCCCCAAGCGCAGCGGCTCTCTCGGCCAAGACGCCGCGGAATGCACTTGTCGGCGTCGCGAATGATCCGGTCATTAATAGAGGCCACACAAGTGACCTGTCAAAGCCGTACGGTCCGGCTGGGATGTATTTAAGAGCGTCTGTGAAGGCAGAGACAAGGTTGACGACGCTGGGCTGGGTATTGTCGAATCCCGGAACGAGGCTGCACAGGTAGATGCGGGCTGCAATGCGGAACAGCGAGCTCATTGTCCTCGTCAGCACATCTGGCTGAATAGCGCCAGTAGACGAATAGGGGTGCTCGAGGGTCGGATCGGCTGGCTCGGTGTATTCAAGCTGGGCACCTAATGCGGAGACATGATGGCAAACGGACAGTTCATCGACGCGTCCCTCTGTCTTCAGGGAGTCTAGACACGCAATTTCGGAGATGAGATACAATATTCGATCGTCGCATCCCATCAATTCTCGCAGGCCAGATGAGGTACCAGTCAGGTGCTTGGAGCGATAGGTGTGTGCGAATTGCGGTGTTCTTCCCAACATTGTCGAGCCCAGGATATCGATCCAGGAAGTAAGAGACATGTTGAAAGGAGTCGCTGCTCCAGGATCCGTGGGTCGGGTTTCTGAGATGGGCAGCTCGAGTCTATCAACCAGGTTTGACACGGCTTGGAAATGAGCGTTCCAAGGAATATCTGGCAGACAATCATCGGGCGCACCAACTTGGCAATGAAAGAAGATCATTGCCAAGGTCGCATCGAGAACCTGTTCATGTTCAGTGTCGCGATTCAGAGCCTGACACAGCTGTGAAATTGCCTCATAACGATGTCTCATAATGTCGTGGTCGATCTGATCGGCACTCAGGCCCATGCTGGATTTGAGATGAATCGAAGAAACACTCAAGCAGCAATGAAGGTAGGACTTGTTTGTCTCGAGAGAGTTCAGAATCGCTTTTGCGCGTGCAGGGCCGCGTTGATGGATCTCAAGGATGGGGAAAATCAAGCGCAGAACATTTTCCACAAAGTGATCCAAGAGTGGTCGGTCATGTTCATCGACGGGCACAGTTGATGTAGGCAGATAGGATAGTGAGGGCCCAATGGTTTGCGGGATGATCGAGTGATCTTCGCTGTAGTATGGGTCGGTTCGGTTGAAGCATTCTTCCTGCAGCCACTCGTCTCCGTGGAATTCTGGGAGAGTATGATGAAGTTGTGGCGGCCCCATCGCGCTGAATGTAGAAACCGACGAGTCTTGTCGCAAAGGAACATCGTTGACAAATGTCTGTCTCTCGGTTCGGACATCGACTTCATAGGGGGCATATTGTGGCGGGTAAGCACTGGGGTGGAAACCCGTGGCTTGCGCATGGCTTGCGAATGGATCGTATGTCTCGACGAAGCCCGGTCGGTTGAAATCATATTCTCCAGTGAGCGGGGGCGATTCACCAGAGAGCCCATGTTCGATATGGCCTGTATGCAAATGCTGCGTCAGAGGGAAGATCCGACTATTTTCTTGAAATTCCTCAAAACATACCATTAAAGGAACCGCGTCGCTCTATCATCTTGGTCTGCTTGATCTTGTTCTTGATCCGCTCCTTTTGCATCCCCCGTTGCTCCGCACTCCCCCACCACGCTGGTCGCTTGTATTCGCATTTGACGCATAGGTTGGTACAGGCTTTGCAGGACGGGTGACCTTCGTCGCATTTCTTTCTTCGCAAGCGGCATGTGAAGCAGCCTAGATAAAGCAAATTAGCACCGAGGCTGAAGTGGACAACCCCTAAGTGTTAAACCATCCCGGGACTGACCTGAGCGAGAGCGCTTGTGCGATTTGTTTGTGGATCTGGTAGGGGCTCTGGATTTTGTTCGGGCGGCATTCGGCGTGCCAGTCGTCTTTGCCGCCGGCATAGTAATAGACTTGGTAGTCGACATGTTCGGACCTCTGGTCTCGAAAACAAATTGCAGTAAGGATAGTAGAGTGTCGAGAAGAGAATTGATCCAGCCAACAGACTGCAACCGACAGCAAATTGAATATGGAAAAAGGCCGCCAGCGGAGGTCGGGGTCCCTGTCAGTGTAACAGGGAGAACCAGAAAGAAAAGAGAAGAGATCTTGCTCTTCAATCTATCTATCTCCCAGAGACAGGATAGAGTCCGCGACCAGGTGCTGGAGAAAACGACAGAATGATCTGAGGCGGAATGTTTCATCGTGGGAGCTCCGGAGAAGGATGACTTTAAAGACTAATTTGCGATCTAACCTGCATTTTGCGATGCTTCTATTTTTCGAACGCGGTTGGCGAGTATTGGACGATCGAGCCCAAGGGAGCATGCGAACATCGGGTGGGGATCTGCGGCCGGGACAAATGACACCAAACTTGGACTAAATTTGGGATCATTTCTTGCAGGGGGGAATTTTCCGTTGGTCCATAGGTGCTTGTGGAGACGATCGTCCGTGTGTTAGGCTCGTTCGGAGGATGAGCAGGGAACGGGTGAGATGTGTGATGGCACCAAGGGATCCATCAGTTACCACCTGCATGCAAGATACGGCACCTCAGGGCTTGATAGGCTATTAGGCCCTGTTGCCATCTCTCTAGTTGGATTCTATCACACTGTCTGTGCACATTGCACCACCGAGTCCCTTTCCCAGCCCCCCTTTAATGCAATCTATAGTATTTCTCATCGATACAGAATCCTTCTCTCACCGATAGTCCTCGCCATAAAACCGGAATTTGAAACATTAAACACTCAGAGAATGTTATTCAGGAAAAGAATGATCGTAGACAGCTCTCTTCACCAGGCGAATAACTTGGCCTCGGGCGAGTCATTTGGTCACAATTGGTGATGATGAGTACATAAAGGTGGAGTAATATCGTGACCGGGCGGCAGCTGTTGCATGCCAAGCTTCCATCTCTGACCGCTGATTTGTTCCCCTTTAGCGTCTCGGGCTGTGGGCCGACCCCATCGGTTGCAGGATGGAGAGCCGACAGCCAACCGTGGGATGATCCTGGTCCGTGTAGAAGCGGGGGGAATCTTCATATTACATCCCAAAGAGAATATAATTAGCAACAATTAGCCGCCATTCCAAAGGAGTTAGCTTACCTAGCTTGACGTGTTTATTCCAATTTCGATCTTAATTTAGATTAATTTGGTCATTCTAGGCAGAATTTACTAAGAATAGCCCTATCTAAATCCCTCACCTAAACAATAAACAAACTAATTTATCACAAATTTTGAGCTGGTTTTGGAAGTTAAGCGCCCATTTTGAACTAAATTCGACATAATTAGTATCACGCTTTCTGTCCTTGTCCATATACCTGGGCAGCGAAATTGTGATGTTTCATCTATTGCCGAGTCCTCCGAGGTGAGAAACGTGACCTATTAACTAGCAAGGATATTCTTTCCTTCCAACAATTCAATAATATAGTACATGGAGTTTTACATCCAAGGTTGGTATACTTTGGGGTTGTCTTTGAGACAAATTTGGACTCTCGAAGAGCTTGGCTAGCTGCCTTGGATGAATTGACAATCCTCCATATCACAGGGTATATATAATGATTGATCCCCCCGAAGCCTTTCTAGGTGACACAATGCTCAATGTTGTCCCAACATAATTGATATCATCGGAGATTTAGACTTCTCGGGTATAAAATTTCATCATTACCGTCTGCCCACAGCTTTGTATCTAAATAGCTCTCTTATCATCCTGATCAGTTCGACATTGAAGTAAATCGATCCAATCTTTATCATTACATAAAGTTGATTGAGATATTTGTTTCTTTCTTCTCGATGCAGGCAGATATGGTACATCTTCGGTGTCACTTTGGATGAAACTTTTGGTCGGGTATGGAGTGTGACCCGGTTCGTTGGGAATGCGTCAGGTACGGAGTTGATTTTTGAATTCAGACCCAATGTGCCACCCTTTCCATGAACAAATTTGAAATTTAACCAACTTTGCCATGAAATGTGTTCCAAGCAGAAGGATCTTCGTTGTACAAGCCCGATCTTCAATAGCTCATATGAATATAGATATTTGTATACCGCGCATTTCTTGTCTGGGCTTCTACCCTGTCTTGAATATGGTCATTCAGTCTACTATGAAATTTTCCTATATCAATGGTTTGCTCTTCTTCTTCATTTTTTTTCACTAGAGTTGAATGCGAAGAGTCACCGAATCTTCAACCATGCCGAAGGATGCATTTTATCTCGACCGAGTCTATACAGAATGCAGAGCTACAATAGATGCTTATGTTGTGTTCCCCCTTGCCGGAAGTTTTCCTGAACCACAAACTATACCACAGCCGAGTGAACCACTCAGTTGCCTTGAGAGATGGTAATTCATCCTCGGTTTAAAAGAAGCTATATATACTTGTTCTACCTGCTCCACAAGAACAAGATCCACCCCAATAATGGCTTCAATAAATTTATTAACTAAATTAAACCCAAAAGCTTCGCTGCATAAGTGTGAGTAGACCGTAGCGATCAGTCAACTTTGGAATAGTGTGCAGGTGACACGACCACGACAGACCACAGCTTAGGAAACTACATATTTTGAAGACCAATGAGAAGCATGTTTTAGCTAAGGCTTAGATTATGTGCATAATTTCTATAAAAACACCAGGCTCTCACGTTTCGTTAATGCAAGCGCTCAAGGAAAGGAGGGGGAAACAACTCAGCGAAATTAACCCTAAATTATCTATTTCAGGAAACAGTTGACCGACTCGCGCCCAGATAAAATGTTGGGTAATTACAATTTGCTGCTATAATTATCAAAAATTACGTCTTTTCTCTGGGAGGATTAGGGACAGATTACCCGTGTGTGTGATCAACCCCGGACAGCTGCCTTAGCGCCAATGTGACAAGTACCTCGGAACCATTGGACGTTGCTTCTTCAACCGCCCACTCAGGGCGACAGGCTTAAGCACTACTGGTCGGTCAATCAGTGCCGAGCTGCCATCACTGCAGTAGCGTACTTTGACCAGCCTCTCGTGGCCTCTGCCCACCCCCCTTCGTGCATGATTATCCCTTGAGGGTTAATTTTGGCACAGTCCCAATTGCTCGCTTTGTGGCCCAATCACAAATTGGCGTCACTGAAAGGCGTTAAGGAGTTATGTGAAACCACCAATTATCGACTCTATCTACGGCTGGGGTAACTTGACTCGACCCTTCTCCCCTCGCAACCCCAGTCGTCTCATGCAACTGCACTAAGTACCAAATTCGTCACATCACTCCAACGGGTCGAAAACCCCGCTGGAGTTATTTTTGTATCTGTTTTTTTTTTCTTTCTTTTATTTATACTGGCGCTTTGCTGACCGACCATTTTGATGTGCGGAGAGGAGGTATACATATACTCGTCAATCACCCCATTAACGCCTTTCCTTTCACTCCATTAATTCTCTCTCCACATTATTGTCTCCTATCGCTGTGCGACGAGATCAACACTACATGTCATCCTCCACTATCCTGTCCTGGCTGTAACTTTAGGCGCCCTACCCAGGATCTCGCATACCATATCTCTCCCCCAACCCGGCGCCTAATACGTTCCTCCACGGCCAACTCTCCAAAATGGTATGGCACTATATCTTTGCGACATCTCATCCCCATTACTGACTGAATATGCAGACTACTCAAGAGGATTTGCAGTCCACACTGCGCTATCTTCAAGGCAAAGACAATGTGCTCTATGGGGCACCCCGCACCACTCGAGCTCGGCCTCTGTCGGATGCCACAGAAATCCTGGACACAGACTTTGACTCCGACTCACAAGAGGATAACCCCGACGACTCTCCTCGAAGAAGTGTTCGATCTGTAAGCAATAACACTATTTTCTATCTGATCATATAGGGAGAGAAGTGCTAATATGGCCCGTCGCAGCTTGGAACATCCAGTGTTACCACTGCCTCCACGCCAGACGACATCAAAACACCAGACTCTACTGGACTCACGGGATTCCACTTCCACATTGAGGATAATGAGAACCCGGTTGCAGGCCCAATGGGCCCACACCTCTTCCGCTATTCGAACCGCTCGATGGATCTGAAATCCTCGGTCGAGGTCGATCTGGTTTTGCAAGACGCCCCCCTCAGCGCCACCACTCCTTTCCACAAGCACGCATCCAAGCTGGGACCGGAAAGAAGAGATACTCCCGTTCCTGCCGATGAGACTCCTCAGGAGACACGGCCTCAGCGCGAGCTTGCAAACCTTACCGACACTATCTCGGAATCGAACGAGACTGATATTGCAAACTGGACACCGCAAGATGTCGTCATGTGGATGCAAAGGTTGAATTTTGAGGAGAGTGTCATCGAGAAGTTCTTCATCAATGATATTTCCGGGGCCATCCTTTTGGAACTCCAATCGGAGGATTTGAAAGAGCTTGACATTCCGTCTTTCGGGAAGCGTCATCAAGTGATGAACTCGATTCGGCAGCTTCGCAATAGTGTCACGATTCATCCCGCTGATGTCCAGCCGTCGTCCCAAGAAGACCCTGTGTCACGGGAAGCCACACCTCAGACTACTATGGCCGATGTCGGCAGTAGTTGTGGAAGCCCGGTAACCGATGAAGAGAAGTCCGACCGCAAGAAGAAAGAGCACAGTCCTCGTCATCAGCACCGACGTCGTCAGAAGCAAGTGGTTGTGCCCGAGGACTCCGTCTCCATTGTCGGCATTGAACAGGTCTTGCCACGACTCCACAGATGTTCCAAAGGAGAGGACTGTCGCAAGTGGCAGAAGCAGCAAGCAAAGCTTGCCCGTCTTGCCAAGGACCTCCCCATTGAGTCCCTCAGCGGCTCGGTGATTGTGACTGGTGACCCAGGGAACGCAACCACTGCACCAAACCTGAACAAGAGCCCAAAGTCCGATGTGACACCCTCTCTGGTTGCATCGTCCGATGCCCTGGGTCCGAATCAGACTACGGATGTTCATTTATCGAAGGAAAGACTTCATGGTGTTCAGCCTCGTGATCCTCAGGAGAATGTCCGCAACTTCCTGAACTTTCAGCGTCTGAGCCGACTGCAACCAGCAAACGACCCGGCCACTCCTCCAACGGAAACCTTCCCCTCTCCGGAAGCAGACTCTCCAGGAAGTTTAGCTGAGAATCTGCGCAGCCTTCCAAAGCTCCGCATTCCCAGTGCTCATGCTTCTTCCTTGCGAACCTCACATCTCTCACCCAGCCTCTCCGGCCAACGTACCGTGACGCCGTCGATTACCCAAAGAAAATCTTCTCTCCAGCACACTATCCCCGAAAATTCCCAAGAGCCATACGTCTCTGTCTTCTCTCCATCGGACTTCTACCGTCAAGATCCGCACTATGGACAGTCAACGCCTATGTCAGAAATGGATGTTCCTGTGACAGCCATTCCTGTTGGCCCAATTGAGCGGCTCTTTTCTCAATCGGTGCCACCGGACATGCGATTCGGGAACGAGGGATACCATATGGCTGACCCGATCCCTCGCCCTATGTCTACAAAGGCGGAAAACCACCGGAGAAACAACAGCTCGCAAAACATTCCTACTCTGACTCGTCTGGATGAGGGCCAGGTTCTGCGACCGATTGATACGCCTGAAGATCTGGACCGCACCCCTCGAGCTGGCCGCTGCCGCGTGAACCCATTTAACACCTCGGGAAGCCCTGTGAACGATGTCATCCACAGTGGCTGGATGAAGAAGCGCAAGACTACTCGACTTCTGCGCCATGAGTGGGAAGACCATCACTTTGCGCTGCGTGGCACCCAGCTAGCCATGTATGCGGATGAGGAAACTGCCCACCGCGACTCTAAAGCTCTTGAGCATATCGATGTTGATGACTATGCTGTCGCCTGCTCATCGCTCGCCTCCAGCTCGAAGCTGACAGCAGCCTTCAAGAAGACCGTTCTGAAGCGCAAGGATGACACTCGTGGTGATACTGCGTTTGCATTCTCCTTGATTCCTTCGCCGAGCCACGGCACTGCTGTCGACCGCAAGACCTTTTTCACCAACAATGGCAAGTCGCATCACTTCGCTGTCAAGACTCGAGATGAGCGCATTGACTGGATGCGCGAGTTGATGCTGGCCAAAGCCCTCCGGAGAGGTCGCGAAAGCGGTGCTTCCGTCAATGTCAACGGCAATGCCATCTAGGGTTTTTCTTCGCATTCATTTCACTTGGTATTTGCCTTATACCCCAACATTGTGCACACCTCTGTGACACAACCTTTTTTTACATGTTCTTTGTCTTTGATTTTCTTCTGCTCAGCATTTTTCAAGTTCCATCATGCGCTACGAGCCCACGAATCTCTTTAATAGTTACCGGGGAGTCCTTTGTTTTCTTACACCGTCTCTTTTGCATCACTTCTCATACTTCTTCATTTGGATATGCTCCAGAGCAGACAGACGCGGCTTAGATGCATGTATTTCGCGGGCAAAAGACTCACGCCGGACCCGTTAGAGTTGATCCTCGCGGTTCAACAACTTATCTACTCCTATTATACCCCAGAGACACATTTGAAATCAAAACTCGAGCTGGATCTCACAAAAATTCCAAGTCGCGCATTCTCCATAATTACTAGATCTCGGCCATTCACACCTAGAATTAAATTGGCCGGGCAAATCAGCCTCGGATCTGCATCCCGGGGGCTATGTGTGATCACAATCCATTACCGCTATGATCAGTCAGGCCATTAGTTCGCAGCCACCAGATAGTCATTAGACTAGAACCAAGCGCGTCTACTGGATACGGTGTGTTTCAGCTGCCACGAGCCAGGTCATACGAAGAGGGGTGTCGGCCAGGGAGATAGCAGGGATGTGTTCGAGTATGGGGTCTGATTATTGGCTAGTGGTGGGACCGGTGGCCCAACGTCGGCGCGTATAGGCTCGTTGGCACTGGCGCGGTGATGGGATAATGTGCGTCGCGCAGCAGCATGGCGTTGATCAGATGCATAAACCTCCCCACCCAATGAAGCGCTACTGCTCAGTGTTGGATTTTGAACAGCAAAACACGCGCCCGAATAGGCATTCTTTACTACCATCCCCCATTCGGAGTGCTTCAGAAATTGGTGATTAATTTCCTCATCAAGGGGATAGCATTTTAAACAGTCCGAAGGGACGGGCATTCTGGGGTAATGTGGATAAGGGGGGGGCACTCGTTAGCCGCTCCGGAACCCACCGTAGGTGCCCAGAGACGAGAGGATCACTGGGGACCCAGCGGGGCTTTAGGGAAGGGATCTGCTATTTCCACGTAAATCGTATCTCCGCTAGACGCGAGAGGGGTGAAGCCTGCCCCCCTATGTCAAGATTGGAGGATGGAATGGACTTGGGATTTATTTGTGTAAGCACACCCTAGTGCCCAGGTTAAGTTTCATTCCAGGCTTTTTTTTTAAAAAAATTCTTTCGTTTGTTCTTTCTAATCTTTGTTTCCATCATCATTTTCTTCTGCCTTTCTGGCGGCGACCATTCCTCTTCTCCCCTCCCTGCCTATCGTATCGATATTTATGGCTACGAAAATTCCCTGTTGTTTTGTACCATGGTAGACATTGCAACGGTTCGCACAAGCCTCAGCCAGGTCGCCCAATCCACGCGGGTGGCTATGCGTTGCTTGAACGGTGGCAGGGACTCACATGACGCTTCTCTGAGGGCCCTATCCCTCCTTGTCGACATATTAGACCTCCTATATCGCATCAAAGATGAGATCAGCTGGACAGAAGAGCAATGGTTCGTCGCCGCCGGGCGCCTCAGGGCCCTGAGCGAGCTACTCGGATGGTTCGGATTGAGCATGAAGTCTATCGAGCTCTATTTTCAGCCGGGGGGCGTCGGCGTGTTTTACTTCAGGAAGCATCTGTTGGAAAAGACCTATGTCCCGCGGCTAGAGCAGTACAAGATCATGTTCCTGCTTGCCATGCAACCAGATTCAGAGTATGAACGATCTAGCCGAGTCCCCGGTGTTATCTTCCAGTCTGTTCGAGCTAATGTGTTTTCTAGAGAGCGATCTTTGTTGGATAAAGAGGTCAGGAATAAGCTTAAAAGCTATCGTGATGTGGAAGCAGGTATGTCAAAGTCCCTTCGGTGCATGTTTTGGGCATCGTGTTCTAACTGATATCGCCTATGCAGCCAGCTTGAAACTTGATTTACAATTCGAGGAAGATGCCCTGGGCCTGACAAGCAGACTCTCCATGGACCACTTTATCACACTGGCGGATCTTTGTCACAGACGTCAAAAGGGAACGTGTGAGTGGATTTTTAAGAACATACACTTCAAGCAGTGGTTGCTGGGATTAACCAGAACCCTCTACTGTATTGGACCTGGTATGCTCTCACCCTCGTCGCATATTGCATTACTCAATATCAGATTCTAATCTTTTCTCAGCGGGTGCGGGCAAAACCTTTCTCTCGTAAGTTCAAGAGCAGAAAAAAAAAAGTTTATCTACTTGATTCACATCTAACCTCACAACTAGATCCTCAGTCATCGACTCTCTGCAAAGGACCTTCCCCTCTTTCGATGTAGCGACTGTGTTTATCTTCTGTCAAGAAGAAAACGGAAAAGAGCGAACCTCAATGGATCTCCTAAAAAGCATTCTGGCACAGCTTGTATATTGCAAGCGCAGTTTGTCTTACGCCACTTCGTCACTCTACTACTCCGAGTCCCTGGCGAAGGGAAGCGCATCCCCGAAGGCTTATCAAAATGCAATCCGAGCAGAGGTCAACCGCTTCTCGAAGGTTTTCTTTGTGGTCGACGGACTCGATATGTTTCCCGACAAAGAACGCATTCTGTCTCGACTTCACAAGCTCCCCGATCAAGCTCAGCTTCTGGTGACACTACGGGAAATGAGCGACGTCAAAGCAGTTGATAACTCTGGATACGTGAGTGTGTTTGCTCCACCCGAGGATATTGGGCTCTACACACTCGCTCGCACCCGTGCCGACCATGGGATGCGATGCATTTTGGGAGATACGTCTCCGGACCTAAAACTCGAAGATGCGATCTTGCACTCGGTGGTAGCAAGGTCTCATGGGTTGTTAGTACTGTCAAAATATTTTCGTGGTGATATGTCAGACAAAAGCTAACATATCTCTCGTTTAGGTTTCTCCTTGCAAAACTTCATTTGGATCTTTTATCGCAATATATGGACCGCAGTCTTCTTGAGAGAGCTCTTATGCATCTTCCAGAAAGTCTCGGAGAGGCATATGGAGAGGCAATGAAGCAGGTCGTGAGCCAGAGCTCATGTGCAACACGTTACGTTTATTGGACTCTTTACGCTTTGAGACCTCTTTCTGTCTCGGAGCTGAGGAGTGCCGTCAAAGACAACGAGAAAACGGATAACCCTGAATCCGTGCCTTTCGAACACTCATTACAAGTTCAAAGTGCAGGACTTTTGACAATCGATGCCGTATCAGGCACGGTTTGCTTTGTCCACAGGACCGCCAAGGAGTATTTGAACGGATCTGCCGCCAGAGTCTTTTTCCCCGGTGCGCAGAAAGACATAGCCGAGGTCTGTCTTAGCGTGATCACCCCGGACGAGGTAATTGATGAGTGCTACTTGACCGAACCTGGCACGTCTCGCGCCTCAAAGAAAGGATTCCTAGATTATGCAGCCACTTACTGGGGATTTCATGCACGGGAAATTCCAGAGGATGAACAAACCATCCAGGTCTTGATCAAAACGTTCCTCAACAAGCTTCTATGGAGGCGACCGCCTCTTGACTTTGCTATAGGCAAGGAAAACGGGATTCCCTCACAGCTTGGGATAGGTAAGTACCCTACGGACTGGAGTGGACTACATGTTCTCGGTTTCTTTGGGATATCTGTAAAAGCCAAAAGGCTTCTCGAGCAAGGAGAAAACATCAATGCCCAGGAAAACTCAATGAGTATGACTCCATTACACTGTGCTGCGAGTCAAGGAAACGATGAAATGGTCGAGTTTCTCCTTGAGAACGGCGCCAATGGCAATGCGGTGACTGCGGATGGACAAACAGCCTTACACCTCGCCACACAGAACGGCCATCGAAAATGCATGAAAGTACTTTGTTCTCGGCGCGTCGATACGCAGATTGTTGACGAGAACGGCGCAACCAGTCTTCTTGCCGCCGTGGGTACCGCGACTGATGAATCTACGGTTCCGCTTCTGGTCAGGAATAAAGCGGACGTGAACTTCCAAAATCTCAAAACCGGAAACACTGCCCTCCATCTGGCGGTCGAATGGAGACGGCCCCGAATCATTCTCTTCCTCCTCGAAAAACGCGCCGCGATTGATATCACCAACAATGAGGGGCTTACTCCGCTCCAACTGGCGGCGACACTTGACTACTGCGAGGCGATCACACTGCTCTTGCAACAGTGTGCTCATGTCGAGGCTCGCTCGCTTGCGGGGCCAACTGCATTGCAATACGCCGCTTGGAGAGGCCATTGGGTCGCATTTGATCTGCTCTTGATCGGCGGGGCAGACATCAATGCGTGGAACAAGCGAGGAGAAACTTTACTCCATGAACAAGCTCGATATGTCTCGAATATATCCATTGCATCCAAGCTTCTGGAGCAGGGGGCGAACATCGAGGCACGAACATCTCAGGGCTATACCCCTCTTCAATGTGCCGCCATGACCGGAAACAAGACTATGTTCCAGCTTCTCCTTGCCAAAGGCGCCAAGGTGGATATCGAGACGGCCAAGGGCGAAACCCTTCTTCACATTACCCCGCCCGCCAATGAAGACTGTCTCGAGATCCTCACAACCGTCCTCAAAGCGGGCATCTCCGTCACCGCTACCTCCAGCCAAGGCTGGACTGCTCTTCATCAAACAGTTTATACAGGCACGGGAGCCCTTAACTTGGCATCCGACAAGACAGCCGAATACATCAGTCTCCTGCTGGACCACGGCGCTTCCGTCAATGAAGTCTCTGGATCCTCTCAGGTCGAAACACCTCTCCATCTTGCAGCGATGGCACCTCTCTCACGTGCATCGCTTGTAGGCTTTCTTATAGAGCAGGGATCCAATATCAACGCCGTCACTGGCGAAGGGAAAACCGCCCTTCACCTTGCCGCTGAACGTGGGCGCGAGCCCATCCTTCGTCTTTTGCTGGACGCCGGCGCTGATCTGACGCTGAAGATCCCCACCCACCAGTCAGTCGTGGTCACAGAGGGAGAAAATAAAGAAACCCCAATCACTGCAATTGACCTCGCCAAGAAGAATCCCTTTGGAGTCCTGTTGTTCGACGACGAGGGGAAATTGCGCCCAAAGCCTCAGAGAAGCAGGCCCAACAGTGCGTCCACGATCATTGAGGACATGGACTCCGAGGTCTATGACTCGGAGACTGGTGAATCTACTTTGGTTGGAAGTGAACACCCTTACGTTGTCGTATGAGGTTAATTGCTGGCTACTCCTCCACTGTGGGCAACCTTCATTTCTTTGTCTTTACAGTTACTTTTCTTTTCGCACGATGATACCCGACCCTAAGAGCTTGAGTACTCTGGGGGGTAATTTTTTATTTTATTGTTAATTAGTTGAAAAGCGACTGTGCTTCCTTTGTCATTTGACTAGTTATTTGAGCGTGACGTCCCATTCTTGCTGGCGAGTTCTATACTACAACCTTGCAACAACGATTGCCCATGCAAATATTCACCACTCTCTAACGAAAAGCCAGAGTATGGAAAGCATTTGATTATCTAGCGCAGTATTCCTTCGTTAGGGGGGGGGGGGACGAACCCCTCGTAGAGAGCATAACTACGCTGTATGTCACTTTCATGGAGGCAATCAACTCACCCCATCATCCGAATGACTAGATACGCCCACCCATCCCCATAGGCAGAGCTCCTCACCACCTCTTCGATCGGGGCAGACATAGGGAGCACCGCTCCATGAAGCACCGGCTTTGCCAGGATAGGAGTTCGTCGACTGGGGAAAAGATTGGGGAGCAATGTGTGTAGGACAGTGCCAACCGTCTGGGGTTGCATACCAGGACTGGATCGAGAGCTCAATAATTGACTTGACTGGATACTAGCAGTCGGGATCGATGGAGGCAGTGGCGACTGTATCATTTTCAGGGAAGGAGACTCAGCATCTGGTGGAAGAGGTAAGAAAATCCGAATGGGGATGTTGCGGAAGGGCTGTGATGGCGGGGGCAACAGGATGTTGGAAATGCGTTGGAACGCGGGGAGGTCCACTGGAGTCATGGGTATCAGTTCATGCAATATTTATCTTTATTTTCGGTAAAGATTGGGAGAGGGAAACTGACCTCCCTCAACAGCCTTCCACAGACCAAAAGTGTCTTCTTTGGATAGACTCATGATTCCTTTGGCTGTGCCGTTTCGAAGAAAATCCGCCTCTTTGACGCTATTTATGAAGGCATCGTTCATGACCATGCCATCGGCATCGAGTCGCACAAGATCTTCATCAGGCCAGTCGCTGAAATGCACAGTCAGACGCCACGGTAGTGCCGATTCAGCCTCTGGGGAATCGTCGCCTCTTGTGCTGGTCTTCGAAGCCGGGTCTGCGCCCGCATAGAGGTCAAACAAAAGGCCGATAGGATAATGCCATTTCAATGGCACACCCTCAAAGGCAAACCAGCCATCATGGGGTTGAGAGTTGGGCTCGATGAGCGAGCTTGAGAAGAAAGCTCGAAGTTTTGGCAGTAATGACGGGAGATATGAGACACGTGGGGACGCGATCTGGGGAACGTTAGACGAAAGTCATGAATTCCAGGCCATGTGGCAGGAGAATGCTCAGCATACAAGATATGGATCGGTCTGGTCGTATGTCCGACTCTCAGATGGAGCAAGGACAATTTGCAGGGGTATCCGCCCGTCCCAGATGCTTTTCTGAATGGAGAGGAGAGATGTTTGGGTCTCCATTTTGAAGCGATGAATGGCCGACGCGTTCAGGTCTTGTCGCGTACTTCCTGGTATATCGTTAGAAAGGTTTTCTAAATTTCACATAATGGATATGAATGCAACGGTCAGATGGGTCCTTACTAGTTCCAAGCTGTTTGCTGGCGAGGATGAGAGGTGCATGTCATCAGTCGATAAGACTCGATAGGGAATGCCCCGCTGCCGACGCGATCATGATCGACGCGACCGAGTATTCTCTGAAGGTAGGTGGATGGAGCAAACAACCATTCCTAAGATTTTGTGCCAGTGAAAGTCGCCATAAGATCCAACAACAAGTGCCTGGCCGTTTCTTGAAGGCAAAGCAGGCACGTGATGGTGCCTGAGGCTACCATGGCTCAAAGTGATGCCTTAATTTCCCCCCGATTTTAACCAAGACCATGCAACTCGAAATGGAATTTAAATGTCGAATGCCACATACCAAGGTCCTAGACCATCGTAAACCTTTGGAATTCGTCACTTTTGACTAGAGCCATAAAACAAACCTGGCGCCAGACGGCTATCCCTAGCCAAACATATCTGTAACTGTGCCCGAACCTTTGCTCTCTGACGAGTTCTAAAGATCAAGCCAAAGCCTTCAAGTCTTGATGCAATTCTGGGTTCGATTTAATATTCTCTGAGTGATATCACCATGGCCTTGAGGGGGCTTATGGTTTATATATCGAAGTATGACGCAGCAAACATGAATCATTCATCTATTGCATCCACCAATAATAAAACATCGCTAAGCATGATCCCGAGATCCCGAGAATGAAGGTAAAGCCAAGCTTTTGAGATTCTCTGAATATTCAGAATTATTCAACCGACGAACCGAGATATAGTAGGTGCCACGTGACTTGGGGCTTTTAGCCCTTCATCCGCTCGGCAAAGGGCTCCACTGTGGTTAAGGGTTCTTCCCGTGCTGGATTCTTTTTTCCTCAGCGAAGAGACCCGGGGTATTCGATTAGGAAGCGGCACTTTACTGTGCCATTGTCTGCACAGTTTATGTGCATTACATTACCTTCCGCGAGAGCCGGGGGGGGGGGGGGGGAGGGCAAACGATCAGCTCTACATGCGTGGGTAACCATAGGGCCCATCGGAAAATTCCTCATCAAGACCTAGCAGAGAAACGAAGGCATTTATGACAATTCTGTCGAGATTGTACATGAGAGAAACACCACACGAGATAGCCAAAAGATCAAAGCTCTTAGACTGAAGAATTGTTTTCCCATCAATTCTACCCAGGGAGACCCATCGTCAGATATATAGTAATTCCTAGAGCAAAGGCGGCTGAATGTTTCCGGGGAAAACGCTACCCCGGCCCAAGTGTTCCACCCCACGAACGTCTGTAAAGCCATGTCTGCCTCACATTCAAACCCCATATTGCCCCAGTGTGTATGGGGTTACGACTTAAGCTGTGGAGAGGGCTCACGCGGAGGGAAATCCCCACTGGCATCCATTGAAATGCGAGTTATTACTTAGGGCCCCAGTCCCATTTCTATCAGTCCCATTCCTCGCCCCAACCGATTTTTTCTCTTTCTCTCTTCACTTCGTTTCTACTACCTCCCTCCCTCTTTCTGCTCCCCCTGTTGGCTGTTGGACCCCAAACAGCAAAGAAAAACAGCCATGGGTATCCTAACGCTGGTCGAGGACCGCCCAACCCCCAAGGCCGTCTACAATTGGCGCGTGTACCTGCTCGCCGGCATCGCATCATGCGGTTCCAACATGATCGGCTATACTAGTGCCTTTATTGGCACTACCATCACCCTCCCGTCCTTCATGGCAGAATTCGGTCTTGACAAGATGACCGACCCGGAGGTAAGGTTGATCAGTGAGAATATCGTGTCGCTATTTATTGCCGGAGCCTTTTTCGGTGCCTTGTTCACTTATGCTCTGGGCCATTTCTGGGGCCGCAAATGGAGTTTGGTCGTGGCCGCTGCTATTTTCACTCTGGGATCGGGCCTGCAAGTAGGTGCCAACCACTCCCGCGGACTAGGCATTTTGTACGCCGGTCGTGTGTTGTCTGGACTGGGCACGGGTGTGGCCTCGAATATCATCCCCATTTATCTTTCTGAGCTGGCGCCTCCGGCTATTCGAGGACGGCTGGTAGGTCTTTATGAGCTGGGCTGGCAGATTGGTGGTTTACTCGGTTTCTGGATCAACGTGAGTCTAATTTACTACACTTCCACTGCATCTATAGGCAACTAACATTCTTTGGAAATTTAGTTCGGCGTTGAGCAACACATGGGTTCCACTCACCAGCAGTGGGTCATTCCATTTGCAATCCAGATCGTTCCATCGGGCCTGCTTTTCATTGGAGCCATGTGGATGAAGGAATCTCCTCGCTGGCTCTTCTTGAACGGGCACCGAAAGAAGGCAATGGAGAACCTGTGCTGGATTCGTCAGCTGGAAGCATCTGATATATACATCACCGAGGAGGTGACGGCCATTGACCAGGCCCTCGAATACCAGAGGTCGACCATCGGCATTGGATTCTGGAAACCCTTTAAGGCACTCGGCACCCGCAAGAATATCATGTGGCGTCTCTTTTTGGGATGCATGCTGTTCTTCTGGCAGAACGGATCGGGCATCAACGCCATCAAGTGAGTTTGCGCTGTCAACTTACTGTCTTTAGCACTACAAAAACTGACTGGTTCGTTTCAGCTACTACTCGCCTACTATCTTCAAGTCGATTGGGGTCGCCGACGGCACAGTGAACCTGACGACCGGTATTTTTGGTGTCGTCAAGGCCTTCATGACCTTTGTGTGGTTGCTGTTCCTGGTCGACCAACTGGGACGACGGAACCTGCTTCTTGGTGGTGCAGTCACTGGATCCATCTGTATGTGGATTATTGGCGCATACATCTGTGCTGTCAGGCCCGATGAGCATCCCTCCAAGACCTTGAACAGTGGAGGAATTGCTGCTATCTTCTTCTTTTACCTGTGGACTGCCGTCTACACGCCCACTTGGAACGGTACCCCGTGGGTTATCAACTCGGTGAGTTCTTCCTCCCCCATTGTCTCAGAAAGAAACAAAACTAATAATCCTCGACAGGAATTCTTCGACCCCAACTTCCGTTCCCTGGCGCAAGCCGCCACTACTGCCAGCAACTGGCTTTTCAACTTCCTCATCTCCCGATTCACGGAGCAGATGTTCGCAACCATGAACTACGGCGTGTACTTCTTCTTCGCCGCCCTGTCCTTCCTGGCCTTTTTCTTTGCCTTCTTTCTCATCCCCGAGACCAGCGGTATCCCGCTGGAGAAGGTTGACCGGCTGTTCGAGTGCAAGCCTGTGTGGCGGGCGAACAAGATCCTCAAGGAACAGCTGAAGGGCGAGGAGGAGCAGTTCCGGTTTGATGTGAAGGATGGTACTATCCATCAGGAGAATGGCGAGGAGCTTGAGCAAAGATGAGTGACCCGACAGAAGCTTGGGTGTTATAGAAAGCCTAGACCCTAGGCTTTGTGTTATATAGACTTGGATATATCTACATCGGTACATAGGATTTTTGATGATTGCCACAGTTGTGGAATGCAACTTCATTATGACAGCGATTGCAATGTCATGATTGTCAGTAGCAGTAATGATGCAATTTGTTATTGCATATTGTTCTTGGTCGTACCTCGACGACTTGTAGTTCTTCTCCAAATCGACGTTCACGTCATGAGAAAATCAGAAAATCAGCCAAGATGATCCCTCGGTTGCCTGAAAATACACATAATCCATTGCGCAAATCACAAACCATCTCACCTACTGTAAGAAGCAGCCTACAGCAGCCTCCCCAGCCATGTTGTAAGTATCGACTCAAACAATTCAGAGATCCTATCCAAAAAGGGTAAAAAGAACAATACCTCCATTGGAACCACCAAGCTGACGTGTCAATTACCTGACAGCTTCACAAAAAGATCAGGATGCCTCCCGAGCACCGGCAAGTCTTCCGCGATAATCCTGCAGGAAGCAGCGTACCTGCATCAGGCTGCGGCCGGTGCCTGCAGAGCCCACACCCACAACGATATCGAAAAAAAGGTAAAGACAAATGAGAAGAATTACGAGGCTCCGGAAAGGAAAAGAATGGGGAAAGATAGACAATTCGAAAGAGTCGTCAGCAAGAACTGGGCTCAGCACGGTTGCTGGCGCAAGCCATCCATATCCTATCCCTTGTTCCGCGTAACCCCGTCGAAGCCGGGCTGAGAAGTGCGCAACGCCCTTGAAACAGAAGTAAAAAAGAAAAAGAAAAGAGCAAGAGTCTTATTGCGATCCTCATAGTTGATTTTCCTTTTGATGGTAGACGGGTCTGGTTCATTCCAGGGCCGTCGCAAGGTCTCGCAAGGACTGACTCATTTAGAGTATACCGCCGTTCTGTGAAGAACTGGTTCTTCGGAGGGCTTGCTATTTCTAGGAGTGATCGGAGTCGGCAGATTCGGGGAGTATAGATGCCGATAAAAAAAAAACAGCCAAAATATTGAAAAGGAAAAAGGGACCGTTATCCATACCATGGCGTATATGCATGGCAAAATTCCCCTAGCGGTTTCAGCTGTGCTTGCTCTCCCTTCTTCCACTTAGTTTCATCCTTGTCCTCGTCGCAGGCTAGGTTGCGATGGCAACAATATGCAGAGGCAGCATCTATACCCAAGGTTGGATGCATTAAAAGGAAAAAAAAAGGGCCGGGTTGGTTTGTGTTTCAGACTGAGGCGTCCTGCATGACTGACAATTTGGGAGCAAACGTCCCTCCCTCAAAGGGATGATCAATGGGATCAGCCGTGGGCGATCCCTGCCGGTTTGGGGTCGCGCTTGACCTCGGATCGTGTGGCTAGTTCTTCTCTAGGGTTTGTGATAGGTAGAGTGAAGGGGGTATAGATTATCTGCAAGGTGTCGGGGCATTAATTTTATTTATTTGCTACAATCATTAGGTGTAATAATAATGAAATACAATAATTAGAAGAGAAAAGTCAAGTGAGTTGCAGGAAGATCATTGCGGGAGTTAGGGCAAGACGTCACCCGTTATACTCCAGACGTTGCACAAAACCACCTCGAACAAAGTCAGCTACCACCATCACCTGAGACACTTTTCAAGATCAAATGAGGGACGTTCAACAGCCTCACATGCAAGCAACCGAGCCACCTTGCAGATCGACGGGGGAGATAAAGTTGGGAGGAATTCCGCAGCTCGGACCAAGTCGTGCCTTGCATAGTTCAAGTGGAGCCCGCAACGTCCCAGCATTGCTCGCTAAGAGGAAGCGGAATGATCGCTAAACTAGTTCCAGGACGCGTGGGAAAAGCAACCTTATTATCTGAAACACCGGTCCCCCCCATATGGCTTTGTGTTTTAATGCCTGTGGCTTTGCTCCAGTCCCCTCCGGTCCGTGAGATCGATTCTCATCTCAAGAAGCTGGACTAGCTGAACTCGCTACATACTTCGGCAAATGCACGCGGCACGGTCCATCTCGAAGCGGTCCGCTCGCCACGCCTCACCCGGAATGGTGGCGGGATTTCCGCGGCCCTAATCCTCAGCTAGTTCCCCAATGTTAGATGTACTCCATCGGACTACCCCGGCAGGGTGTCAAGCCACAGGAGAGGTCCAAGCTTGTATGTCGTAAACTAGTGTTCCTGCGGAATCGTCGAACAACCTGCAGGAGCCGGAGATCTCGAGAGGGATACCCGGGGCGTACCATGCTTACGCTCCAGGTGAAACGCGCTGGCCGATGCTTTCTCCTTTTGGACGAGTCGGGTGGTAGACTCGTCATAACGGCTTTTTTTATTCTTTTCAAAGTAAACCCGGAGTACCCACGTGCCCTTTTCATTCCCCCTTTCTTCACTGAGGACCCTTAGAGGGAGACGACCGGAGTCAATATGAAACAAGAAGGTTGGGGTGTCGATGAGCTTGTGTGTATGTGAGGCTTAGCATTCCGGAGATATTAGCAAGGTACTAAGGCTATGCAGAATGACTCGTAAGGTTATGTCTTTTCTAATGAGTAATTAAAGATTGAGACGTGGCTGGTATGAGAAAGACCTATTTTCAGTGATTACCTCATAGGGCCTCACCCCGGAGAGGGTGTGTGTGCAAGGCACACGTCGTGACTCGTCGATCCGCAAGTGATGTCAAGGGGAAATGAACAGGGAACATGCAGGTGCGCGTGGCCCTCGAGAATGCTGCATCGCAAGCTTTTACTGTTTCCGGGCGAATTGGAGGCCCTCTCCTGGGGCAATGCGTGATCTCCATGCGATCGACCACGTTGGTCCCACGACCGGTTTCACTTTGACCCTTGGACTTGTCTAAAAAGAGAAAAAAGAAAAAGAAAAAGAAAAGAAATCAAGAATTAAATGCTATTACGAAGCGCAGTTGCCGCCAAGTAACCCCGGACCCTCGAGATCCCTTGTTTGATACCTCGATTCAACATCTACACCTCTCTCTCTCCCTTTCATTCCACGGCCCATATACCGAAAACAGTGCTGCCCGGGCTGAGACATGTGGTTCGCCATGTGCTCAAATACGCTGAGAATGCGGATTATAGCAAATTGAATTTATTTATTTATCTTTTTCTATTTCTATAGTCGATCGTGGAGACCCACACATCCTCATCATGCATCTGGTACCTGCCTCCCTGCACTCCGCCCTCCCCACTCGCCATGCAGAAATTAAAATTAGAGAAAAATAAATAGATATTCTAAACCAATAGGAAAACGGTCGCCTGTTTCGTGTTGGTGGAGGAACGGGTTTGTGCTTGGCCCACACCATGGTGCGCCTCGAAGGGGAAAATTCCAGACCCGCCATGCGTTCATGCGGACCGAATCTGTCAGAGGCTCGAGGGGAGGGAGTACGCAGATGGTGTCACAGACGCTTGGCCAGAGGATGATCCTTTCCTCCTTTCTATGTTGCCCGTTAAGCTCCCCTTCGTCCATGTGGGCCGGCTGTAAGCTCCTGCCGGACTCGCGTGCGCAAAAAGGCATGCTGCCGAGAGAGCATAGCCTCGCTGGTTTGGAAGTATATATAGGGGGAGGGCAGTAGGTCTCATGAGTTTGATATATTCCATTCAAACCATTGCTCAGGCAGAACATCGAAAACTGCTTCCAACTCTTCAATATATCAAACCTCCCATCAATCCCTCTGCTATACTTGGACATTTCTTCCATTTCCTCTTCTTCTGAACTACCTTTCCACTGGCCAAGCTATCTTCTTCCCCCCTCCTGCCTCTTCTATCATTAGTCATGTCTATCCCAGAGGGTGCATCCACAAAGTGAGTCTATACTTTCTGCTAAATGTCACTATTTGTCCAATAACTAACCCTTGGATAGTCTCCGCAACAGCACTACTGCAAACTCCCTCAGCCGACGAAACCTCAGCCAAATACCCCGGAGCAGTCGCACCAACGTGGACCGATTCGCCCGGGCACCCTCATCGGAAGGGCCCTACTTTGCCGGCGCGCGCATGCAGGAGCGGTCATCACATCTCGTGGGGTTATCAACGCAGCTCAGTGCAATGGATGAGATCTTCAGATCTGGAAGCTAGAAAATGCAAAAAAAAAAAAAAAAAAAAGTCAAAAAGAAAAATGACCCTGACCTCTATGTAGTCTGTCTATTAGACGTAGGGAATCTAAACTAGATCATAGATCCCTTAAATAAAAAACAAGCAGAAGAAAAGGAAAACTCAAAGCAAGTACCAGATGTATGAGGCCACCTCTTCATACTTGGTGCTGGGGAACTCGTGGCCTGCATCGTAGAACTTGAACGCTGCGTTTCCGCCCAGGGCAGCGGTGGCATCGACGATAAGTTCGTCTTTAATAATAATTGCATCGTTGCTACCACCCAGAATGTGGACCTTGTCACCAGACAGTCTTTTCTCTCCGGGGTTACCTGAGACGCTGCTCTGGGTAAGATAAGTTCCAAGTCGAGCCCACGTATTCCATTGGCGCTGTCCCAGGATCGGTCCATGGCGCATACTAGACATAAACGCATGGACGAAGCCGGCATGATTGTTGACTTGCCATGCAACGGCAGAGGGCACATTGATATGCGGGTATGCGCGAGACAGGATCTGGACATTGGCAGCACTCTGCGTCGGCAGCTCCTCGGTGAGTGCATCGGCAGCATTGAGCTTCTCGCTCTTAGGTTTGGGCCCCACCAGAGGTCCCGCTCGCAGTCGGCGGCCAACCAAATACCCAAGCAAGCGTTCGGGCATCAGACCGCGAGAGTAGAGCAATCGACTCTGGAAGCTGATCTGCGAGTCGCGAACCAAGCCGGCGGGAGCCAACAGTACGAGCGATGACAGCAGCTGTGGGAAGAAAGACGCAAAGCCTGCGGCAATACCACCGCCCAAGGAGTATCCGACCAGAGAAAATTTGCCCGATTGAGCGCCAGTCCATGAAACGGGCGACGATGCCAGGGCCAGCAGGATCTGCGTGGCAAAGAGACGGTCATCCTGCGGCAGGTCTGCAGGACAATCGGAGTAGCCTCTCCCAAAGCTAGTGGAGTCAGTCCGCCACAAACATCCCACACAAAAAGGCCATCACAGTGAAAACCTACAGGTCGAAGAGCATCACACGGCAACCTCGGTCCACCAGCGCATGGGCCAACCCACCAAGCGCGATACACGGCGTGGTAATCCCATGCACCAGCAAGACCTTGGGCCCGTCTTCAGGGCCCCATTCATACACCCGGATGGATCCATACGGACTGGCAACATCGCGCGCGCCTGGCAGGACGTCATTTGGGAGCGGCAGATTGCGGTTTTCTGCCTCCGATAAGCCGGGCAGAACGGTCGCCCGGGGCGACAGGAGCACTGTTTCGCGATGCTCACTTTGGGGGATGAGTGATCGAAGGAGCAGGCCAAGTGTGAAGGAGGCTCCGGCGACGGCCAGCAGGGGCAGCTGGGTTCGCTGGTTCGAGATGGAATCGGATAAGAAATCCACGGTTTCGCGGTACAGGGCCATGTTTGCGTAGAAGGCGGCCCTGGTCCTGCCAGTCGGGTGCGAGCAAGTTTATTTAGTGTGCCGTGTATAGCTTTGTTATAGATATACCAAACAATGAGACAATGAATGAGACGTAGAGGCAATGGAATTGAAGAAGAGACTCGTAGGGGATGGACCGAGGCCCAATGCTGACAATGCTGCCATGTGCGATAAGATAAGAACGACGATCGCTGGATTGGAATTTTCCTAATTTGGAATAGTTCTGTCTCTTTTAATGATTATATGAAGGCTGATCTTATAAAATAACTGAGTTGCGATGCCCCAGATCCCAGTGAAGACTGGAGACCCACTTATAAATGCGAAGGGGAGTCACGCGTCAAAAGACTTACTTGCTCTAGAGAGCCTAGATTAGATGAGAAGATATAACATATGAAAAGGTAGGCATGAAGGGGAGAAGAATTCGACAGAATAACTGAATGTATACTTGTTGAAGCGCGGGTTTTGCTCCGCGTCCATCTTAAAAGAAATCAGCCTAAAAGCACCCCAGTTTTCCCGAAGGTACTCTATTGAATTCGACTTGGTAGACTTTCATTGCAACCGGCAACGATCGGCACTTCCTTTCGAAAACTGATCTATAATCCATGAATACTCGTGGGGAGACGCCTCGCCAAGGTCTCGGAGATATAGATGCCAATAGAAAACCAACGTGGTCTACAGTTCGGCTACTGTGACGGAACGGCCGTGTCGCATTTGGATACTATCAACTTCGTACCTTATACGATTATGCAACATCATGTAATGCTTTGGTTGCTACTCAATTTAATTTAGTAAGAACATAATCGACATGCCAACTAGAGTACCAATTCTAGCTTGTCATATTTTATCATCACACCGTTGTCAAACATACTGCAGGGAAGTGGGCAGATGTCAGCTACATCGAAATCCCGGGGCACGGAGAGGATCCTTGCAATATTCTTGACAGTTAGCCACTTTCTCTTTTTTTTAAAAAAAAAAATCCGGCGCACTAGCCAAGGCTCAAATTTATCCTTTATTTCACTTCGCTTAACCTTCAATGCTTCAGATTGGATCAAAATCAGCGAAATATAGAGGTAGTTCCCTCGTTTCGAATTAAGACAGATACAGCAGCGCCAACAGGGGAAATAACCCAGCGCTAAGTTGCTGCCGTCTCATTGAAGGAGATTCTACTTACGTTATCCGTCAGGCCCTGCCCAAACTAACCGAGGGGTGACTCGCTTCGACCTGAAACGCCCTATACCCAAAACGCCGTGAAGAGAACACTCCGCACCTCGGCATCGTCTCTCGCCAATCTGGGGGACCTGAACGCCTCTCTTCCCTCCCGTGAAGCCACGGGCGGTCGTTGATTCCGGTGGCGTTCTTGGCATATTTATGCTGTACAGGAAATGCGTATCATGGGCATAAATTGGATGAGAAAATGAGAAAAATCTCAGGATCATGGAAGAGCCGATAAAAGACACCTCGGATGACAATAAATATCATGAAATATGGGGGGAAAATTATATGATAAACACTCATCAAAAAGATATGACAGCAGATGTATACTTGTGGCTTGTGGCTTACGGATATTGCCCTAAACAAACCCCTTCGATACTAACGCACTGAGCCGGAGGATCCTCCGTTTCTGGGGACATTAACGCCAGCCCTCTCTCTATACCTGCTTCATCTTCTGTCAGATCTCTGGCAAGGTACTATGCGAGGCTATCCAACGATGTTCCTTCCCATCTTGGCTGCAGTCCTGAATCCACCCTGAAATCAATCAACGCCCAATAAGGCAGTGGCCGTGGCTCAGATGAAGGATCGTCTTGGTGGTCCATGCCAATTTGGGGACGGCTTCACGGTCCGTCACACCGGGCACAATGCGCCGAAGGGTCCTGGCAAGAGAAGAAAAAAATCAAGGGCAGATAGAAACAGAGATATAAAGCTCATCTTCATCCCTCGACTCATACTCCATTCCGCATCAGCTGCAGGTCAGTAAAAGTCGACCACATCAAATTCTCTCTTCGGTCCCGCCATGGTATCGACAACTGTATACGACACCTACAATGCGGGGACTGGCGTTCTAGCAACAGCGTGGGCCCTTACTGCGGCTTCAGTCGTCGCCATGGCCTGCAGGTGGTCGCCAAGATCAAGATTTTCCTCTTCGAATTAATGTTAATGATATTGTGATGAGCATTGGCCTCGTGCTTCGGACCTGTTTCCCCCTGCAGGATGAAGGGCTGACCCTGTCATTATGCTTGTATTTGTGGTTTTTCCTCATTGCCAGTTCTGCATGCGTTACCGTCGCAGTCCAGGTTAGCCTAATAGCAGTATCACGTCGCAGTGATAATATTGCTCAGATACGAAGAAAAGATCAACAGAACACAGTAGCATTGATGAAACAATTAAGCATGAGGTAGGAAAAAACGGAGAGACAGCGACAAAAGAATTCAGAGATTTGTAAGAGGCCAAGACGGTCACATGATCAGCAGCGGTCGCATGGACAGGGATTATATAATCCTACGGCGACCGTTCATTCCAAACAGACAGTACTTCATCAGCTCGCTTGTTACTACCGATAAATTCCTGGGTCTCAACTCTTCAATCATGTCCAGTCTTCACGAACTCGTTCATCGACAGCGACCAGGACTATGGCAAAAGTTTCGGGCCCAGCCTTACGTCTTCCTCGCACGAACGCTTTACAGTTGGCATAAACCTATTCTAGCTATGCCTCTTCCAAGTCCTGTTGCGGTTGTCTGTATCTCCGATACTCATAACACCCAAACCGGTGTTCCGGATGGAGATATCCTTATACATGCTGGTGATCTCACACAGTCTGGGTCTTTCCAGGAACTCCAGGACGCACTCGGCTGGCTACGCGGCCTGCCTCATCCTATCAAAATCGTGATTGCTGGCAATCATGAGCTATTACTTGATTCAGCATGGGATGATTCATCCGGTCAAGCAGCCTCTAAGCGAGCTCAGCTCGACTGGGGTGATATTATCTACCTGGAAAATGATGAAGTAACAATTTCCTGCCCGAATGGTCGTCAGCTCAGGGTCTACGGGAGTCCTTATTCTACCCGGCACGGCAATTGGGCCTTTCAATACCCCCGAAATCAGGATGTATGGGCTGGCTCAGTACCAGATGGAATTGACGTGCTCATTACTCATAGTCCGCCATTTGCTCATCTTGATCTACTCAAGTTGGGCTGTCCTCATCTACTACAGACGCTATGGAGAGTTCGACCAAGGCTGCATGTATTTGGTCATGTACATGAGGGTTCAGGAACCGACTTAATGTTATTTAATGGACTCCAGGAGGCGTACGAGCGCACTGTCGCTGCTGGAGGGGGCTTCAGAAATCTTCTGCTTACAGCGTGGGAATTAGCTAAGGCATGTCTCCGTCCGGCCGTTGAAGCAAAATGTTTACTCGTAAACCCATCCATCGTTGGAGGTGTGCGGGATAATGAACGGAAGCAGCCCATCAAAGTCTTTATTTGACGTTGTTGTAATCTAGTTGACCAACTGAATTGAGTCACACCTTTCTTGACTTCCAAATTCCTCTATAGTGACCCCGGAGGGGTTAGATCGAGGGCGAGCAAATTGTGGTTAGTTGGCGTATAATCAGGATGGGCTGTTAAGTGCTGGGTCAATTTCGACCCTCTCTTTATCATGATTTGCTATACATGCTTCCTTACACCTATTTTTTTGGTTGCTGTGTATGCATATCATATTTTGCTTCTTTGTATGAAGCTCCCTAGCGATGTATCCGAAGAGGACTCTTTAGAACAAAAGAAGAAGAAGAGGGTAAAAGAATCAAATTGCGACAATGTGTGGCGAATATGGTACCTCATGGTAGAGGGCAGGGGCGAGGATGAGAGAACGGAGATGGGAAGAAAGCGTTGGTAAGGTTTGGGAAGTTTGGCGGGTTTGGGATAAGAGCACCCACCAAATGGCCGCATCCCCCAACATCCTGTTTCTCTTTTCTTTCCCTCTCTAGCGTTGCTTCCTTCGTCTGAATGCATAGTATCTTCGTGATATTCTTGGCTCATAACATAGAAGCAAGGCTTATTCAAACCTTTTTCCAGCGCTGGTAGAGCTGAGAGACGTCAATTCCGACGCGCTCAAGCTACCTAGTTGCTGCATCCCCAACACCAACAACCGACGCGAAGAAACAGACCGCCGATACTCTATTATCTTCCAGTATGGAGGTGGCGAGAGAGACGAAGAAGTCTATGTCGATTCTGTTGACGAGTTGATGAACTGGATCCAGTCTGACCCAGTAACGGCCTGGAGGATCATGGTGAAACGCCAAGTCGAAATCAACGACCTCAAGAAGCAGTTGGAGGATTTAGCCGTTGCCTACGCCAACACCTAAAGGGTACCCAGGAGACCGACCAGCTGAAAAACGCAATCCAGCGCTTGAAGGAATTAAACCGTGGCGCCACCGAAGACCGTGACGCTAACCTGGAAGAGGAATACGCTCGCATGCGTGACGAGCTGAAGGAGACTAAGAACGCCCGTGACGAAGCTATCCGTGAGTGAGATGGCCTAGTTACCGCTATGAGACTCTTGGTTACTGGAACCCCGAGAGGATCCCCTGCACCCTCTGATACCGCCGCCGGTGGTAGTCACCGCAAGACCGTCAAGATGCCTGACCCGCCGACGCTAATTGATGGCAAGAACGTGCGTTTCAAAGCCTGGAAAACCGAAATTCGCAAGAAACTCCGACTGAACTATGATTATTACCCTACCGAAGACCACAAGATGGCTTACCTGAAGAGTCGATGCGAAGGGAAGGCCCCCATGCACATTGACCCTCGCATGCAGAAAAATCCCCCCTAACCATACCAGCACATCGATGATATCTTTATCCACCTGGAAAGTGTCTTCCACAATTCAGATCGCAAGCGAATGGACCGAAATGAGTACAACCTGCTCAAGATGGACTCTAATCAGGACTTGGGCGATTTCCTTGCTAAGTTTACCCGTCTCGCCGAAGAATCTACCAGCTTAGATCTTCGAAAACAGGACCTCTACGCCAAGATACCGACCTTGATACAGAACCAGGTCATGATGGATGTCGATGACGAGAGTGCCACCCTAGACCAGTTTGTTCGCAAGTGCCAGCGTGCTTCCGGCCTGATTTCTCAGCAGCACGCTACTCGCAACCTTAATAAGGCAAATGACAACAAGAAGAATGACGGCAACGGTGGTAATACAGCTAAGAACATCACTACCACGCCTAACAATTATCCCCCAGTCCTCGGTCCCGTCTTGGACCCTTGTCCCCGCCATCTTGGCCCCCCGAGTCCGAGATGGCCTTGGCACGGCCGGATACATCGTCTATCTGGTAGTGGAATAAGCACCGGACAACCTTATGATCAAGATGACGCGGCTCGCTACTTGGAGAGACAACCTTCGCAGCACTCTACCGCAAGTGTGACCCAAGTCATTTTGCGATCATGGTTTGCTCATTATCTACTTCAATGGACAACAGAAACAGAAATGTTACTCCCGGCAGTTGACTCAACATACAAGATCATATTCAGTGTCCAGCATGATCCAATTAACCTCAACAACTGAGTTTTCAAGTCCCTTCCACCAAAGATGCATCAACGCGCTCTCCTTTTCTCGGCCTTCGTGGCGGCTGCCCGAGCTCAGCAGGCTGGTACTCTGACAGCAGAGACCCATCCTTCTCTGAACTGGCAATAGTGCTCTTCTGGAGACAGCTGTACCCAGCAGTCCGGCTCTGTGGTCCTCGACTCCAATTGGCGCGTTGAGGCTGAGTCTGCCTCGGCCAGCGTTGCTTTCTCCAACGAGGTTGGCCCTATTGGGTCTACCTATGACTCTGCATGAGTGGGAAATGGGGTTGAGTGATTCTGAGTGGGAAGATATAGTAGATCTGGAGCTAGCAGTGCAAGGAAATGCAGAATTGGAAATATGACGAAGAGATTTGTACATTGAGTGCTGAGTGCTGAGTTGGAGAGAAATGCAAATGTCATTCGTCAATGGCACGCGGAAGATTCTCGGCCCGCCACAGAAAAAAAGAGCTCCGAGCACCTTCATGTCCACTTGTCTCTCCAAGCTCAATTCAACCCTCGTATCCGTTCGTGGAGCTTCTAGTCCGTTTCTTTGATTTTCTAAATCGGCGGCCATGTTTGATACGGTCTGCACGCTCCCGCTCTCGGCGGACCTGTTCACTCAGGCTATCCACCCTAAAGAGCCCGTGGTCTCCGTCGGGCTGGCCTCGGGCCATGTCCAGACTTTCCGACTGCCGTCGGAGGAAGCTGACAGTGATGATGATGGAGATTCAAAATCGACTGCACGGAATGGAAAGGGTCACATTGACACAATGTGGAGAACAAGGCGGCACAAGGGAAGCTGCCGGTGTCTAGGGTTTGGCGTCGACGGGGAATCATTGTATTCCGCTGGCACGGACGGATTGGTGAAAGCTGCCAATTCTGCGACTGGGCAAGTGGAAAACAAGATTGCAATTCCACTCGAGAAGGACGGGTAAGATTTCTACTCCGAGTTCTACGATGTTTGGCGGGACAAGTCGGCTGACTCCTACTTGGTGCTCTAGCTCCGTTGACGCCCCGACCGTGATCCACGCTCTCTCCCCGCAAACGCTTCTGCTGGCCACCGACTCGAGCGCTTTGCACCTCTATGACCTCCGGGTTCCATACTCGCGCGTGTCGGCGCGGCCCGAGCAGTCGCACCACCCGCACGATGACTACATTTCGTCTCTGACCCCGCTGCCGGCATCGGACACCAGCACCTCGGGCTTCAGCAAGCAGTGGGTGACGACGGGTGGCACAACTCTGGCGGTCACGGATCTTCGACGAGGGGTCCTGGTGCGCAGCGAAGACCAGGAAGAAGAATTGATCAGCTCGACCTACATGGGCGGCTTACCGTCAAACGGGACTAGCCGCGGCGAGAAGGTGATTGTGGGAGGCTCCAGCGGCGTCCTGACGCTCTGGGAAAAGGGCGCATGGGACGATCAGGACGAGCGGGTTTATGTCCACCGCGGTTCGGACGGCGGTGAGTCCATCGAGGCGCTGGCAGTTGCCCCTGACCTACTCGGCAAAGGCAAGCTGGTCGCCACCGGTCTCGGTAACGGCAAGGTGAAGTTTGTGCGCATCGGGCCCAACAAGGTCGTTTCGGAGGTCATGCACGACGAAACCGAGGGTGTTGTCGGCCTGGGATTCGATATCGATGGACGTATGGTCTCTGGTGGTGGTCAGGTTGTGAAGGTCTGGCACGAGGCTCTCGATGATATGGAAGGTACCGGTGATTTCCCCGGCAAGCACATGCTCGGCGACAGCGACGATAGCGACGATTCCGATAGTGAGGGAGGCAATCGTCAGGACGCCAAGGACCGCAAGAAGCGCAAGCGGGTCAAGGGCAAGGACCGCAGTGGAGGACAGCATGTCATGGCCTTCCATGATCTGGATTAATGCTTCGCGACTACATTACCTGATACCCATCTTTGTCGAGCAATACCAACCAGAAAAAAAAAGTGATGCATAGCGTCGGTGTTAGGGTTTCTAGGAACCAGAACAATTCATGGTTCTCTCAATTGCGGTCACAGTAGAGTCGGATATACCCTCGAGCATATCCTCCTGGGGAAATCCATATCCGCGACGGTGCTTATTCATGCTGAACTAAGAACGGGGCATTTCCGCTGTCGAGAAAATTTCCTCGTAGTTGCTCCTAGCCACTGGATTTAGAGGTGAGAAGGCATTGTCAGTATGGCAATAGATAGCCATTCTCAACACCCAGCATACTAGAAATATCAAATCCAACAAGGTCAATAGGAAAACATCGCAAAATCGCCGGCAGACCACGGCCCCACAGAATGTATACGGTGGGGTGGCCTGTGGGGGCAAGGCCGAGTATATAAAACCACAAGCCGCGCCCCCGGTCATGAACTGCCAAAGCAAAAGCATGGACGCCTTCGAGTACAACCCCAATCCCGGCCGCGTCGTCTTCGGCAGCGGCACACTGCAGAAGCTCCCCAATGAGATCGCCCGACTACAACTTCAAGCCCCATTGGTGCTTTCAACACCACAGCAGGTTCATCAGGCAGAGAGCATCAAGACCGTGCTTCAGGGCCAGGTCGCCGGCATCTTCAGTGAGGCGACCATGCACACGCCGACACATGTCACCGACAAGGCGGTTGATTATGCACAGGCGCAACGAGCCGACTCGGTGATCTCCATCGGCGGCGGAAGCACTATCGGCCTCGGCAAAGCCATCAGTATTCGCACCGGCTTGCCCCATATCTGCATTCCGACGACGTATGCCGGTAGCGAAATGACCCCGATCCTGGGCGAGACTGCCGATGGACTGAAGAAGACTCGCTCCGACCCTAAGATTTTACCCGGGACGGTCATCTACGATGTGGATCTGACAATGACTCTGCCCGCGTCGATGAGTGCCACCAGCGGCGTCAATGCCATCGCACATGCCGGTTAGTATTTTTCGAAGCAACTTCCATGAACTAATCTGAGCTTCTTTCCGGCGGGATAGTCGAGGCCCTCTACGCCCGCAACACCAACCCGATCATCAACATGATGGCCATGGAGGGTACACGGGCTCTCGCCTCGTCCCTCCCCGAGATTGTCGAGAACCCATCCTCCCAATCCGCCCGATCCCGAGCTCTGTACGGCGCCTGGCTGTGCGGAACATGTCTCGGCAGCGTGGGCATGTCCATTCACCACAAGCTGTGCCACACGCTCGGGGGCAGCTTCAACCTGCCGCACGCCGAGACCCATACCGCTGTCCTGCCGCATGCTATTTCCTACAATGCGCCCAACATCCCCGACGCCATGAAACAGTTGGCAGATGCTCTGCCCGACAGCAATGGCGACGCCATCCACGGGCTGAATGTTCTCTTGACGAAGCTGAAGGTCAAGCGCGGCGTGAGGGATTATGGTATGAAAGAGGAGGATGTCGACAAGGCGGCTGATATCGCTGTCTCGAGCCCTTACTGGAACCCCCGTCCGATCGAGCACCCGCCTATCCGCGAGTTGATCCGCAGGGTTTGGGCGGGTGAGCCGGCGCGGGCGGATTTGTAGATACCCCCATGGCCTGTTCGTATACCAACTTAGTAAAATGTATTCAGAGAGTGCCTGAAGTTGAATGCGAATATATCCCAGAGCATATTGTATGCTTCGTTGGGCTGCCAATGAAGGTTTGGGTAATTTGGGTTATGGCGGGGGGAAGTGGGGGGTGCCCTTTTTTTTTTTCCAAAATTCGACGATCTCCGATTTTCGTCTGATCAACATCCACCAACAACTCGACATTCCCGTCCTTTTCCTAATGGCGTCCGAGATGGAGGCAGCGCCCGTGCTGTCTACCCCCGATAATCGAATTCTGGAGGAAATCGAGCCCGTGGTTTCGCAGAATGCGACTCCATTGTCGGACGACGAAGTCTCCATCACCTACGATATCGAGCGCACGCTGAAAGAGATTCGCCAGGCACGGTACAGGCGCATCGCTCTCCAATTTCCCGATGACATGCTCCCAGATGCCCCGAGGGTTTTTCAATTGCTCAGCCGTGGCCTCGACCGGAAAGTCGTCGCAAATGGCTCCGAACAGCCTTCCAACCAAACACCCGCCGACGCCGACGCGGGCCTGACTCAGTCGGTGTCCCAGCTTCGAGTGGAGGGACAAACTGAGGAGAAGTGGTCGCCACGGCTGTATATCCTTGCAGACACTTCGTATGGGACTTGCTGCGTTGACGAGGTTGCGGCGGAACATGTGGACGCAGATGTGGTTGTGCACTACGGCAGATCGTGTCTGTCCCCGACAGCTAGATTACCGGTGATCTATGTCTTTACGCAAAAGACCCTATCCATTGATCCGGTCGTGCGAGCCTTCAAAGAAACCTATCCTGACCCCGCGACAAAAGTGGTCCTCGCCGCCGACGTGACCTACTCCCATCATGTCCCTGCATTATATACTCGGTTAGTGGAGGAGGGATACACGAACTTATTTGCGACGGAGGTAGTCCATGACCCGTCGTCTGCAATTCCAAATCGCACGGTCCCCGAGTCTGTCCGGGAGCAGCCCCAGAGGCTGTCAGACTGGCAGCTTTTCCACATCTCCGACCCACCAACCGCCCTCCTCTTGACCCTTGCATCACGCGTTGCCGCTATCCATATATACCCCACAACCAGTAACAATGAAGCTGTCAAACCCCTACCGGCATCCACTGCCGTGGCTCTGCGGCGTCGCTATGCGATTCTGACTTCGCTGACTACGGTCCCCATCTGGGGCATCTTGATCAACACTCTCAGTGTGAAGAACTATTTGCACATTGTGGACCATGTCAAGGAGCAAATTGCAGGGGCCGGCAAGAAGAGTTATATGTTCGTGGTGGGCAAATTGAACGCAGCCAAGGTCGCCAATTTCAGCGAGATTGGCGGCTGGGTGGTCATTGGTTGCTGGGAGAGCTCGCTAGTCGACAGCAAGGATTTCTGGAAGCCGGTGATTACCCCGTTTGAATTAGCGCTGGCCCTGAAGGGCGATGCAGAGCGGGTGTGGACCGGGGCGTGGCAGAGTGACTTCCAGGCCATCCTCGATCAGCCCGCGACCAACGGAGATGAGCAGCCATCCCACGGTGCGACCACAGACGAAGAGGATCTGTCGGATTCCGAGTCGGCGCCACCCGAGTTTGATTTACGTACTGGGCGCTACGTTTCGCATTCCCGCCCGATGCGCGATCCCGCGCCCCGCGCTTCCCAACTTGATGGATCTTCCGCCGCTGGGCCATCCGCCGCTAGGGCACTGGCTCGACGGGCTAAAGGCGATTTAGCGATGATCGGCGGTGCCGTGTCACCAGGAGCTGAGTTTCTACGGTCGCAACGGACCTGGAAGGGGTTGGGCAGTGATTTCGACATTCGATATGATGAGGAAGACCCGGCTGATAGCACCCTGGTCAAGGAAGGGCGCAAGGGCATCGCGAGGGGCTACACCGTAGGCGACGCGACCGACAAACACTAGCGGAGATACACCCTTGGGACGACATCCACATGGCATATAGCATGATTCAAGATCGAGAAAAACGAAAGTGTACATAGCGAAAACAAGAATCTCACTGAGAACTTCCACTGGGGTTGCAGCATCACATGACGCTGCGGGCACATCCGGGCTGGAGTGAGCACTTTTTTGCTTCTGGCATCGCCTTTGCTCTTTTCTTCTCTCTTTACCCATCCCTCTCTTGCGTTTCTCTATCTGTATTTGACGAGATCTCCCCATCTTGTCACCCTCTACCCCCTCCTGTCGTCTCCCTCGCCCTCCCTGCTGATCCCGAGCCCTTGCGATTCCCGTCTTATCAATTATCGGCTGTTTACGTTTGATGGCCTTGCATGGTGGCTTGTCTCTGGCTGTAATTGACCTCCCGTCGATGTCTTCTTCGGCCCATCTTATCATGTGTTGTGCCTCTACCGACCGGGCTCGCGACCTCGCGTCAACTCGATTCTCGACCTAAGAGCCGGCGTTTCTCGTTCATCGCGCGGGACCAGTGATGAACCATTCGAACACCATGTCGCAGGATCTCGGTACAGAACCGGCACCCCAGCAGGTGCTGGTGGAAAATGCTCTCCAACACTCCGTCGTCCCCGAAGAACGACCTCTCTCCACCTTTGAATGGATGATCACAACCAATGCGCCTATTCTCGAGTCTCTCCTTCTCCAAATCCCTACCAACACCATCATCGATCTCTACCACACCTCCCACTATCTTCGCACGTTTCTTCGATCTTATCCGACCGCATGGAAGTCTCTCTCGTTCCGGCTGCTCTACCCATCGGGCACGCTAGCCACCACTCGCATCATCGTACCGGGCGTCTCTGACCCCATGACACCTCGCCAGTCGCGGCCCTATGCCTTAGATCAACTTCTCATGAATGTGGTGATACCATTCAGCAGGTGCCTGAAAAACCTGGTGCTGGATAACACGGCCGTGTCGGGGCAGATTCTCATCTCAACCGTGTTGCATGCACGCCGGGAAACATTGGAGCACCTCTCCGTCCGGGGCTGCAAAAATGTCTCCCTCAAGTACCATATCATCCCCTGTCTCACAATGTTCGGACTGCAATATGATGTGGATATGGAGAAGAATATCGGCAGCTCTTCTCCGAAAAAGCGACTTGCCCTCAAGAGTCTTTACGCATATCGGTGCCGTCATCATCGTCGCAGACCTTATCTTTCGGCTTCGCTGCTGCGCAAGGACTCCGACTCCGAGCCTACGCATGACTTGGTCAATCTTTGCCACAAACTGGGGATCTGGACTGACACGGCCTGGTGCACGACTCCCGCCGGCAGGTGCTATCGCAGACGCGGTTATGTTTCGATGAGAGTCCCCCAAGGCTCACCAGAGGTCTGGGTCGTCTTTGACCGGCTCTGGAGGTCCAAGAACTGGATCGGTCCCGCTGATTCCAAGGCTGCTCGACCACAGGAGCGGGACGGTAAGCTCTGGGAGAATGGTGACACTGGGTTTTATGGCGAAGCACTGGGTACCGGCGAGGGCCCTGACCTCGGCGAGGGCAAGATGGTGCCTACGCATTTGCGTCGAAGTCATCGACAGTTTATTGAGCATGTGCGCTGTGACAGCTGTTTTGAGGATATCTCTGAGCGGTGTGAGCAATGCAGCATTCTGATGCACTGTGTTGGGTGCCGGAGGACCCTCTGTGCAAGCTGTGCCTATGAACGACCGTATCTCCACCGGACAAATTCCTCTGCGTCCGCAGCAAACAACTCCAGCGGAAATACCGCGAGTTCCGCGAATTCCATATGGTGGGCGCCTGGGGCTACCCTCTCTCCCAGCTCGATGCAAGATCCCGTGTCTAATCCCATTGACGACAACTTGCTCCCGGCGGCACCTCCGGTGACAAATCCTGCTCTCAAGTTTCATTGGTGCTGCACGGAGCCTATCTTCTCCGGAGGGGGAGGGATCAGCATCGGGACTCCAAGTCGAGACGTGGACCAAGTCCGAGCTGTGCCTTTGCCGCGGGGTCAAGGCTGGGAAGACCTTGAGTATACCGTCAGCGAGTGGAGCAAGACCTTCCCCAAATACGCCTATGGCGATCCGAGCAGCCCCGACTACTCCCTCGAGACTGGACATCTGGCGATGATGAAGTGGCTGCTGGGGCCGCCCAATCGGCAGGTTTCGCCCTGTCCGCGCAACCTCTGCCAGGAGTGCTACGAGTCGCCTCAGTGGAAGGTGCACTGCAAGAGCTGTTCGAAACCGCTCTGCATTGAACACGATCTGCGTGGGCTCCGCCTGCGGATTTGCGGCTATCGAGACCTCGCCTTCGAGAAGATGACCATTCAGAACCGATCCGCCATGGACATGCCGCCTGTGCTCCGCCCCCCTTTCATCATGCGGGATGGCTACCAGCACCAGCTGCCATACAGAACCCAGCGACTTTTCGGCTCGAACAACAGCAGCTTCGCTGATGACCCACATGCAGACGGCTTGGAGGAGACTGGCGATTCGCACGTCAGCGATCTGGCAGCTCGCCCTCTTCCCCGTCAGCACTCACGGTCCTTTTCCGCCCCTACATCTAACCACTCCGGCTCGTCATCTCCGTCCTCTGTTTACTTTGATTCTCCTATCGATGCCCCTAGGTGGCAAGGCTGCCAGTCCTTTTTCTGTCCCCAGTACCGGGCCGTCGGCGACCACCGACAGCGATGCCCTAGCTACCTCCGGGAATGCAAGTCCTGTGCCGTGTACGTCTGTCAGGAATGCATTATCAACAACCCGCCCTGCAATTGTTCTTACTGCGAGGAGAACTACCTCTGCCCCAACTGCATGAAAGTCCGTGCCCGGGATGGCACATGCCGTCGCCGCGATGAAGAAAAAGCACGGCGCGAGCGGAAGTGGAAGAAAGACATGCAGGTGCTCGAGGGCATCCTAGAGCTCAAGGTGGCGAATGAGGTGGCCGAATTTGCGGGCCAATTCTTTACCAGCCTCGAGCAAAATGACCTCCCTCTGCTTGCCGCTCCACCAGATGACATGACCAACTTCACTGGGGATTTCACCCTGCCTCCCGACGATCCAACCGGGTTGGGGGTGCCTTTCGATTTCAACATGACCCTTGACGCCGCCTACTTCCTGGAGCCCAACTACTTCGACTCGCTCTACGAGTCCGAATAGAACCCAGCATTGTGTTTCTGCCCTCGGTTTCTTTAGCGATCTTCCATAACATGGCGTCATCGGGGAATCTTTCTTATTTTCTTTTTCTTATGGCTTTTTTTTTTTTCTCACACCATCTCCCTGTTTCTTTGTATTTTTTTTTCGAAGCGAACAATCCTTTCGAGGTCAATACTACGGGATTCTGCCTCGGGAGTTGCGGCATGGGGCCGGCGCATTGAGCGAGTTTCTCTCCTTTGCTTCTGATCTCCCCCCCCCCTCGTTTTAAACGGGACTGTGGCTGCCGTGCTCCGGTTGCACCGTCTGCCTTACGGTTGCTAGTTCCGCAGGGAATGCAGACCAGACTGACGACATGCCTGGCCGAGGGACTCCACCGAGCCAGAGCTTACGACTTGTTTTCATTTGATTTCTGTTCTGTTTCTCTTTCTCTTTCTCTTTTTCTTTCTATCCCGGGCGGGATCTCCGGGAGCGGGACTTTCGAGTGATATGGCATAGTTGACCGAGCATTTTTATGATTATTGTGTGGTCTTACGCACCATATGGAATTTATGTCAATTACTTCTTTTTTATTTTTACTTTTTTTATTTTACTTCTTACTTCTTACAACTTGGGTGGGTATCCACACATCGTCTGGCAGGTAGATCGATCTCCCCGACAAGCATTGACGCCTTCGCCAGGGGTTCCAGGGTAATGGGTAAACTACACAGCCCAACGCACTCACAGCTGTCGGGAGAATCCTTCCATGCGCCCGCTGTCCTACCGCAACCCGAGCCGGGCAAGAGAGAGAAAAAAAGCGAAGACAGGGCTTAGCTGAAACGAACTTCAGCTCCGACAGTCGCCGCATCGACAAGGGGCGGTCGGGTACGTGTCCGACTCGTCTTGGGCACTGGACGATGCGGTCAACAATGGGCGCATCAGCCACGCAAACCACGTGGGTTTCTTGCAACTATCGGTGAATCTGATGGCTGGGGCCAAGAAACATCTGCCTACACTGCCGCAGATAGTCTCGTGTGTGTGTTTTTTTCTCCTAACCGCGGGTCTGCCATGTCAATCCGCTGGAGATTAGGTGTGGATGTGGATATTCCGTCGATCACTGATCAATCCCAACCCGATTCCCCGGCACATCCCCACTTCCCCCCTTGAATTGGTGGTCTTTTTTTCATTCCTTACTCTCCCCCCTTTCTTGAGACCATAGGGTTACACACTAGGGTAGACGAACAAAGAGAACCGGGGAAGTCATGAACCAAGCGCGGATGCAGGACCAAAATGCCCCGATTGGCACGGGAGTTCTTCGGGTGGTGGAAGTCTTCCTATTAGCGGATTTCGATCTGAGAAGGAAGGCCAGCAAGTCCTGGATTTCAGATTCTATGGAGAAGGGGGACTAAGGGGACTAGGGGGAAGAAGAGGAAGAGAGATCATCGAGCCTGACATCACCAACCTCCCTTAGGTTGGCGCCTAAGGTACCTAAAGCATAAAACCCTTGTACTGTGAGTTTAGGCGCATACTTGGATTTCTTGGGCTTCATTTCTTTTTCTTTTTTTTTTTTGGTGGCGCCACTTCAAAAGAATTCAAGATCCATCTAGCTTGCCTTTACACCAATCATACCCAGTGGATATGCTGTACCCTGCGGATGCCGGGATTCTCCCAGGGTTGAGCGGTCCGTTATCCCGTTTGCCGGGGGGAGTTAAGGCCGAATCCAGGGGGTAAAGAGAGGAGTGAGAGATGTCGGTGAACAGGTCGAAACTTGGATCGAATGCAGAATTTTTTTTTTTCTTTTTGCTATTTTATTTATTATTTATTAATCTACTATTTGATTTTTTTTTTTAACCCTGTGGCTTGACCGGTTTCTTGCCGGAAGCAAACATTTCGAACAAAGGGTTTCTTACCTGGTCCAAATGCTTATACCCAGGTATATATAGCTCAACGTCGCTCAAGACTTGGAGTCTCAGATGTTCCTGAGGAACCATTATCTCTGATTATACTTCTTCTTCTTCTTGGAAATTTATCATTCTCTCCAAATATCTCTTTTTTTCTATATCTCGATCTACAACAAACCACCATCACAATGGACCAACCCAAGACCCAATCCTCCGGCCAAGTAAAGAAGAGCCAGCAGACCACCAACGTCGAGCAATACCAGCAGCGCTGGGAGCAACTGATCCAAGACACCAACAAGCAAATCCAGAAGATCCGAGGTGAGTTTATCTCTATCTTTTTTTTTCTTCCCCCTTGATTGTATATGTCATATGCACACCACAAAGTCCCTGACAGCTATCATAGAAGAGGAAAAGGCCAAGAGATCCAATGAGAGCTCGCAGCAATGATCAGTGCCATGGATGATTGTTTGCTCTTCATCGACTATTACTACACTGAACGATAAACCGCCTATGCAACGGGATGGTGTTTCTTTTGGGAGGGGAATTTACTTTCCTTGTGACTCTATATTTGTGAAATCTTTTTTTTTCTTTCTTTGTGAGTGGGAGATGGATATGGGGCTAGATCCTTTTTTTTATTATTATTTTCATTTCTGGAGTTTGTATTGATTTGATTGATTCGAAATGCATGCATCACCTACTTCTTTGATCCTACCTATGTACCTCACCCCACCTCACCCTACCAAATACCTAGTTAGGCAGTAGGCAGGTATTTTCACCCAGATATCTCCACCAAAGAAGACAGAATTCCAGGGGTGGTGGGGAAGGAGTAGCAACATCAGGTTTCGATGTGTATATCATGCGCAAAATAAATAGAGAGAGAGAGCGGTATGTATGCCCAGTCCCTCTTGCACTGCCACATAAAGTATCCTGCATCGAAACCCTCGCATCGCCGCAGCCTAGCGCCATTTAGCGCCGCCCGAGCGCGACAATATACCTAACTCCTTAACTAATCTACTTCTAATGCCTCTAACCCACCCCACCCCACCCTGTCTTCTCACTCGCATGTTCCCACCCGTCAGTCACAGATCTTCTCGAGCGACATTCAAGTCAAAGCATGTCATGCCTGCAGAAATAAAGTCGGTTAGTCAACCCCTCCCCCCCTCCCTCCCGCGTATATACAAATGATCTATTTCAAAACTACCTAGATTGGATTAGTTGATGATTTTTTTATTTTATTTTATTTTATTTTATTTTATTTTTATTTTTTATTTTTATTTTTATTTTTATTTTTTTGTATTTGAGTAGTCTCCTGATACTCACATGAATGAACATGTATCCCTCTTCAGGCTACAGTCTTGCTAAGCGGTGTATATGTGTCGTGGGAACTGCGGTGCTCGTCATCAACTAACTTTGCTTCTATGTCCCTCTAACGTGTCTTCGTCTCTGTCAATCTGTCTATCTATTGTCTGCGTCAATAGCTTCCCTTGTGGGAAGTAGACTAACGTACGCTGTATAGATCCACGCCCCGCCAATTCAGGGTTGGTGGCGCTATTGGCTTGGTCCCACTTTGTCTCCCCAAGTTTCCTCGTCTTGAATCATCTGAATTTCACTGCACTGCCATCAGTATCCATAACATCATTTGTGATGACAATGTGACCAGTATCAACAAACTGCTCTTTCAATGAGATCAATAGGCATCGCCTATGATAGGCATAATGACATATATGCTCCCAAAGGAACTCGACAAAGCAGCTTCTTATAGCAGCTATTCATTACTATCTGGGCTTCAGTATCACTACTCAATATGTTGTTTTTGTTCCCATTTATACTAACACAGATGCGAAACCTAACCCTGGCATAGCCAGTTGAAATTGACATCATGGTGAAGCGTTGACCAAAATATCAAAGTTCAAGAGTGATCAATATCCTCCTTCCCATATTTTTCCACCTTTCTAAATCCTACCATCCAGCATTTTTAAGCAAACTTCACAATGTTTCTCTCCGAGTTCAATCTTCTCCTGTACCTTCTCTCGTGTTTCGCTGTGGGCTGGTGGCTGTCTCAGCGACAACTCTTGGAGAGCTTACCTGACCAACGACGACCCTTAGAGAGCTCATCTCGGAAACGAACGCTCTCGAAGCGCTTGCCTGGCGATAAAACAGGAAAAGAAATTGCGCTCGAAAACACTGGGGATATCGCTACCCTCCAACGCTTTCGACGGAGGCGTCACCGCCAAGACTCTGTCGGCCTTGCAGACGATTATATCGATGAATTGCTCGGCACCGAATATGATCCCCGACACATTGCCCAAAGAGAGATATCGCTCCACGAAGAAATGATATAGCAACAGAAACACATGCCCTGCGAAGAAGTTCTCGCCAGTTTAGCAAGCTTGCAAGAAAAGCTTGATATACTTCAGATGGACTACTGATCTGAGCAGCAATACTGGTGGTTTTATCGAAGTTCCTGTAAAGGTGGGCGTCTCATTCGAGCATTTAAACTATGGCGATCACACCCAAGGTGGTATATGCATACTACCCTTGCGGAACACTGCGATGGAAGATAATGTTGACCTCCTACGAACCCAACCAACTTCATATCTTAAATATTGATCAAGGGCTGGTTTCGAAATATATCTATAAATATATTATTAACTAATGAGTTATCTTGGTTTTTCATAGATATACGTCTTCTTTTCTTGTGTGCATAACCTTCCAAGATTGGAATATTCATAATTAATAATCCGTCAATCTGCGGGTCTGCGTCCGACTTGCTCATCCGCCTACAATACTTGACGTCGGCCAACCGTCTCACCGTCTCTTGATTTCCCCCACCGCTTCTCTCCTACCCGCCATGTCCGCCGATCCCGAGCAGAACCCCTCCCCCACCGAATTGGCCGCCCGCGAGCAGGAGGAGAAGGAGCGCAAGGCCCAAGAAGTCGCCGAGCAGGCCGCGCTGCCGTACAAATGGACGCAGACCATCCGTGACGTGGACGTGACCGCGCCCATCGCGGCCGCCATTAAGGGCCGCGACATGGATGTGGTGTTGACCAAGACCAAGATCCGCGTCGCCATCAAGGGACAACCGCCCCTCATCGAGGTACGCATCACACGCCGCATTGAGCAGCGACAAAACCCACCGCCACATCAATTAATGAATTCCAGTGCTAACCGAAGCTTCTTGTTTTCTCACAGGGCGACTTCCCGCACCCTATCATCGTCGACGAATCCTCCTGGACCCTCGAAACTACCCCGACCCCGCCCGGAAAGGAAATCAGCATCCACCTCGACAAGGTCAACAAGGTGGAATGGTGGCCGCATGTTGTTACTACTGCTCCCAAGATCGACATTACGAAGATCACGCCTGAAAACTCCAGCTTGGGCGATCTGGATGGCGAGACACGCGCCATGGTCGAGAAAATGATGTACGATCAGCGGCAGAAGGAGACCGGTGGCATGTCTAGTGATGAGCAACGCAAGATGGATCTGCTAAAGAAGTTCCAGGCGGAGCATCCTGGTAGGTCTTCCCCCCCGGCCCCCGCTTGAATATTGGTCAATCTCGAATTTCGAGCTAACCAGTATACAGAGATGGATTTCTCCAATGCACAGATTGGCTGAGGCTAATTTGATGCCCCCAATTCTCACACTTTGTGAGATGACTTTTACACAAAAATAAATCATTGAGTGTATGAAATATGAGTAATGCTCGACTCGCGATGGCCGTGAATGAATGATGATCTACATGCTCCTCTCTGTTTCTAGTGCCCGCGTTTGTCATTGTCCGAAGCCTCCCAGCCTTTGACATTGGCATGTATCATTTGTCAGTCAGGCTAGATTTCTGGCTAAGCAAATGGCCACTGAGACGTATCTGCCATTGATGTCCGAGACAGGATCTGAATATCAGCACAAAAAATGTTTTTTAAAAAAAAGTATACTCTGTTGGCTCAAAATCATTTCCACCGGAGAATCTATATGTTTCTCCTTTGTCCAGCAGCAAGTACCAGCTCTGCCTCCCGACTTCCCTAATTTGGACGAATACGAGGACTACCCAACTTGGAATAGTGTCCCCGTGACAGTCGATGATGTCGATCGTGGCGCCCTCGTTGAACCTCCCTTTTTCTCAGATCTTTCGAGGGCCAATCGAGTGACAGGAATGTCAAGACGCCCCAGGCTAATTTTGTTATCCTGGTGCCTGCAAACACTGCCTTGTCTTCGGATCGAGCCCGGTGGGGCCTTCAGACGCAAACCCCACATATCTACGCCGCGAAACCACCTAGCGTGGGCATGATTGTATATCTCAGATCTTGCGGTTCCGAGTCTTAACTTTCGTAATAACAGTATCTGGGCCATTGCATGGTGAATCCATGCCCACGCAAGCCACAGACGTGATGCACCAGTCCAAAAGTCAACCGCGAGGCCGGAAATCGGCTGGCCTTATGCAGGGACAGAAAAGCGTATTCCGGGTTCCAAACTACAAATCACAAAAGGACCTAACGCATGGACCCGAGGAACCAAGCAGGGAGAAGGTCTACCATGCCCGCCGGCCTCATCGGAAATCCCGGGGTGGCTGCTCCAATTGTAAGCAGCGCCGTGTCAAGGTACATTCCTTCAATTCCTTCAAGCACCACACCCTCTTCCCCCTTCGTAAAACACAATTTCAAATCACTGGATTGACTGGTGGAACCAGTGTGACGAAGCCAAACCCACCTGTCTCCGATGTCAGAAGCATGGCGTTGACTGCGACTACACGGCCCGGCCTGTTCGCCCGTGGCCCTCCAAGAATATCATCTCGCAATTCATTGAATCACAGCCTGATCTGCTTTCTGTCGACTCCTTGTCTTCATCCATGTCTCTGTTGCTTGTTGCTGACAAACTGGATGAGCTGTTGCGCTCTGGTGCGGGTGCTGGGCGCCGGCCCAAAGTACGGACTGACACACCATTGGTCCTACAGGCCTTGCAGCACTTTCATAATACTACGATCAGTACCGACAGCGCCAAAAAGACCATGGCTGTCATGATGGGAAAGGTGACTGAGCTCGCATTCCAAGTAAGATTATTTCTTTTATTATACCCGTCTTACCCGTCTTTACTTCCTCGGGGTCTTTCCCGATATAAATAGACAAAACCAAGCTAACACCCATAGACCCCATTCCTTATGCACGCCATTATTGCGGTATCAACAACCCATCTTTGCAGTGTGCTCCCGGATACCACCGCCTACCGGGTCGCCGAAGCGCACCACTGGCAACAGGCCATCAACCAATACTCGCGCGAGGTCGGCACGAGCGTCAACCAAAACAACATGGACCAGCTGTTCTCAACCTGCATGCTCCTTTCAGTGCACTCATTCCTCCTCGAAGAGTTCAACCCGCGCGCATCCTTCGTCTTCTCCGACGACCCCACAACCCTCAACTGGCTCTTCCTCCAGGGCGGACTCCGCTACCTCCTGGAGCGCGTAACCATGTGGCTACCCACCAGCATGTGGTGGGCCTCCTTCGCCGAGGCCCACGACCCCAACATCGACTTCGAAGACGCCCGGCCCGGCCGCATCGACCTGGACCCGGACTTCGCGGACCTGTGCCGCATCGACGAGTCGTCCACCGTCAACTCCAACCCTTACCTGTGGCCGCTGCGCATGCTGACCCCGCTACTGAAACTCGAGCGCTCGCCGGTGAGTTTCCAGAAATATAACACCTGGATGGGCCGTCTGGAGCCGCCTTACTATGACTGCCTATTGCTCAAGGACCCGCCTGCGCTCGTTTTGCTGGCCTGGTGGCTCTCGCTCATGGCCTCTGTTGACAAGTGGTGGGTCGATACTCGTGTTCGTTCGGAATGTACGGCCATCTGTATGCGTCTTGAGGATAGCGAGGATCCACTTGTGTTGCGGCTGCTGGAGTTCCCCGCGCAGACGTGTGGCTATTTGCTGCGCCATGTGCAGGAGCGAGTTGCTTTTGAGTCTTGCGCGGATCTCTTGTCGATTTCTTGATGGTCTTGACTGCTGGCATGTTTCATGATGATCTTTCTTGATATTTGCGATACCCTTTTGTTCACTTCGACGTTCATTATTTGTGTTCATTGTTCATAGACATGAGATGGGCTGTACTCACCAATTATATATCCAAACAGCTCATTCTCATTGGGAGATCCTACTCTCCATAGTCTGGGGTTCAATAGACATATGATAAGACTCGTTTGTTACATTTAAATGTAATCAAAGTCCGCACTTTTAACTATTGTAGCACTGGTATATGCGAAATATGCTAGGCTGCACACCAGTATCGGAGCAAATATGTGCAAGGTGCCAATGACCTCCCTAGTAGCACCCGGTATTAAGTAACCCAAGATATCCCCAAATCCCATTCCAGCTTGAAAAGTCATCACTTCTCAAAGCTGTTCGATCGTCGCGTCGTATGCATCGAATTGCTTACAAAAAAAAAAAAAAAAAAAAAAGACAGAAAAGAACGCATTGCGGCGTAGCAAAGAAAAGATGAAATAGAGAAGGAAACAAACAATGATACCACTCAATTCCAGCTTGAGTGGTATTGAAAGGCGAGAGACTGATTCGAATATAGGTCCCCGCAGGTCAACCCTAATTCAGGAGAATTGCAATCATAATCAAGAAAAATTCACCGGCTCTCCCAAGAGACTCTCCGATGCCGCCGAATAGACTGGTCATCAGCATCGACTCGAGCATGACCCGTCCGCGAGATATTCATATGGGCGCTGGGCGGGGGATTGATAGTGACGGCCATAGCCGACGAGATAGAGATCGACCGCGACCGATTGAGCACAACAGAATGACGAGGCGAGTATGGCGGCGGAGGGGTCTCTCTCGTGGCAGTAGAAGTATTTCCGTAGCTGCTGGGAAAGGAAATGGCCGAGGAGCCATCAGAGGTGACCTCTTCGTCGTAGAGGTTGCGGTTCTTCTCGTCCGTGGGATATGTGTCCTGCGACTCGGATGAGATCGAGGAATCACGCATGTGCGCCTCGAGGGTTTTCTCGTGAATGCTCATGGGACGCGGCGTGTACTGTGGGAGTGGGACTACCGCCGCATAGCCCCCGTCATCAGCGTCAGCGGGCAGAGGTCCGTGCTCTCTGCGTGCTATACGGGGGACTGCTGGACGGATGAATTCGCCGTCGCTGGAGAGTGTGAACCGCCCGGTTTGGGTGCTGTGGCGACTGTTGTTGTGGGTGCCGGGCATTTGCATCTCTGGAGACGAGGTGGAGGGCGGGGGACTATTGCTGCGGGCGAAGCACCCGCAGAGCCCGGAGAGAAACGACATGACTCAAGGAGAGATCGTTGATGGTGTTTTGCAATATCGAGCTCAAAGGAAGGAATTTAAGGACTGTAAATCAAAATTATTCGCAGATCTCTGTGAAGAGAAGCCCTAGGAAGAAATGGGCTATTGCATTGCACAGCGATGTGCAGCAATCGAGTACAGAGTACAGTATTTGAGCCTCACGAATTGAAAGATAAAGTGGGCTGATCCCCACCCGGGTCAATATGCCCAAGCGCTGAACAGTCAACAAAGGACTCGAAAAGGGGTCCAACTACAGTGACATGATGAGTATCAAGGAGAGGATGAAAGAGAGGGAGAGCAGGAAAGAGGAGAATGGAAGAGGATTGGAAAATGGACAGGTTGGTCCCTGATAGTCGAGGCAGCCGCAGGCATCCAGATTGTGGGCGGCGGTGATTGGCCATCAGATAAACAGGTGGTTAAATTACTGTATTGCTACTGTATTATTGCCTGGGGCATCACTGTTCATTTCATGTGCACTTTTTTGTCTGTTTCCATGTTCCTTTTTCACCCATTGCCTCTCTCTCTCTCTTTCAGTACATGAAACACATAAGATCAAGATCACTGCGCAGTGAGGGGATGCAGAATTTGAGCCACCCCATAATGGCGCTTGCTGAGAGCTAGCTCCAGGGCGGTCCTCCGGATAAACCCCCCTGGAACGGTACCGTTGTACTCCAGAGTCTTGAAATTTGCATTAGCACCATAATGCAGAAGCAGCTGGACCGCTTGAACTTGGCCCAAGGATGCAGCAGTATGCAGGGGACTTTCCCCTTTGAAAATTGTGTTCACTGGCAAACCATGGTCGAGAAGAACTTGGAGCACTTGAAGATGTCCATAGAACACAGCGCAATGGAGTGTCCCTGCGGTTTCCATCCGGGACCCTAGCTGCTCAAGAAACAGCTTGACTGTCGAGGGGTGCCCTACCACCACTGCAGTCATGATTGGAGTCTCGTCCTTGTCGTTCCGAGTGTTAGGGATTGCCTTGCGCTCCATCAAAGCCTGGACTTTCGCGAGCGCATCATGTTCATCTGCGTCAGCTCTGCCGATAATATGCAACGGCGTGTCTCGGTGTTCATTGCGTGAGTTGGGTAGAGCACCATAGTCCAGGAGCAGGTTCAACATCGAGGCGTCTTTGTTCTCCACTCCGGCTGCTCGATGCACTGGAGCAGCTCCACAGAAGTCATTGTTCAAGAGGACCGGGAATTGCTCAAGGGCCTTTTTCTGGGCCTCATTCATGGTATTTGGGTCCAGGATCTGATTAGTTCTTCCGAAGAGCTTGGCCATTCCACTGCCCTGGGGTTTGGCACCGTACTCCAGGAGCATCTGGGCCATTTCGACGTTTGAGTGGTGCACTGCATGGTGCAAAGGTCGCCACCAGAGCTTGTCGTTCCTGTTGGGGTTGGCTCCATGTTCAAGAAGCAGTTGAGCCATGTCAGTATGACCGTTGATCACAGAAAGCACAAGAGGGGTGAAGCCTTTCTCATCTCTGCTATCGAGAGGAGGCCGAAGCGAAAGTAGGTGATTCACAGGTGGCTGGTACCCATGCTCGGCGTACCAGAACAAGGCAGAACGTCCTCCCGCTCTAGCCTGACGCTCATAGAGCAAGAAAATGGTCCGTTCATAGATGTAACGATCGGTACGGGCGAACGAGTAGATGTCTCGCTGGGACCGCAGGGAGCTGCCGATCATAACCAGCAGCTCAGTGGGTAGCACATTCAGTGCCATAATGAAAGACGTGATGCATGAAAAAAAAAGGCACACCCAAAGATAAAAGAACGAAAGAAAGAGATGGTGAAGGAGATAAAGTGTTCTGCAATCGTGGAAGGCATCAATAAAGTAAGAGATGTTGACGTCGAAGCCTGTTTGCCTCGGATCGCGTATAGACGCGACTCTACACGCGACAGCATAATCGATGACTCCCTGGTGCCTTGCACGTGAAACTGTCAAATAAGTAGGCTACAGCCCTGTTTCTCCAAAAGCAAATTCAAGTTTGATTCATAGCCAAACCCGTGGCTATATAAACAATCGTCAGTTAGGGCTAATGGAGGCATTTTACCGCCTTTAATACCGCCCTCAAACCCCGGCAGAAATAGGTTTTTGGGTTAAATTTTTTTTCCCCGCGGCGTTCTCCACAGCCTTCTTAGATATGGTGCTCCCATGTTTCTTTCACGATAGAGATATCAAAATTTCCGAAGACTTCCTTCCCAACTGTTTCCAGCATCATGACCACCGATCCTGCCGTGCAACGAGAGGCCCAAAGCACCGAGCCTCCGCAAATCCCGCCGCACCGCTCGCATGACCCCGCCAACAACACAAAGCGCACTGACCCCTTCCAGTTCGGGTCCCGATTCCTTGAAGCAGGGGACAATGTCTTTGAATTCAATGCCTGGGACCATGTAGAACCTGATGAGGAATTCAAGGCTTACGCCGAGGCACAAATCGCCAAGCAGCGCGAGACACCAGTATCCGAGTTCGACCAGAAGCGCTTCAACAACGACCCAGCCAAGTGGTGGAACCTGTTCTACAAGAACAACACAGATAACTTCTTCAAGGACCGCAAGTGGCTGCGCTATGAATTCCCCGTGCTGGCGGAAGTGACACAAAAGGACGCGGGGCCCCAGGTCGTCCTCGAGGTCGGCGCCGGCGCCGGCAACACCGCGTTCCCGCTGCTGGCGAACAACGAAAACGACCAGCTCAAGGTACATGCATGCGACTTCTCCAAGTACGCTGTCAAGGTCATGCGTGAGAGCGAGCAATACGACGAACGCCACCTGGTCGCCGATGTCTGGGACGTGGCCGCCGTGCCGGACGAGAACGGGAACTCGCTCCCGCCGGGTCTAACCGAGGGCTCTGTCGACGTCGTCATTCTTATCTTTATCTTTTCTGCGCTTGCACCGAATCAGTGGGAACGTGCTATTCGCAACATCCACCGCGTCCTGAAGCCCGGGGGTCGGGTGCTGTTCCGTGACTACGGCCGCGGGGACCTTGCGCAGGTCCGGTTCAAGAAGGGTCGCTATATGACCGAGAATTTCTATGTCCGGGGCGATGGCACGCGCGTCTACTTCTTCGACAAGGGCCAGCTCATCCACATGTGGGGGCAGTGGTCGCCGGAGAAGGGCCTGCCGACTCCTCCCGAGGATGCGACTGCGGAGTCACAACCTGAGTCGCAAGCTACTGCGGAGGGTAGTGGGGCCTTTGATGTCCTGCATATGGGCATCGACCGCCGTCTTATCGTCAACCGCCAGAGCAAGGTCAAGATGCATCGCTGCTGGATGCAGGGCCACTTCCAGAAGCATGGCGGGCCCACTGAGAGCGCCACTGAAAAGGCTGAGTGAGAACAGTCTGCGCTGTCAATCTATGCAGCATTGCTGGCACAACCCGCACCTCGAACCGGCAACTCTGTATCTGCACCAGACCCCTCCGTCGACAGCTCAAGTATCACCCACGATGCTTGATCCGCTGCCTGCCTTGCTGAACCAGCCTGCTCTGCATGGATGCGATTAGCACTCCGTGGGTCTCAAATCCCTCCGTCCGGGGATGAAATCTACCATGTCAAGGCCCGAGACAGAAATTATCGCTTGCTGAATGTCAAACAAGTTGATAGCTCTGGTCGAAGTCCCACCCGTCGCCTATGTACATGTCGGTGGCAGGCTCTCTCGATGGACATGTGCACAGAATATTCTGTTATAGACCTGATGAATGTACGAAATTAGATGATCGCATGGAATATTATCCAAAAGCCAAGGACGTTGAATCCCGAAAGTCACTAGATCAATAAAAATAGATACAAGAACCAAAAAAAGTGAGACCTCGTCTATCTACGCCTTCACCAGTCTTGAAAGTGTAGGTCCCCAAAAGACACAGTGAAAGAGGGCCAAGAACAGAATGTGCAAGTAAAAAAAAAGAAACTCCACCCATGCAGACAGAAACATCAGTCCACTGCCCAAGTGGAAAGGAAAGGATCTCTATGAAACCTGCATAGCGAACCGATAAAATCGAAGCACCCAAGTCTAATCAAGAAATGTCGAGGTCATTCAATCCATCAATGTATCATGAGCAAAGAAGTGAACACAAATGCAGTTGAAGATTCAGGCCAAAATGAAGCCACATGCTTATGATGTTAGATTGGGGCATTCTCCCTTGGCACGCTGGAAAGCATTCGCAAAGAGATCCTGCATGGCGCAGTAGTGGAAGAGAATTCCGCCAAGCACAGCCAAGTGCCAAATGTTGTGACTGCCACCAAAGTAGTCAAATAGGCCCGGCTTCCAACGCTCAGGGACTTTAGAGGCATAGACGCAAGCACCGACAAAGTAGACCATGATGCTCTTCACGACCGGGGCATAGAAGTACAAGCACCATGCGAAACCACGGGTGTAGGAGAGCTGCGCGAGAGGAGCAAAACCAGTCAGCGCAAGGGTCACATAGAAGGCCACCCGGGCCCAGGCCATGTCATGGCGATTGAAAGTTGGGTGCCATGGAAGAATAATGCCACCAATACCCAGAGACATGGTGAGCAGGATGTAGATCCACCGAGAAACGGGCTCGCAGTAGAAAGCGGTGTACTCAGTAGTCACGATCGAGGCGGCAACCAGCAATGAGATGCCAGTGTAGTCCACACAGGCGAAGCGCTCCATCAGATCCTGGGATGCAATGCTATTCATGGTGTGCCAGAGGGTACTGCAGACCAGGCACTTGCATGCAGCAAAGAAAAAGACTGCCGCAATCATCACATCGGCGTTGGTGCTCAAGTGGAAGTTAGGATTCAGCGGATAAAAATAAAAGGCAATCGAAAGGATGATGAAAAGGCCGATCATGTGGGACCAGATGTTGACCAGTTCGTTCGAGAAGGTAAAGACTGACGAGACACATTCCACCTTGGACGTTGTGAAGCGATAGCCCTTCAAGATATGCGGATTGACTCGCCACGGGTCAGGCAGGTCATAGTAGGTGATCAGTCGCTTCTCCTGGGCCAATGTAATAGCCTGGTCGATGCTCTCCCGGAGTACATCCCGCGCTCGTCGAGCGCGCTCCATTCCCTCATCGACCACTTCCCGTGCATGAACAAGCTTTGAATCCATGGCTTTCCAGCCATCATCCAAGGTCCCGTAGATTCCCCGGTCTCGGACCGCATGGGCGCGAGACTCGAGCTCGGACAAAAACGACTCCATCAAGCGCACACTTGCCTGGGCCTTCTGCTCCAGAGTCTCCTTGGTAACCAGTGCCTCATTGTATCGGCCCTCGAGCGTCTCCACCAAAATCTTGGCCCGCTTCTTCCCACTCCCCATGAGCTCGCCTGAGGCGACCGAGCATTGGTCCCTCACGGCTTCCAGTGTTGCATATCCCCGTCGCAGACTCGCGTCAATTTGAACCATGTGCGACTTGCGATATTGCTCGATCCATTGCATGCGACGTTCCAGTTCGGCCAGGAAGAGTTCAACCTGTAAATTATGGTGAGATGGGAACTATTGGGCCTGGCCCCACATGCTTGGGGGACTTACCCTGATGAAGACTGTATCGGCATCCTGGTAGTCGCACGAAAGTTTTCTAGAAGCATGGAATGAATGTCGGCGCCGCCGATCGCGGAGAAGGGCTGTGGCTTCGCCAAGGGTGGCACTGGACGACGCAACAGCGTCGGGAGAGGATTCCACCGTCATGGATGACGCTGTGCAAGCCATTGTTCAGGTCGGGGGCTTCACCCGACCTAGACCGATCAATCCAAACGCGCCAGGATGGGATATGAAGATACGAATAGAACAAAAGCGATTTAAAGTGAAATGATCAATAATAAGACAATATGAGACAATATGAAGCAACTCAGGAACCGAAGAGAGGGGGAAGGAGGAAGGGCCGAAAGGAAGAGAGAGAACCTTGGAAGTTCCGAGGGGCTAAAGTCTTCCCCAACCCTCCACCCCTTCACGTTGGCGCTACCCACCTTTTCTTTGGCGCTTGGCGATCGCCCTGTCGCCACCCCGAAAAAAACAGGTCTGATCACAGCTGATCACACACTCTCTCTTTGGATTTCTCCATCATGGCCATCAGTGAGATTGTCAGCGACGAATCGTTGCTCCCCGTGCTGAAGACCAGCGCCGAGACGCTGGTCCAGTGCCAGCAGCTGCTCACCCTTCTGAATCCCGATGCGATCCCGCCCGACTCCAACGCGCAAGAATTAGCTCTTGCGGTCTCCAAGCAGCAGAAAATTCTCTTCGCGCGGCTGGCCCAACTCCGCGGACAGAACCGAGATGCCATTTTTCGCGTGCGCGACACCAAGCAATCGACAGCGGAGGCTCGACAAGAGATCGACCGACTGCATCTCCAGTTGCAGAACCTGTACTACGAACAGAAACATCTTACGGGCGAGATCGCCGCCTGCGAGTCCTACGAGTATGTGGATTAGACCTGTGGGATGCATCATGTTGTTTTTGGTGACTGACCTTCTTGCTCTGGTGTAACAGTCACAAATATCGGTCGCTGCCATTGATCCCCGTCGAAGAGTTCCTCCAATTGCACCCTGAACACCGCGAGTCAGACGAGCATGAATTGATGATGGCTCGCATCAACCACGAACATGCTGAGCGCGAGAAGCTGGAACAAGCGCGGCAAGAATTGTTGAAGCGCAAGCAGGCCTTGATCGCGGAGAATAAGAAGCGGAAAGATGACCTCGCCAATCTGGACCAAGACCTGGAGAAGTTCATTGATGTAAGTCCCCATGTCTATGTGGTCTTGATACCCCGACCTCTTCGTGCTAATCAAGTTGGGTCTCTAGGCAGCCAAACCAATCCAGAAAATCTTCGAGAAGGAATATTAGCCATTGCAGGGTGGCAGGGCTGTTGGGCTTTGACCGCTACATTAGATCGGCGTTATTGGGCAAGATACCCGGGTTCTGAATTTATGGGATGTTTAGTAGACAAGGCCATGTCTTCTATGTCCAACGAGTCTGCTGCGTAAAGCATGGTCTTCGTCGTGTCCCCATGGAGTTTAGAGTGCATAATCTAAATGGCAGCTTAAAATCCATTCATTGTAGGCATAAATCGGGAATGTCAAGGGAATTCGAAAGCGTGCAAGTTGTATACTTGTGGACAGTGCCAGCAATGGACTGAATGACATGTCCGATTTTGTGGCATACGACCAAAGCAAAAATAATCTGAAATTGAACGCCGCTGTAATACTCCAGGTTCGACTTTTTTTTTTTGACTATAAGGCATTCAATTAAGCATTTACTTTGGGACCGTGGGTGGCCCATACTGTGGCACCACTTCTTCCCGCTCCTTTCTCCGCCTTGCATCTCTCCCCCGGTCAACGCCCGCGGTTCTTGTCCACAAAGCATGTCCCGACCATGACCGGCAAAAATGGAGACCACGAGTCTCCCCGGGTATCGACCCCGTCTAATGCCAATGCCAATGTCAAGCGCATACCGCCCCCAGAGTCACCGGCGGCGGTCCAGACGCGGTTCAAGGTCATTGCCGCTTTCTGGGCCGTGATCATCTTTCTGGGATTTCCGATATGGTGGAAGACAACCTCAGTCTACAGGGCACATATTCCGTTTCAAGAGATGGTGGACTGGGCGGATGGAAAGGTATAGCTTGCGGGATAGGCTGTCGGTCTCGCGATTTGAGTTGATACTAACACTCGCCCCTGCAGACATGTCGCCCCGTGTTTCCCTTAGAGATTCATCTCGCAACCCCAGCGATGCAATCGCCTGAAGCCCAGCACCTCCTCCGCACAACGCAACATACCCTCGACGATCTCAATGAGTTCGCGACGCACCACCTCCGGCTCAAGTTGACCAACGACAGCGACACACCCACCACACAGGATGACGAGAATTCCCAGGGAAATGCCAGCAATGCGGAGAAAGAGGCGGCAGATACGGCATTGACTGTTCGCCTTCTTCCCCAGGAAGACTTGGCCGCGCCTAGGTCTGAGCTCCACGCGGACACTACCCAGCTAGATGTCTTCTATCCGCCGAGCCAAACTCCAGTCTCGTCTTCATCAAATCCGCCGCTCTCGGCTTTCATTGCGGGGGAGCTGCAACAGTTGTATGCTGAAGAGAAAGCGACCATAGCACATATTCTGTCCAGTCATGCCGTGGGCCTTGATTCACCTTCGCCGCAAGTCGCCGGGAGCATCAGTCGGCGATGGCGCCGATCAATGCAATATGCCGAAATTTATCACCTGTCGTTTTCCTTATTTACTCCTGGCCCTGCGCCATCTGCATGGGATATTGAGGCCGCCGTGGACGAATACCTATCACCGCTTCTCCGGGCATTTGCTCCCATCAGCAACTTCACCGTGGACACCCAGGTCCAGCTTTACGCCACATTTTCACCAACTGCAACACTGCCAGAATATGACGAGACGGAAGCCGCATGGACACTGAAAAAAGAGGGCCTAAGCGCCTTCGTGAATGCCGCCGAGTGGCCGCTGAACCCCAGTATTGGCAACGGCCCCACGATCAACTTCATTCTCTACATTCCGGACCCCTCGCAGTCACCGCTAGTCGTCAAGGAAAACCGCGCCTCTAGCTGGATTATCCCGCAGTGGGGAGGCGTGTTCCTTTTGAACCCTCCTCTTTCTCAGACCGACAGCAGCGGTGATCGTGTCAATCCCGCTCACCTGCCCCTGGAGACCTTGCGCCCTGCATTCATGACCTTCTCGCATCAACTTCTCACCCTCCTCGGCACCCCCAGCACCCCAGTGTCTCTCCCACTCCGTCTCCAGACGCTTATTCGTGTTCGCGCCGCGACGCTCCTCCTCTCTGCCTCATCCACTATGGGTTCGCTCGCCCGCTTGACTGAGTCTCTCCCCTCCATTCCCATTCCGGCTACAGTCTCCGCCTCCGTCTCTGCAACGCTTTCCCGCCTCGCTGCCACTTGCTCTCACCTCCGGGCTGGTCGCTTCGGCGCTGCTCTTGCCAACGCGCGAGTCGCAGAGAAGGAGGCCGAGCGCAGCTTCTTTGAGAAGAGTATGGTGGGCCAGGTGTATTTCCCGGATGAGCACAAGGTTGCCGTCTACCTGCCGTTGCTGGGGCCGATTGGTGTCCCCTTGGTGATTGGGTTGATCAAGGAACTTAAGCGCGTGGTGGCTTCATGGAAAGCCCAGCGACGACCCACATAGGACTGTATTCTCAGAGTTGGATGTATACATTTTGTATTTGCATAATTATAGCATAATTCACTTTCTTCGCGTCAAAGCCTCATCTGAATGATCTTTTGGTTGCCTACTCCATCAGGATAATCCCAGGGGTTGGACTACTCGTGGAAGGGTGTACATAACTGGTTAACTCCTCGAATTAATATGGTTCCAGGTGTCTGAAAATGACAACACCGGAAAATCCAAACAAAGAATGCAAGAATATGTTGATACAGTGTTCAATCCATAACACCAAACAAAGAGAAGAAGAGAGCGACCCTAAAACAAAGCCCCAGCTTGAGACCATGTCGAAGCCAATCGAAGAACGAAGACTCTGTCGTCTATAAAATAGCACCATGCTACGTCAGTCGCGGAAGGGATTATTCTGGGGCTGGGGCGTCTCAGTCACGCGGTAACACGGCTCGCCCTTGCCATCACTAAACCCAACAACCTGCATCAAATCCGTGAAAGTAGTATCCGGTTGAGCGATAGTACCAGGATACGGTTCAGGGCCCAGGAACTTGTTGGATTGGGCAAACGCGCCGGGCGGGGAGAACACCTTGATACTCTCAGTGCTGGCCTGACGCTCTGGCGGAGTAACAGCCGGAGCAGGGACCGGGGGGATGTCCTTGTCGAATTTTGGATTCCCCGTGCCGGAAAACAGACTCCTGACCCTGGTCCCGGTGCGATGCAGCACAGAGCGAGTGGAACGCCCGCCGAGAGAAGATCGTTTCACCGGCCCTGGCCGTAAAAGAAAGTCGGTGCGGTAGGAGATGTCATCTGAGGCGATGGGGTTGGAGATGCCGATGAGAGTGCCGTTGGATGAGCGTTCGGACCAGTGTGGACCGGATTTGGGGTCGTGTGCTTGCTGCTCGTTTTTCCGGGCGCGCCGTCGCAGACAGAGGGATGCAAGGAGGGCTAGAACGGCGCCAAATACTGCGCCGGGGAAAACCCCGGCTACCACGGCTTTGCTGGGGAATGAAGGGCATTGGGAGGCTAGATCCCCGGATGCTGAGTTGGCAGACAATGAGGAAGAAGGCGATGAGACGGGCGTGAAAGTTGCCCCGAGGGTGGTGGATTCAGTGGTCGATGCTGTGGCGGTTGTTGAGGTGCCTGGGAGAGTGGCAGTTGCCTTGCTCGAGGTATCCCGGTTCAAGGCACAGGTGCTGTTCCCCTGGCATGTATAGCCAAATGGACAGCACGAATCACCGCACTCGGGGAGCTCATCGTCCAGGCGGGTTGTTTTGATCGGGTTCTTAGGGTGAAGGGTTGCGTTCTGCTGCTGCGCGTCGCAGACTATCGGTGAGATATAGTCACAATTGGCTCCGGTGGGACAGCAGATGGCAGAACTGGCATCGTCCAGACTGATACAGGTGGCAGACGACGGGCAACAGAAGCTGTCTGGGAGCTTTGAACTGCCACATCGCTTGTAAGAGCTCGGACAAGAATCTGTGCTCCGAGGAAGAAGGTAAAATGGATTCAGGGCATTGCTTGGTCGGATCATGACCAAGACGGACAGAAGCAGCAGAGGCCATGGCTGTCCGCTGACGAGACCCGCGGCTGACCTCGCCATGCTGGCAGTGCGAACGGAATCCTGAGTTTTGGCACTGCTTGTCAATCACCCGCCGAAGAGTTTCTTCGAGAGATATAGAGAAGGCTGGCAGGCCAAGAAAAAGAAAAAGCAGACAAGTCGAGCAGGGAAGTTGACTGAGGTAGAGAGCAAAATCCCCAGCAGACAAGGGCATTAATTGTAGGCTGAAACATCCCATGACCCAATAGACGAGGGTCCATCAAAGGAAGCCATTCTTCAGGCGGCGATCCCATTCATGTTCCGCATAAAAAGGATGGCACGCGCCGTCCCAAAATAGGGACCCCCTGGCGGGTTTCAGCATCGGCTGCATAGTCCCACTTGACAGCAACAGGGCGCTTAATCAGGCTTGTGCTTCAGCACACCAGAGGACCAGGAGAGCGACAGGCTGCAAAAGAATCCGCTGTGGTGGAGGATCAGAGAAGCTGGCGCTTGGAGAAACACAAGATGTAGTTCGGCGCGCTGTGATTGGCCGCTGACTCAGCACGGAAATTCTTCGCCTCGACGGGGTGTAGATGGGCTCGCCAGCTTTCTCCAATCCACATCTCCCTCCAGCGCTCACCATGTTCAGCCGACTCGTCCGGCCGCAGAGCGCCCTGCGCGCGTCTGCTTTCTCTCCGGTGCGTTTCGTGGTCGCCAATGTCGCTAGCTGTCTCTAACCGCGCTTTTCGCTAGACCTCCTCCGCCCTCTCACGTTTCCAGACCCGTGGCTTGCATCGCATCCCTCAATTGCAGCATGATGCCTATTACAAGGAGAATGGAATTCCGGAGTTTATGTCACCCGAGGCTTTTGATTTCTCTTGGAAGCAATACCAGTCTTTCCTCATCGAAAAGCTCAATCTGTTGACACAAGGTGAGACCGACACTTCGACCCTGCGACTGGACATGGTTGTGGAATTGGATTGATAATACTCGCAAGTGGGATGGTATTGAATGGGAGGCTGATTCAGTGGACAGACACCGTTGACACGGACGCCAAACCCGGGGAATTGCTGGTCAAGTACTCCCGACGTCCGGAGATGGCCTCGGTGTTCAATTATGCCTCGATGGCACACAACAACCACTTTTTCTTCAACTGCCTGGTCAGTAACACATTAACTCAAACATCCAGTGGGTCTTTATTAGCGATCTCCTAACACCTCGCAACTATAGTCCCCAACCAACACCAAGATGCCCGAGCGGTTCGCCAAGGACATCGTCGACACGTGCTCCTCGATTGAATCGCTCCGTCTGGACTTCCTCGCCACGGCCAACGCCATGTTCGGTCCTGGCTTCGTGTGGCTCGCAAAGAACCTGGAGCGCGAGGGCATGATGCACATCTTCTGCACTTACAACGCCGGCTCGCCCTACCCGGCAGCCCACTCACGCCGACAACCAGTCGACATGGCCACGCACTCGCCTGACGCCCCACTGGGCAACCAGTTCGCCGGATCGATGGGCGCGCACGCCCAGAACCAGAAGAGCCTGGCGCCCGGCGCCGTGGACGTCCAGCCCATTCTCTGTGTTAACACTTGGGAGCACGCCTGGATGATGGACTACGGCATCTCGGGCAAAGAGGAGTACCTGGAACGTTGGTGGGATCGCATCAACTGGGACGTGGTCTTCGACAACTACAATGCCGTCAATTCGGTCCGCGCTACGCGGAGTGCCACGCGCAATCGGAGTATTGGCATGCTCTGAGCCAAAAATCTTTTCTGTGTCTGGATAATTCTGTACTATATACACTTACTGCCTCCCCATGTTCTATTTTTCTTCCTATTTCTGGTCATGGCTTCTTGCACGGTGCGGCCTATCCCATAGACAGCTATCTAGCAATGTGCATCCCATGTTCTTCTGGCGAATGGCGGAGCTTCCAATTGTTTCATCTCGATGAATGTACATGCAAATGCAAATGTCTAATATACAGACCTCCCTCTCCCCCCGCTAATAGTCTACTCTATTATCTAGTATTCACCGTGGGCTCTAGTATTCACCGTGGACGGCCCTCAACCTCCCGAATCCGCTTTTCAAACGCCTCAACCATCACCGCAGCCATCTGCCCCTCAACCGTACCCATAACCGTAGCATGCAACTGACTGCGGAACTCAAACCGCACCTCCAAATCAACCTTGGTCAACGAGCCACTACCACCACCAGTAGCAGCCTGTCCAGCCTCAGCCGAAGAGAGCGGAACAAGCTGCCACCGCGTTGATAGGTACTCAAAGATACCCTCATTAGCGCCAGGAAAGAACCCACTGATTCCCGACAATGGTGAGGAAGACGATGAAGAAGAACCGCTCTCCGGCTGCCCATCCCTCCCAAACCGCGCCCCGCTCCTCGCCTCGACAACCCACTTCTCGCGATCACAGTCCACGCGCGACGTGAACGTCTCGCTGAGCGGGCCGTAGCCCACAGTCAGGAACGCTTGCATCGGATATCCGGAGACGGGGTCGCGTGCAGTGACAGTAGATGCAGTGAGGAAGGGCAGGAATTGCGAGTAGGACTCGACGGCTGAAATCACTTTGTAGAGGGTTTCTGGGGGGTAGGGGAGGGTGCGGGTGGCAGTCAAGACGCGGTGCGAGGAATTGTTGCCGTTGCCGCCATTGCTGCTGCTGTTGTTGCTGGACGACGACGGGAGGATGGATGAGAGGGAGGGGAGATTGAAGGCGCGGCGGGGCGTTTGATTAGAGTGTGAAGCAAGGAGAAATTTGCGCGGGCAAGGTTGGGATGTTGTCGTGCTTGTTATCGTCCTTGTCCTTGACTTCGTTGTGTGTTGCGAGAGGGAGATCGGCTCGGGGACAGGATGTGTGCCTCTCAGGAAGCCAGTTGCGCGACTGGTGTGTCGCAGGCTGTAGAATGGTCGCATTGGAGGAGAGAGTAGTAGAAAAGATTGCAATTCACTGAGAGTAGTGCATGGGAGACAATATATACCGGTAGACTATTAGAGCGAAGGAATTACTGGAGGGGAAAAAAGGTGTCCGGGCTGCGCTGATCGGGGATCGGCAGCCGAGGCTCCAACTGGGCGTCCGTTCATAGATCATTTATACACTGACGTCTACTTTGTCCCTAGCAAATATTCCATGGAATGAAAGTGATTCATCCAGAGTTCAATATATATTCTATGATCTCCAATGCTTTCACCGAGATACAATTCTCAAATGCGCCAAAATAAGTATCTTCGGTTCCCGATTTCTTCTCTCATCTCCCTGGCAATCCTCACGGGAAATTCTGGTCCATTGAGGGCTGCAGATCAGATGGATAGCAGGCAAACTCATAATCAAAAGGCTCCCCAGTAGCATCTGAGTTCCAGACATTGTTTTGCGTGGCCATTTCGAATCCGGAGATACGGCTATCGTACAGGCGCTAGAAGAGATACAAGGTCAGTCGGCCGATCGGAGCGTCAATCCAAGAATGCTTACCCAGTCCAATGAAGCGGGAGAATTGAACATATCTTCAATTACTCCTAGAGAGGAATAAGATGGCGTGCTGGTGGGGTTGTACATGGCAGGCGGCATGTCACCAACAGCAGAGTACATCGGGTCTTGCTGCTGGTCCATGGAGACCGGGAAGACCGGCTGGGACGGAACTGGATTTGAAGATTCAGTAAGCTAGTTATACAAACACACACACAAAAGGAAGATAGAAAGAGCATACTGTTCATTTGGGGCGTTGGTTGATCCGTATCCATGGACACATTCTGTACACTGCTGCCTTTGACACGACCAAGCATGATGGTCAAGGCCGCAAATGCCCGCTGTGTATCGACGGACCGACGTCGCGAATCCTTGAAAACCCGATGACTGGTCTCCAAGAGAAGCAGAAAATCCGCGCGTTCTTGCGCGCTGAGACGGGCTGCGGTGCCGCGCTGGTCGTCCTGGGATAGCTCCAGGCAAAGAATCATGGCAGAAAGCAAAAAGTCTGTGTTCTGGAGCGAGTTGATGAAATACCTTTCGGTGTACAATTGGCCACCGGGCATGGACTCGGTCCAGATGTCGGCCCCATGCCGAAGCGTCTCTTTGGCTGCGTTCAGACAGACGGTGCGCGAGTAGGAATACTTGCCGTCGTTCTCTGCAATATACCGGCGATGCAGCACAGCGCGAGACTTCAGGTACAGCAAATCCATGGTGTACCGCCGTAGGACCAATTCTGTCGGGTCTGCCAGTGACTGGGTCATGGGTCGAATTCGAAGGAACGAAGGCAGGCCATCCTTGGCTGCCACCAGGCGGCGGTCAATTTCAAGAATTTCTTCGTATGGAGTGTGCTCCCGAGAATATGCCAGGTCGGTAATTTGCCCAAAGACCTTCATAATCTGGGCTTTGCCATTTGTGTATGAGCACGCAGTTCGCTGCTCTACTGGTCTCGACGGTGGTAAATGTAGAGAATCTTTATGGAAGTCGGTGTCCAACAGATTGGAGGGCAGCTCTGTATCATACTGCCAGGGTTGGATGGTCCGAGGCAGACCAACCTGAAACGAAACCAGAGTGTCTAGCTGGCACAGTAACGCCCAAAAGCGCCGTCGCATCTCGCCCTCCCACGCTGACAGCATGGGGTAATGGCGCGCATCTCGGTGGTAGCCCATGCGCATGGCCAATCGAACCGCAATTCCATGGAGGTACGAGACTCCGACCTGCGCATCTTGGCTCCGATAAAACTCACACATTGAGTACAGGAACAGAGCCTCGCACTTGTAGCGGCCTGGATGGATATAGTTTGCCTGTACAAGACACTGGGCGGCCCTCTTCCGGAATATGTTCCAGGTGATCATCGTGTCGGCCATGTTGAGGGGCAGTGGCTCTTGGCCTCGATGGTACATGGATACCGACAAGGTCACGATGGAATACAACATAGAAATCCAGCTATACGACATCTCGTGTGGAGTGCGCCAGAATTGCTCATACTCATTGTAGAACGTAGGGATATGGAGCATAACTGTTGATCAAGTCAGCATTGGAAAGCACAAGTTCATCGAACACCCCCAACTCACCTAGCAATGGCTCGGATGTTTTGAGGAAGCGAGAGACCAGTCGATCTGTAATTGACCGCGGTGGGATATCCACAAGCAATTCCTCCTTGGGGATTGGCTTGCCGGACCCGAGCAACAGAGCCGGCGACGACTTGTCGAGTGGGTGAGTCTCCGTGGCTTCGTCGTCAGAATTGTCCTCATTCTCATCGATATACTCCTTGACTCCGTTGATCTTTTAACATCACGCAATCATCAGCTTGGTCATCTTTTTAAGGTGCAAATGAAAAGACCATCGGGGCCAGAAACAGACCTCCTCTAGGATCGCACGCCAATTCGCGCTATCGATATAACTGGTGCCTTCGTCTTTTACCACCATGGTTCCCGTGTCCTGAGAAGGTGAGACACCTTCACGGACCGAGCTGGGCGTCGCATAGTTGGCATGGCCGCCTGTGGGGTCGACATTAAACTCGATCTCCGGATTCTCGGGCTTCTGCTTCTGGGCCATCGACATCACCAGGTTCTCCAGGTGCTGCAAGCGATCCTGGACAAGGGACGGGCTAGTACTCCCATGCTGGGCCTTCCCTCGTGGACCGCGACCGACATAAGTACATGATGCTGCCTCGCCTCGTTTCTTGCAGTTGGTGCATGGATATGTGCGACAGCATTTCAGCCTAAACCCTGATCAGTACGTGTTCATGTAATAGTCCCAGTATATTGCAAATTTGCGCACTTGCGTAATCGGCATGCCGTACATGAGAACTGGACTCGAGTTCTCTTCTTGGGGGCCGACGTTGAGCTCTCCGCAACGGGCGGGCCCAGGTTGTTAACGAAGTCGGACATTTGGGGATCAACAAGACTAGAAGCTAAGGATAGCAGATAAGCACTCGGAAAATCGACCCAGTGTACGTGAAATTGGGGAGAATCCACACAAAGAATGACTGGGGAAGGATCAGAGGGGCATTGGGGGCGTTCGTTAACTCCGATGCTTTGTCTCTCCAATTCAACCTTACGTCCTACGCCTGAGGTAAATGCAAGATATTGCCTGTTTCTTATTTATGTGTGTTCATAATACGTTCATTCTACGCAAATATTCTTGCTATGGAGGTAAATTCTTCAAGAATGCTGTCAGGCACAATGTTACCCGTGGATCTCTGCCTTCATGGCGACTCCAGTGGGCCCAATGATCTGCACCTTGGAGATGTCTCCCTCCTCCAGTTCAATGCGATACTCGTCTCCAGCATATAATGGGCTTGTCGCTCGGTACGAGATGTGCTCGGGAATAACCAAAGCAGGATCACTACCGGTCTTGCTTTGGGTGTCCCTCCACAGGTCCAAGATGGAGATCAAGTTCAAGGGACCGTGAACGACAATCTCCCTGTGTCCTTCGACATCCCGGGCCCACGGCAGCGAGTAATGAATCTTGTGCGGATTGAAGGTGAGGGCAGAGAACCGAAAGAGCGTCACAGGTGTCTGCACCAACGTCCGCATATGGGTATTGCCCTCGGTGGTGATGGCAGAGGAATTCGGGCGCGCGACATGCGCCGCAGGGGATGGAGCCTGCACATTGGATGGCGACAAGGCAGATCGGACGGGAAGCGCTTTGCGGAACACCCAATTCCTATACGGCCGTAACTGGTCAATGTCGTCTTCCCCATTACGCCAGTATCAGAGCGGCTCCGTCAAACAAACCTTCGGTCCACAATGGACACGCCATGCTCGTTGGCGAACTCCTTCTCCACCCCGACCACGATCATGTCCTCCCCAGTCTTTTTAACAACTTTGGGCTCTGCACTCAGCACCCGTGTCGTCTCCTGTACTTGCTGTCCCACACGCAACAGATTGGGTTGGCCATCTGCACCGCGGGGCCAAAGCACCTCACCCCCGGCCCACATTCGACGCGTGAAAGGCACTTCAGGGTTGTATGAGGCATCTGTTCCGTCTGCTCCAAGCTCGCTTTCCAAGAATGCTGGGGTGAAATACACCAGGTGATAGCCTGGAGGCACGGGTGTGTCGGACGGTGGGGCTGCGGTATCGGAGAGCGAGGGTGACCCGGGGAAGAGACTCGGGCGGTTTAAAGTCAGAGTGAGGAGCTGAAGCTGGTTGGCGTCAATGATCTGTGTCCGGGTTTGAGGGCCGAGGGATTGGAAGCGCGAGAGAAATGACGAAGCTATCGAGGAGGGGGAGGGATCTGCGGAGCACAGACGACGTGCAGTCGCGAAGCTGCGAGAAGCAACGGGTCGACCTCCCCGTGCCAATATAGGACGGATTGGTGTTAGTAATGACAGGACAGAAGCATACATGGCGACAATACTCTCAGGCAGAGAAGAGTTGAATAGTGAAAAAAGAAGGGAGAGAAAAGATCTCCAATTTGTATGCGGGGAAGCCGAGTAGCTGCTGCCGAGTCGGCTTTTTCGCGGATCCACTGCCCCATTCGATGTATACACTCCCTAGTATTCCATGGCATAGCTTGGTAAATACTTGACAAATACACTACACCATATAATCCAGTCATGAATGGGAGGGCTATGGAGGGTATCTAAAGACTAACGGGGCGGTAGACAGGGGGCAAGGGTCAGACAATAAGAATTGGCTAAAGAACGCTAGGGATGAGGGGCATAAGAATAGCAGAAGAAGATGAGTTCAGAGCCGGACTTGGCCTCCAGTCAGGCGGTTCCAGTCTTTCTGCTCGAAGGGTACATAGGAGCTGCCCTGCAACCAGTACAGCCGGTCGTGGTTGGAGACAAGCGACGGGTCCACGCCCTCGGTCCGCAAGACATGTTTCTGCTGCTTGTTGTTGCCAGTCGCTTGCATCTCAGGGGTAACGCGAAGGAAGAGTGGAGCAGCGAATCGAGGCAAACCGTTCAGGGCATGGGCGGCAAGGCTGTTGAGCGTTTCGCGCGACGGCTCCAAGACGGGACCGGAAGTGCCGCTCGCGATCTGCTGATTGAGGACAATTGCTGCACATCCGGCACGGCCGTCGTGGTTGGGAAGGGCCACGCCGTAGACGTTGGCCTCGTGCACTTCGGGATGGGAGCCTAGGACCTCGGCAACTTCGTTGGTAGACACGTTCTCGCTCTTCCACCGGAACGTGTCGCCCAGACGGTCTGAAAAGAACCACCGTCCATCTGCATCCCATCGTACCATGTCTCCGGTGCGGAAGTACGCGTCGCCCTTCTTCAGCACATCCCGCACAATCTTTCCTTCGGTGGCCTTGGAATTTTTGAAATAACCTTGAAAACTGGCGGCGGGGTCTGTCGCATCAAGAGCATATAGCAACTCGCCCGGGTCGCCTCGAGGGACCTTCTTGCAAAGGCCAGTCTTGGGGTCGCGCCACGGCTCCTGAGTCTCGAAATCGACGTCCACAATAGCAGTTCCACGGCCGAAAATGATGTTTCCAATGGCTCCATTGCGGCCGATGGCACCAGCAGAGAAGTCATTTGTCGAGAGATTCCATTGGCCCGATGTGCCCTCTGTGGCAGCATAGAACTCAGCGATCGTGGGGATGTTAAACCGATCCTTGAAACCATTCCAGATATCTGGACGCAAGCCATTTCCAAACGCCAAGCGGATGTTGTGCTTCTTGTCAAGGTCTTCACCGGTAACCGGGTCGATCTCAGGCGCCACGCCCAGAATATAACGCAGCGTCTCGCCCACATATTGGACGATGGTGGCATCGGTCTCACGAGCCTCCCTCATAAAATTGCGTGCGGAGAATCGCCGGCCAATAATCACAGTTGCTCCATTCATTAAGCACATCAAAAACCCAAGCACGGCAGCGGAAGAATGATAGAGAGGCATACACTAATTCAGAAAAACGTTAGCAAGCAGGCACTCCCGGTACCAGAATTTGGAGATATCTCACCGTGAAGAGTCGGTCTGACGGCGTAACATGCATCCAATTGCCAGTGAATAGGGTGCCAGACCAACACTTCCTCCAGCTGACAATGGCAGGCTTGGGGAGACCCGTCGTGCCGCTAGTATAGATCAACAAGGCCATGTCGCGCGAGCTCACGCCACTGCGCACTTTGTCATCCTCACGGACAGGTTCCAGCTCCAAGACCTGGGCCTCGACCTCGGGGTTTATGAACACTACCTCCACCGGGCCCTTCCCATCACGGAAGTCCGGAGAAGCAAAGGTCTTGAGCTGCTCCGGCGGAAAGCAGTTGCGGACTTCCTCATCAACCAAAAGCAGATTCGCGGTGGAGGTCCGGACCGAGTGGGTGAGGGGTTTGCCACTCAAGTTATAGTTGATGAACGCAGGAACTGCCCCGATACTCCAGATGCCAAGCACGAGAAATACAAAGGTTGACGAGTTCATAAGATCAATCGCCACAATGTCCTTGCGCTGGACGCTGTGCGCCTTCTTGAGCCAGGACCCGTAGCGCAGCGCCATTAGGTAAGTCTCATGATATGTGTAGGACCGGCCATTGTACACAAGAAATGTGCTGTCCCTGGTTGTCGATGCCAGCGCATAGTTCTCAAGGACGTAGAAGAAGCTCATCCGGTCCCCACGTTCCGCAAAACGGGCCTTGATGCTCATCTTTAACAGCGACTTGATCATATTTATATCGTAGAATAAGGACCACCTTGCGTTCAGATAAGCCAGGGTTGTCGCTGCGGCGGGGAGCGCGAGTCCCAAGGGAATGTCTGCGAATCATGGGACAGCAATTAGCATATGATCCAGCCATCTCGGACGCTACAACCTACCAGGTAAAGATGGCAGCGACATTGTGGATAATTGACGTAGCTCTGGAATTATCAGGGCGGTGTAATGGGTCCACGGATTGCAAGCGCGAAGATGGAAGTGCAGTGGACAAGTGGGTGGGGAGATCGAGATGCTGGTGAACTGGCAGCATACAAGACTAGGGGACAAAAATCAACAGAAATGGGCCACAGGGCCGCGGTAGAAATAGCAAGGAGAGAGGAGAGAAGGCGGGCCAAGTTGCCTCGGCACGTCTGAGCCGATCGGCGGCACGGGGATGGCCTTGTGCTTTGCAATTTATGAATTGACGTCGAGTCATGTATTCCATCCTCCTTCTCGGTTGTTGCTGTTGTTTTTAATTTCTTCTTTTCTTTTATTCTTCATTTCATTCCTTTCGCTCTTCTAGAGCCTTTGAAATCTTGCAGATGGACCATTTTTGCGCCACCTTCACATGGCTCGGCTGTTTCTAAGGGGATCAGCGATGACATACCCTGGAATCGATTTCCCCAGGAAGTTAGGTCCGCGAGCTGGAGAGACGGCGATCACGACAGTAGTGTGCACGCCGCAGGGCTAGGGACCCCCAGTTTTCCCCGGACAAGCATTGTGCGAGTGGGGACGAAGGATCCGCACGTCCAACACTTGAAGATAAACCAACATTTTGAGCCCATTCGAATGACAGACTGGCCTTGCTGTTTCACAGCTGCTCGAAGCCCCAGTCAGCCCTGTAAGGTGGCACGTCAAGGACATCGCCAGTGTTTACTACGCTCTAAGTATGTGCTGACGGCCCTAGTGCGAATGATGTAGAAAAAGATGCCAGGTTAGCACAGAGTTGAACTATATCAAAATGATCGAAACTGACTGTGACACTAGGTCAAGCAGAAATTGATCGTATAGAGACTCCTAAGCGACCATCCAGCTCTACTTTTCCCCTCTTCCTCTGGAATTTGAATAAGTTTCCAGTTTTAAGAAAAAAATGCTTCGAATCCTACGCAGGATATAGTTAAAGCATGGATGATCACTTCAGCCGCGCCTCAACAACACCCACCGGGGTCCCCCGAGCCCTCCAAACCTTGACCAAAGGCAATCATCCGGATTGTTACCATGATGGCCTTCCTCCACAGCAACGATGTCACATGGTACAAGAAGACCATTGCAACGTGATGGTAAGTCAATGCCTTGATCATATATAAGAGATAAAATCAAGCAATTTCTAATAGTGCTACCTCAGTCTGGTGGAAATCAACGTCGGCATCATCTGCGCTTGTCTGCCTACTATGCGGCCACTCCTCACCCGTTCCTTCCCACAAGTCTTCGGAACTACCGGGGCCAGGGACACCGCAGACACCGGGAGCTACGCAATGAATGCATCGCACAGCAGTGCCATGAAAAGAGCCTTCAACAAGGTCCAAAATAATGAGTGGACCACTATGGATGGGATTCAAAAATCTGCCGTGCGAGATGAAAATGACTCGGAGAGTGTAAGGGCTATCGTCAAAAATGATGTCCGAGAAGAGCCTACTAGTGTGAAGGCAACTGATTATAGCGTGACGAATGAGCCGCGACATTGGATGTATGGTTATATGCCTGCTGTTTCTACCTTGTTGGGTCTCAGTATGGGTTTGCTTTGAGACTAGAGAGCATAATTTAGACATCAAAAATATAGACAGAATATGATGAACAATATATTAACCGCAAAGATTAATGTGGAAAGATAATTGAAATTGAACTATGTGCCAGAGGAGTGGTTGTGGATGTAGAGTTGTTGAGATCCAACCCTAATAACTAACAACTAATTTGGGAATCTTTCAGACCAGAATTTGAACCTCTTCTAGTCGCTTGGTTACTTTTTTTTACACGTTATGAACTACTGAAACATCGCAGCTGAACTTGGGGTATATTTTATTTAGGCTGTTTCAGCTGCTCACGGTCCTTAGAGCTACTTGACTAAATAACGAAAGACGCTGGAATAGAAGGCGACATGATATATCGAAGTTCTCTCTTTCTATACTCTTATACCTGGTCAATTTGCTCTCATTAATCTCATCGAGCCAAGTAGATTCTTGTAATGCTTGTAGAACCTCGGTGTTTTCTCTGCCCACGCGGTGTGCGGCCCAGCCTTCTCCGCCCGCGTCATCGTCTGGGGCCATCTTACTCTCTCAACCTCACCCTCTCTCTCCATTGTCGACATTGTCATCCTTGGTTTTCACGTATACTCGGTCGCCACGACCCCTTTTATTTCGTCATTTTCCATTCATAGATGTTCGAGTCTCATCTTAGCCTTTAATCAATCCGGCGACTCGCCTCCGCATTCCTTCGGTCCCCGTGCACAGGGCGCTTCTGTCTCTGCTCAATATGCGGCCTACATCCGCGCTGCCTCTGTCACTGGCCGGGATTTGCTTCTCGGCCTTGGTATCGGCGACGGCATGGTCCGACTACGACGTGAACCTCACTCCTCGATCCTTTTCCGCCTTTGATAACCGGCCGCCCGGGTGTCCACCTTGTTTCAACTGCCAACTTGATTCCTACAACTGCACCCATTTCGCACCTTGCAATACTTTCAATGGAAAATGTGCCTGTCCAGCGGGTTTCGGTGGTGATGACTGCTCGGAACCCGTGTGCGGCTCCCTGGCCGACGGCGACAACCGACCGGTGCGAACCAGCCCGTCGTGCAAGTGCAAGGATGGATGGGAGGGCATCAACTGCAACGTTTGTCGCACAGATGATGCCTGTAGTGCCATGATGCCCGAGGGCCAAGGGGGCGTATGTTATAAACAGGGTGTCACCGTCAAAGAGAATTTCCAGATGTGCGATGTCACCAACCGGAAGATCCTCGATCAGCTGGATGATCGCAAGCCGCAGGTCACCTTCTCCTGTGCAGCCGAGGACAATACATGCAACTTCCAGTTCTGGGTGGACCAGAAAGAATCGTTCTACTGTGGCTTGGACACCTGCGAATGGAACATCGAGACCGACCACGACTCGAATTCGACACACTATAAATGCGATAACATGCAGTGCAAGTGTATCCCGGGCCACTTCCTCTGTGGCGAGAATGGATCTATTGATCTCGGAGCTTTTCTAAGCCAAGTCATCAAAGGACCGGCCACGTTTTCGACCAAGTCGACCAAAGACGGCACCAAAAGCGTGTTCTCAGAGCCCGAGATGAACAAGCTCATCAGTGGGGTCTTTGGAGACCCAAGCATTTTCCTGTCGTGCAACTCTGGGGAATGTATCTACAAGACCGATGTTCCAGGGTATGAGCGCCCCGTGAAGAAAATCAATACGCCGCTGATCGCGGGCGTGATCGCTGGGTGTGCGCTGTTTGTGGTGGCTGTCATTTTGACTGTTTGGTATCTGTCCCGTCGAGCTGCGCACCGCGGCTATCTTCGTCTTTCCGTCTCGGATGAATCAGACGACGAAGCCGCCAAGCTTCTGGCGGGGCACCGGCGTGCTGCTTTATACTGGGACAATGTGTCGTACTACTTGAACGGGAAAGAAATTCTGTCCGACATTCAAGGCTCCTCTGCGCCGGGGCAGATTACAGCTATCATGGGAGCATCAGGCGCAGGAAAAACAACCTTCCTGGATATTCTCGCACGAAAGAACAAACGGGGCGTAGTCCATGGTGATTTCTATGTCAACGGCGAGAAGGTCAGCGACCATGATTTCAAGAGTATGACTGGCTTTGTCGACCAAGAAGACACCATGCTGCCTACCCTGACGGTCCATGAAACTATTTTAACGAGTGCCCTGCTGAGACTGCCACGGGACATGAGCCGAGCTTCCAAGGTACAGAGGGTGTTCGAAGTTGAAAAGCAACTCGGGATTTACCATATCAAGGACCAGTTGATTGGCTCGGAGGAAGGTCGAGGTCGCGGCATCTCGGGTGGAGAGAAGCGTCGCGTTGGGATTGCCTGTGAGCTGGTTACCAGTCCCAGCATCCTCTTCTTGGACGAACCCACCAGCGGACTGGTATGTTCAGACGCTCTGTTGAGGCTGCTGTAGGCTAATAAGAAATGTTTCAGGATGCTTTCAATGCGTTCAATGTGGTTGAATGCCTGGTCACCTTGGCCAAGACCTACAACCGCACAGTTATCTTCACTATCCACCAACCCCGTTCGAACATCGTGGCCCTCTTTGATCGACTCATTCTTCTCGCCGGAGGACGGACCGTGTATTCTGGACCTTTCTCGACGTGCCAGCGATACTTTGACCGGATAGGATACTCATGTCCCCCGGGTTTCAACATCGCAGACTACTTGGTCGACCTCACGATGCATGCCAGTGTCGCGCGCACATATACTGACGAAGTAGAGTCACCCGTTGATAGTCGCGCTGATCCGCCCAAGACTGCTTCTAGCAGCCTGAGAGCGGTCAAGTCGGTTGCCAGTGCCTCGAATGTGAGCACCGAAGATACTTCTAGCGGCGCGGCCGACACGACGGGGAGGCCCAGGAATAAGCGACGTGTGTCCCTGAAACAGCAGCAAGACCGCCAGCTCTACTCGCGGCGAAAGGAGCCAGAGCCTCCTGCCACTCCCAAGACGGATGAAGAGGATGCCACGCTGGATGTGGCCGAAAACACTCAGCAGTGGCTTCGTCTTTCTCGTCAACCGGGCAATGTGCCTCCGCAAATCCTCGACGATCCGGATCAGTTACCACCCCCGGCCTCGGGCCAAACTGACCTTGATATCCTGGTTGCCAGCTACGCGGATTCTGATGTCTGTCGCTCGGTGCATGATGAGATTGTGACGGCCGTTCAAACTGCCCAGGCTGCCAATGGCTCGTCGAACTCGCATCTGGTGTCAGGGACTGCGGCACCACCCAAGAGCTATGCTCGAGTCGGCTTGGTGCGGCAGTTCCTCATTCTGTCCCAGCGAACGTGGCGCAACCTCTACCGGAACCCGATGCTGATGCTCACCCATTACGCAATTTCCATCCTTCTCGCCGTTCTCTCCGGGTACCTCTTCTACGGTCTGACCGACGACATCAAGGGATTCCAGAACCGACTTGGTCTCTTCTTCTTCATCCTGGCTCTGTTTGGGTTTAGTACTCTGACTAGCCTGACGGTATTCTCAACGGAGCGGCTCTTGTTTGTGCGCGAGCGCGCCAATGGCTACTATCACCCCATCACGTACTTTGCCGCCAAGGTTGTGTTTGACGTGGTGCCGCTGAGGCTGATCCCTCCCATCATCATGGGCGTTATTGTCTACCCGATGACGGGTTTGATTCCGGCGTGGCCCGAATTTCTGCGATTCTTGCTCGTTCTGGTTCTCTTCAATCTCGCGGCAGCCAACATCTGTCTCTTTATTGGCATTATTTTCCGGGATGGTGGAGTGGCAAACTTGATTGGTAGTCTTGTGATGCTCTTTAGCTTGCTCTTTGCTGGACTACTGTTGAACCACGATGCGATTCCCAAATCTGCTCTGTGGTTGCAAACGGTCAGTTCCAATACCCCCAACTTTTTTTTCCTATTACAATCTTACTGACAACCCTGCCAGCTGTCCATTTTCCACTATGGTTTCGAAGCCCTCATCGTTAACGAGGTGACCTTCCTCACCCTGATTGACCACAAGTACGGTTTGGATATTGAAGTCCCTGGTGCGTCAATCCTGAGCGCATTTGGTTTCGACAATCTCGCCTTTTGGCGTGACATTGTCGGTCTCGCCGTGATTTCCGGGGCGTTCATTATCATTGCGTACGGCGCGATGCATTTCCTGCTTGTCGAGAAGCGATAAGTCGAATCTGGTTGATTTGATCTTGTTCTGCAGTATATAACTCAGGGTCTTACCTTGCGGGCGTGTTTCCTCATTATTTTTACCTTTTTCTTTTTCATTCTTATCAACGGTAGGCGCTGCATCTTGCTTGCTCTCTATGGGGTTGTTGCTTTGGGTATCCAGAGGTGTCTTGTAGGTACCGAGAGTCAACCTTGAAAGTCAGGCTCCCCAACAGGAGTTGTGTAGATAGACCATGCTCTATGGCAATTTACGTGTTCTGGGACCTGGGGTAATTAGGCGAGTCCCCCCATACCCACCTGTCTACCTCGGATAGACCGAAGTATACCCAGGGGAGGCCTGGGCATGTGCGACGTCATCGTTCGCGGCTCATTTGGAGACTCCCTGTCATTCTGGGCGATTTAGTGTAAAATAGAATTTCAGCTATCTACAGCAAGCGACATTAGTTTGTTAATGTGTATTAGAAGAGTAGTTCAAGTTCAAGCTCATCAACTCTGTTGCCAGCCCCTCCGTTTGCGGGTGCGCTAAGCAGCCACCGCCGACCCGTTCAGGTTTTCGCTAATTCCAACCTCGCAAGCTCCACCGTCTCCTCACCTCTCATCGTGTCGGATTCCCGTTATCTCCAGCTTGAGTCTCGCGCCGTTTACCATTTGTGAGTGAGCCTTGACATTCCCGAATCCCTCTGTGCGATTTCGTCCTCGAACCCCCCCCACAAACCATCTCCAATTCCGTCGCTCCGCCCGACCTCTCTCCCCAACTCGCATCCACACTCGTCGCAAGCCGGTTTGTGCTGACCACCAACGGAAATTTCTAGCACTCCAGTCCTCGTCTCCTGATTCTCCGGTGGATCGTTACAACCAGTGCCCAACATGTCTGGCGAAGCATGGCTCTACCTGTTGTCGGTGTTAATCAATGCCGTCAACCTGTTCCTCCAAGTCTTTTTCACGATTATGTACAGCGATCTTGAGTGGTGAGTGACTCCTCGAGGGAGTACCCAGCTATCCTTCAAACTTCCCCGGGCCTTGGGGACTGTGACTGACGCGTGCTTCCCCTTTTTCTTCGCAGCGACTACATCAACCCCATCGACCTGTGCAACCGCCTCAACGCCTACATCATCCCCGAAGCTGCTGTCCACGCGTTCCTGACTTTCCTCTTCATCATCAACGGGTACTGGCTCGCGATCTTGCTGAACCTGCCCCTCCTGGCGTTCAACGCGAAGAAGTACGTTCGGTCAACACTCTCGAGCTACCCCCAAACTTTTGCAGCTGAGGACTAACCGGGATGATTTCGGCGGGAAACAGGATCTACGAGAACCAGCACCTCCTGGATGCGACCGAGATTTTCCGCAAGCTGAATGTGCACAAGAAGGTCGGTTCACTTTTTTTTTTAAAAGATTTCTTGGTCTTTTTCCCCAGAATTTCAAGAAACAGAGAACTCACTGCGAATTATGTGTTTTAGGAATCGTTCATCAAGCTGGGTTTCCACCTCCTGATGTTCTTCTTCTACCTTTACAGTATGATCGTCGCCCTGATCCGCGACGAGGGCCATTAATTGCGTGCTAAGACCAGCTATGCGGTGCACCATGGCTATCCCGACTATTTCAGGGCCTTTTTTTTGTCGGAGTATTTGCTCAGAGGTCAATGAATCGCTTTTTGGCACCGCTGCCTTCGGTCCTTGGACTCGACTCGTCGAACACGACCATCCCTGATAGCCGCGATGCCATCCGACGGGGTATATCTTTGCAGTTCTGGTTGTCATGATTCGGTATAAACAACGAATCCATGATGTGGGCTTGTGGGATAGACTGCCAGCGTGAGGTGCAGCTATGAAGAGTAATAGAGAGGTGGAACCTTGTGGATTGTCTTGATCCGAAGATATGTGTATTGCTGTTGGCCCCTTTGAGGGAGCATTGAAATGGCTCAAGGAACCGTTTCTGTCATGATTTGCTTTTTTGCTTGCTTTTTCTTTCTTTTTTTTTTTTTTTTCCAATTCTGTGTTCATCTTGTCGTGTCTTTCGGCCTGTGAGTTGTATATACCTCCCACGCAGTTTGACAATGAAGAGCGTACGATACCCAGCTTGTCCGATCCCTTCTGGACAGCGAGTGCTGCTACAATATTTTTTATATTAAAGTGAGAATTAAGAAACTCCTTGGCGTACGGCTCTATGGGGAGCTGCGAAAGTGGAGCTGTGTAGCCAAGATATGCTCCTTCATTTCGCGTGTCTCTCGACACCCGTAAAATTCGCATCTCCGATCCTCCGCCAACCACCTTCCCACCCCGATCCCACTGTTGCGATACCGTGGGTGGAAACCTATCCTTGAGTTTTACTTTTTGGTAATCCCACAATGGCCTCACTATTAGGCGCAGGCTATGACTCGAGCGACGATGACGCCACTGCGCCCAACGCTCCAGCGACGACCGCAACCAAAGTCGTCGCGGCACCGGAAGTGAATACAGAGGTTTGGTCCCCACCTAGTCTTTCTGGTCTTTTCGATTCTATCGGACTTTGCATTGCTTCCCAAGGCGAATAGATAAGACTAACGAGCCGACAGGACCAAGCGCACATGCAAATGACCCTCGCCAACACCTCGTCGCAAGCCCTCACTTACAACGCCACGTACGATGATTTAATGCGGCCAGCGCAGGGGCCCATGAACCCTTTCAAACCCACAGGCCCAGGCAATGGCATCAAGCGCAAAAATGTTCCGACAGGGTTCGCCGAAGAAGCAGCCATCAGCGAGTCGACGTTCGCCGCGCAACATCGCACGTTCCAGAGTCTAGGCTACACGCGCAACCCAACATTGCCGGATCAATATGTCGGGAATATGGATAATGTGGCGCAGTACGGAGGGCGGGATGTTGTGCAGATGAAACCCACCAAAGAAGCATCGGCGGCATTGCGAGCTAAGCGGCAAAAGAAGGGCGACTCCAGCATTGTCGAGGGCGAGGGTGCATATCTGGGGCCCTGGGCGAGATACCAAAATCAGGAGCAATATGACGAGATTGAGGTTCCTGAGGGGGAAGAGCGCGAGCTTGCCAGCGATGAAGAATATGTCGAGGAGGACGAGCAGACTCTGGCCCCCGCGGCGCCCATGCCGGCCATGAGCAAGGAGGCCACCGAGTACCAGGGAGACACGTCCAGGGTGGAAACGACTGAGTTTCACGGCTCCGAGCAGTTCGACTACTTGGGCCGTACGTACATGCATGTGCCGCAAGACCTGGATGTCGACCTGCGCAAGGAAGTGGGCAGCGTCAAGAACTACGTACCGAAGAAGCTGGTACATACGTGGAAGTCGCACACCAAGCCCATTACTTCGCTGCGCTTTATTCCCAACTCGGGCCACCTGTTACTCTCCTCGGCTGCGGATGGAAAGGCCAAGCTCTGGGATGTATATCACTCCCGGGAACTACTGCGAACATTCTCGGGCCACTCCAAGGCGATTTCCGACACGGATTTCCACCCTACCGGAAAGACATTCCTCACAGGATCCTACGACCGCCAAATCAAGCTCTGGGATACTGAGTATGGGAAATGCCTGGGCCGGTTCTCGACAGGCAAGACTCCACATGTCATCCGCTTCAATCCGGGCGCCGACCACTCGCACGAGTTCCTGGCCGGTATGTCCGACAAGAAGATTGTGCAGTTCGACACCCGGTCCGGAGAGCTGGTCCAGGAATACGACCACCACTTGGCAGCTATTAACACTATCACCTTTGTCGACGACAACCGCCGTTTCATTTCCACCTCAGACGACAAGTCGCTACGCGCCTGGGAATACGGCATCCCCGTACCCATCAAATTCATTGCCGAGCCCTATATGTTTGCGCTCACACGCGCCGCCCCGCATCCCAACGGTAAGTACGTCGCCTTCCAGTCCGGCGACAACCAAATCGTCGTCTACGGCGCCACCGACAAGTTCCGGCAGAACCGCAAAAAGAGCTTCCGCGGCCACAACAATGCCGGCTATGGGATCGATCTCAAGATCTCGCCCGACGGCCAGTTCATCTCCTCTGGTGACAGCGGCGGCTTTGTCTGCTTCTGGGACTGGAAGACCGGCAAGATGTATCATAAATTCCAAGCTGGCGGGAAAGAGGGCGGTGCTATTACATGTCTGGACTGGCATCCGCAGGAAACTAGCAAGTTTGTCACTGGTGGTTTGGAGGGCGTTATTAAGTATTGGGATTAATCATCCCTTGTCTGTGGTCTTTCCTGGCGTCTTCTCTTTCTTTTTATTTTCATGATTATCATCATCCCTGTCTTCTAACAGAGTTGAAGCGGGCTGGGCTAGAAAATCGGTTGTTTTGGGGGTCTTGCTTGCGTCTTGACTTTTTTGGTGTCCTATATCATCCCATTTCTATGGTTCTTCCTGTCTCCAAAATGTATCCAATTGTAGTCTATGTTCTCAAGCCATGCGAGATATGCACACGCCCCAGAGATCTCTCTAGCAGTCCCAAATCTTTTTTTCATAAACAAAATCACCTATTTACTCATAAGCTAGGCTGCGGTAGATCCTAAACCACACAGATGCCAAATGGCGGAGCGAGTATCGGATCAACCACACGGGCGAGAAACAGCGAGGATGCTTCCACATCAACACGGCAGTAGCGCCAAAACCCGCAGCCAGCGCAGCACTCAAACCCAAGCCCAGCGCCTGGCTCTGGCTCTGCACAGCGCGGACAACGTCCGAGTAGCGCTGGTTGCTGAAGCTGATGCGCGCATACTGGGTCTTCCAGCCGAGGAAGGGCAGGTGGCGGTCGACAGACTCCTCGACGGACTTGCGCAGCTTGTAGAGCGGCGACTTGACGCCCCAGCGCATCTCGAGGTAATTTTGTTTCGAGAGGTCGTTGATGGCGTGCGTGTCGGCGCAGCGCTGGTCCGTGTATGCTTGGAAGGCGGCCTGGCACTTCAGGTTGCGGGTGTAGATGCTGGCGGCGCGGGAGGAGGAGTCGTAGACACCGTGCTTGTCAAGCTGCTCGAAGAGAACGCGGACGTCTTCGAGGCCTGCGTTCAGGCCCTGGCCGTAGAATGGGAGCACGGCGTGCGCGGCGTCGCCGAGAACCACGACGCTGGAGCTGAAGTGGTGCGGCTTGCACTTGATGCTGATTAGCGGCAGGTGCGGGTTCACGGCGAATTGCTCGCTCAGTGCTTCCGGGTCGATCAGCTCGGGACACACGCCTGGGAAGCGCAGGTCGAAGAACGCGTGCAGTTCCTGTGGGGAGTTCTCCAGCGATGTGTAGGCTGCGGACGGCGCGAATAACGTGCAGGTAAATGACTTGTCTGCGGACGGGATTGCAATAAACATGAACTCGCGCCCGGGCCAGATATGGAGATGGTTTGGTGAGATCCGAAATCCTCCATCGCTTGACGGAGGGATGCGGAACTCGCACCACAGCGTGTCGATGTACTCTTGCTGGTAGTCGACGCGGGCGAACTTCATCATGTGAAATCGCGAGGCCGAATGTGCCCCATCCGCGCCGATGAGGTAGTCGAACGACACCTCGATTTCCGGGACTCGACCAGCCACACCCTGGGAGTTGGCTTGGGGCGTTTCGCCAGGGATTCGACGTTCAAACCAGGCCTTGTTGGTGCGGAAATCGGCGCCTGTCAGCTTGTGGTTGAAAAACAGCTTGACATTGGGGGTTTTCTCCAGCTCGTCGAGGAGTGCATTGTTCAACGTGCCTCGGTCAACAGCATTGATGGCCTTGGAAGAAGACAATTAGTATCTGGACTTGAATGCATGCAGCTGTCATGCAGGTGCATACCCGACCATGAACGTCATAGGCCTGTGCGGCTTCCCACAGCTGCCCCCGGTCTCGGCCGTGGATCATCCGCCCGTACATGGGGATCGTATCGCGGAGCACATTGTCGATTAGGTCGGGCCGATCTGAATGTTTCATAGACGTAATGCCGCGCTCCGAGAGGGCCAAGTTGATCGACTTGGTGAAATTCAACGGCACAGTGGCCGGGTCGCGGAGATCTACCGATGCGCGAAAATCATTGGCAAGTGTTCGGGAGTTTTCGCAACTCCTTCAAGGAAATAATTCAAGGCTCCCGTAAAAAGAAGAGAAATGAAATGAAAAGGATCAGGGTTCAACCCAGGGAACATGCAAGATAATCGCAGAAGCCATTGATCGGGGATGTAGGGACCTTGCGGGAGTCGGCGTCGCATAAGATTTACTCACTGCCCCCGGTCGAGGACATTGCGCAATGGCAATTGTCCCCCTGTTCTTTCTTCAATGCTGGTCATGGGGAATCGCGGGACACAGAGCAAAACGCAGTCACACAAGGCGAAATTGCAACATACCTCCACGCAGCTCGTATACTTCGACGTCGTCGCCTCGTGATGCCGCATACAGCGCAGCCAGTGATCCCACTGGCCCGGCACCCACCACAACCACCTTCTGCCTGGGTGGAATGGCTGCCATGATGCTCTGGGAGAGTTGCCGACCAGCAAGAGAGCGTTGAGTCGACGCCGCAGGAATAAACTCACCATCACGTGCGATATCGGCTTCCAAAACAGGAAATCTCTCCAAATGGATCGATGACTAATGCCTTTTTCGTTTTCATTTTTGCCTTGGTGCCTCAATTTCGGGGTATCCTTAACGCCTCGGTCTAAGCCACATTAGGCTTAGCCTTGTTCTCAGGGCCGCGGGGGAATTTCTGATTTCTTTCCTTTCGAGGACATCCATCACTCGATCGCTTTTGGTCTGTAGTATCACAATGGCGGCCGCCGCTACTCGAAAATGCATTGGAGTCGACTGTGCCAATGATGCAGGCACCCTCCAATGCCCAACCTGTCTCAAGATGGGCACGGACAGCTTCTTCTGTTCGCAAGACTGTTTCAAGCGGAGCTGGGTATGTGCTTTTCTATGATCTTCAAGGGTCTCATGTGTCGTGCCCTTCTACCGCCTGAGCCCCAGGTTAATTAAATTTGGCGCAGAGCGAGCACAAGGCGATTCATAAAAAGAGTAATCTCCTCACCAATCTCTTCCCACCGAAGGTAGTTTCTGAACCAGATCCAGCCACCGGCCACTTCAACCCATTTCCGTCCTTTCAGTTCACCGGCTCTCTGAGACCCCTCTATCCGCTTTCGCCCCGGCGCACGATTCCCAAGTCCATCCCCCACCCGGACTATTCCCGCGATGGCATTCCGCACTCCGAGCAGAAGTTCGTGGGCCGGCACAACATTACGATTTTGAACAAGGAGGAACAAGAAGGCATGAGGAAGGTCTGCCGTCTGGCTCGTGAAGTTTTGGATATTGCTGCCCGAGAGGCGAAGCCTGGTGTCACGACCGACTACATCGACGAGGTGGTCCACAAGGCTTGCATCGAGCGTGAGGTATGAGAGATCGCATTGCCGATAAGTAAGAATCTTTGCGCTGACCCATGACTACTTTAGTCGTATCCTTCACCACTGAACTATGTGCACTTCCCGAAATCCGTCTGTACCTCCGTCAACGAGACCATCTGCCACGGCATCCCGGACCAGCGACCACTCGAGGATGGAGACATCATCAACATCGACGTCACTTTGTACCACAAGGGCTTCCACGGCGATCTTAACGAAACCTACTATGTTGGCGACAAGGCTCGAGCGAACGCGGACGCCGTGCGGGTCGTGGAGACTTCGCGCGAATGTTTGGACAAGTCTATTGAACTGGTGAAACCCGGCATGCTCTTCCGGGATCCAGGAAACGTGATCGAGAAACACGCCAAGGGGCGCAACTGCAGTGTCGTCAAGACCTACTGCGGCCACGGCATCAATCAGCTCTTCCACTGTGCACCCAACGTGCCGCACTACGGCAAGAACAAGGCTGTCGGTACCGCGAAGCCGGGCATGTGCTTTACCATTGAACCAATGATCAACATCGGAACTCACCGGGATCGCACATGGCCGGACGACTGGACCAGCACAACGGCAGATGGGTCACTGTCAGCCCAATTTGAGCACACATTGCTGGTGACTGAGGACGGTGTGGAGGTTCTGACGGCTCGACTGTCGGATTCTCCAGGTGGGCCAGTGCCAATGCCTTCGGAGCAGACAGCAAATGGGAATTAAACAATTTGGAAGGATTCGCATCTATGTTCAGATACCTCCTTTAGAGCCATTTTACGATCATTGGATGTCTGTACGCCATATTAACTTAGCTTTGCTGATATTCAATAGACCATAAGACCGATAATCTTATAATATCAAAAAGTAATGAAGCCCTTGCAATTACCCTACACATGGTCCATAAAAACAAAATACGAAAACCCCCAGGACCCATAAAGAAGGGGGTTATAAGAAAAAAAAATTTATGAATTGTATGAGGTTGAGCAAAAAAAGGATACTCTATATTAAATGAGAAGACATGAGAAATATGTTGAAAAATACAATAGAAATACACAAGGTAGAAATGACTGCAATGTATACTTGTGGTGTGCGCGGAAGCAATGTTTCTCCGAAAATTTCCATCTCGCGACTCCGCGACTCGACCACGGCCCATGCTCACTCCATTTCGAATGACACTTGGAACTGCCATCGAGCTCGGTGATCACTTCTGATCCTTCTTGCAGCTCGCGTGGATTACGAATCACCTTCTTCGCGAATCCCCATTGACCTTCGACCCCTGTCAACACTTTTTTCCCTCTCCGAACCCCCGGCCCCGGTATCAGTCACCATGTCGCTCGTCAATCTCGCCGCCGTCTGTTCCCATCTGAACAATGCTACCAGTGTACGCCTGGGACTCACCTCTATCCCCAATAGCAAAATGCACCTGAAACTCTGCCTGGCCCTCCAGAACTCCGGCTACATTTCCTCCGTGGTGCGCGGTGGCCCTACTCCTCCTCCCGCGCATCCTTTGCTCGGATATCCGGCCGTCAACAACAAGGTTGACACCATTGAACCGATTACGCGCCAGAATATCGCATCAAGACGCATCTGGCTGGGCCTGAAATACTGGCAGAACGAGTCGGTCCTCGGTAAGATGAGCATGGTCAGCAAGCCGACCCGACGGATCACCATGACTGTCTCACAACTGCGACGTATTGTGCGCGGAGAGGATGTCGAATATGTGGGTGGCATTCGCTCACCGGGCGAGAGTCTGTATTTGTCGACGGACCGGGGAATCATGGAGGCACGCGAGTGTATCGAGAAAATGCTCGGCGGTTTGGTTTTGTGCCGAGTGCTATAAACCGGGAGGATTCTCGTCGCGAGCATGTACAATGAGCTCTGGTTTTGTGGTTTTATTTCTGTTCTTTGCATTTGCTCTGGAGTTGGTTGGTCGCCGAAGCGTCTCCTTCGAGATTCATTGCTTTTGCGACATTGATACCTAGGTAATTTCCTTGGTCAAGGATCTGTATATTATTTGTCTGGGTCTCGCCAGATCTGAGACAGTGTATAGGTTTATGACTTGAAAGACATCCATCTTCACTTTTCTGTGATATGAGTGGCCTTGTAAGACCGAAGAGGTGCCAAATTTATCCTAAATGGTTAATGCCATGTCTTTTTGTTTTAATCTATAACCACCAGCACCCAAGGCCTTTCAACTGAAGTCAATGGTGGAGTTGGCATGCCCCAGGACATGTCACATTGATCCTCGATGCGGCTTCCCTCCTGCCAACCCCAGCACATTCCTCTCTCCCGACTTGTCTTCCCACATCATCGCAATGACCCAAGACCTATTAACTTCTCAAAAAGTTCTTGTGTCTGACGGCACGGGATTTTTAGGTTCGGCCACGATGCGGGCCATAGTAGAGAAGCATCCTAGTGCACCATCACCGTCATCGACCAGTGTCCTCCCCGGGCCCATCATGGCTTGCCAGAGAATATCAAATGTATCCAAGTCGACATCACCGACTCGACGAAACTCAACGCAGTGTTTCAGACAATAAAACCAAATGTCGTTATCTACACTGCGGGAATCGTTCCAGGTTTGGCGGGCCGTTTCAGCCGGAGACTGGAGCGGGAGACGTGGAAGACCAACGTCGAGGGAACCCAAAATATGCTGGAGGCGGCCAGACAGGCAGGCGTTAAGGCCTTCGTCTATACTAGCACCTGCTGCGTCGTGACCGACGACATGAGGATGTCGCACCTCAACATCAATAAGCAATGGCCAACTTCCAGGGTCTCGCTCAACTACGGCGAGTCGAAGGTTGTATCCCTGCCTGTTGCTGATGATCAACAGTATGTCTAATGAATATAAACAAGAAGAGTACTAATTATAAAGGAATTCACTTGCTAGGCCGCTGCAGAAGCCCTCGTCCTCGGGGCATCCAGCAGTATCATGGCCACCTGTGCCCTCCGGCCCTCCGTGCTCTGTGGACCAGGTGACTATCAGCTGGTACCCGCCATCCATGCTTGCATTGCCAAATATGAGACCCCGTTTATCATCGGAGATGGCTTCAACTTGTGGGATATCACTCATGTGAGCAACGTCGCCGATGCTCACGTTCTCGCTGTCGAGAATTTACTATCCTCTCGCACCGCTGCCGGAGAAGCCTTCTTCATTCAGAACAATGAGCTTATTGCCTTACGAGACTTTTGCCTCCGATATGGGCTCATTTTGGACATATCCCGCCCTTCGAATTGCAGATCCCGGAATCACTGGCCTATCTGGCCGGGTTGGTGTGTGAGGGTGTGAGCTGGGTGACCGAAACCACGGCGACCTTGGGCCGTGGAAGCGTTCAAGATGCATGTGCTATTCGCTATGCTAGCGGAGAAAAAGTCAGGGTGATATTGGGATACGAAGCTCGCATTGGTAAGAGGCCATTCGGCTAAGCTGCCAGGTAAGCGAACATACACTGTCGGTGTGTTCCAGCTATCGAAGAGACTGCTCAGCATAAACACAGGATCTTTCTCGTCGTCTTGAGTTTGATTTACCCACCCGAAAGCACTAAAGCCGAAAACATCTCTTCATGGGATCCACATACACCTCCGGGTCAGTAGTGGTACCGTTACGATATACCTGGCTATTCCGATTTCCGTCGATCTCGGAGTCGATCCTTGATCCAATTATCCATTTATTGTATATTGACCTTTTCCGTGCTGTAATCTCTGGGGCAAACTTCATGTGGGATATTGGGCTGGCGATTGGGCTGCAAAGCTCTCCAGCGGCTTATGCTTCTCAGGCAGCTCCTCACTCGCCAGAAAATGGATCGATCGGATTCTTCATGTCTGGAATTGTACCAGAAGGGTCTTGAAGCAACTCGGACCATACGCAGTTGGCTTTGGGTGTCGATGGAAACGTGTTGCGTACCCAATGCCCACGATCCCCATATCACGGGCTGGCACGGGCTCCGCCTCCTCCGCCTCCACGCATTTCATTGCTCTCTTCCAACACTTCAGGGATGCCGATCCTATTCGATGCAGTTAGGTAGCCATGGCAAGGGAGCCGCCCCCAGTCTATGTGTCTTGCATACCCAACTTTTTGGGTTGGTGCCCAAGCCCTCAACCGGGTCTTGATTGTCGCACCTGGGTAATGTGGCACCGCTCACCCTTTGGACTTGTCCCTCATTCGTGAAGACAAGAACCCCTAGAATTCGCAGCCATAGGCTGTCCTGCGAAGTCACAGAGCCTCCCAGCACACATCAGCGAGTACATCAACCTTGCATACTCGATTGATCGGAATCCCCAGGTCATGTATGCCCGCCAACCATACGCCATTGGCCCCCATGGGCATGGACCATGCCCCGAGGGCAGAGACTTGATTTGCAAGGATAGTATCTCCACCATTGCCACTGGCGTGAAATTCCTAGCGCGGCTCTCAACCCACTCCCGGTGGAATCGCAATAACCTTGACGGCTCCGTACCCCCTTGTCAGGCACACTTACCAAATTGCTTGGCCGAGGCCAGATAGCATTGCATGGGACTATATTATCTGGCCCATAGCCGCCTGGTGTTGCTCAATGTGTGCCTATTCGCTAAGCAGTTCTTTTGGGTCTTCTCTCGCCACTGCTCGCACTAGACTTCTTTGTTTTCGGCCGCATTCTCAATATTTATCCTCTTACCTTGATGATCCCTGTCTTTTCACCTTGGTGATAGTCGTACCAGCAAGCCTCCCTCCATTCTCAGCGACTCCATCAAGCCTGAGGTCTCGCAAGTGTCCAATCAACAAGAAATTGGACTCCTGGGCTCGCCATAGGTTAGCACAGATATATACCGCTGCTCCCTCTCCTGCCACTTCCTACAGCAAATTCCTTGAGATAATCCGAGCCTCATACTCCACAGCAACACGATGGCTCAACATTCAATATATGGGACTTCGGGTAACACACCCGTGGTCTATCAACAAAGGTACTACTCTGTCATGCCAGGAGACTTTTCTCTATTTCCTCCCGCATTTGGTCATGTGTGGAAATGCTCTGGTTACCCTTGCTAAGCCATAAAAGGGCCCCCTCTATGTTTCATGGATATGGCTTCAGAGACAACCGCCCGGATGTTTCAGGGCCAGTAGAGCTTGACCCTCGCTCGCATTATCATGGACTCCCAACCCCTATGGAAAACCACGGCCATGTCATGAATCAACCCCTAGGACAGTTACCATACCCTCCAGCAGGACATCTATTGCCACCGGCTCCCATGTACCCTGATTGGAACCATCCCATGCCCGTTCCGCGGCGGGATGTTGGACCCATGAAAGCCATTGAGAGCCCAGAGTATGTCATGGAAAGGAACAGCCGCCGTGCTGCCGAGAAGCCCCGCGGAGGCTCCCACTATAATTCCCAGAGACGGAGTTCCAACCGGGATGAATTTGATGGGCCGCATCAATTTCTGGAACCACCTTCCCCACGGACACGCGCAGCCCAGGAGAAAGAGCTGCCCCAGCTCCCTACTAATCTCGACGCCGCAGAGCAAGACAGCATCCTGCACCGGGTCAACGACCGCCTGTCACGATGTGCATATGACTTTGTGGCCAAGTACCAGTTCCGCGTGCCCCTTGAGCAGGACAAGCGGCCCATCAAGGTGCCCTCAGACCGCGAGTGGACCGAATGGGTGTATCTGCTGAAGCGACTGGCGACAACGCGCCGTATCCCCGCCCGCTTCTTGTATAATGGCCAGATCAAGCAGCTCATTACCGTGCTGGAGAATTCCCTGGAGATGCGCCATGCCGCCAAGCACCAGTCCCGCCCCGTCAAGGATGACCGCAACGTGCTCCAGCTCATCTCTGCGGGGACGCAAGTTGCCAAGATTCTTAAGGATGCCAGCGCTATGCTTTTCCTTGACAACCTTTATATCCACACGGAGAAAACCATCCACGAGAGGCAGACTCGCCGAATCCGCGTCCGATTTGCTGATGCCTAATCCCCCAATGCCCAATAGGGAGGTGGCCACTACTGTCCCTGAATATTCTATGCCGTTGATGGATAAGTAGCCTAGGGAAAATCCCGTGGATCATGCTTTTTCCCTTTCTTGATGTTTCCATGTCGCCCGGGGGCCATCCTGTTATCCACTTGAATATCCGCCACGGAAGGAAAGAGCTATGCCCAGCTGGTCTTCCAATGAGTCTCGGATATTGCAAGAGTCATGGGAAAGTTGTTCAACTGCTCATGTCAGGCAATCAGAAGGTGTTACAGGTTTGTCCTTTGGACCTTAATTTGACGTGGTCGAAGTATGGAAAGATTTGGAGATGATGCAAATGCTTGATATTTAATGATTTTGTACTGGGGTGGTTGGTTTGTTTGGTGCTTTCCTTGGGTTTGGTTGTCTCATACATATATTGTTGCTGCCCTGCCTGTGTACGTGTTCGGTCTATGGGAGATGTAAGGCCGAGGACATGTTTGAGTGGGCGGTATTCCGGGTTCTTGTTGTTTTCTAGTATTGTACCTATGTTGAGTGTTTCTTCTTCCTGGGCTGTCGATTTGTTGTCCTACCTAATACATCTTCCCCAGAAGATCCTGGTATATATAACGCGACCTACGGCTATAATTCTTGTGCCTCTCTCTCTATATATAAGATCTAGATAGTGTAATAAATTACAGATTAAAAAAGAAGAGCGTTTTAGAAAAATATCTGAAAGGATCTCCTTCCTCTATAGGCTAGTTGAGTTATATTCGAGCTCTTGGGAAACTAATGACGAGTTGATAGTGGTCTACTACCAATAATAGCACTGGAAAGATCTGAATATAAATTCAACACTTGAGGATGGATCGCATCTATATTTTCTTGGTCATAAAGGGTGTGTGTTGAGAGTACAAAGTAGATAATGAAATAAGAAAAATTGAATAAGAGACCATTAGAAAAATAAAATAATAAACAGATTGATATTCAAAATTGAAATCAGATATCGAGCGAGACTATGTTCCGCCCTCCGGCGCAATTGCGGTTTGCCATGTCCCCGTGATGTCCCAAGCTTCCTCCCAATTCCCGTGACGCAACATCTTAACTCCACACCTTCGACTGGTCAGCCCAGGGCAATGTGTCTTTAAACCCCAGGCTATAGCATTTCTGCTCAACCGATGATGAGCTCCAATTTGTTACCTTGACAACTTCTGAGCAGGTTCCAGCAGTTCGTCCTCCGCCATGTCCGAGCCGCGCTCAGGGCCGGTCTCGCTGGCGCGATACCGTCCCATTCTGTACCTCTTCACGGGGGTCACAGCTGCCTACGCGCTCCTCTACATACACAACAATTTCGTTTCGCCGCAGTCCTCCCAAAGCTCCCTTCGACGACGGGGCGCAGTGCGCCGCACGAGACGAGGCGAGGCCGAAGAGCTTGGACTCACGAACACCCCCTCCTACCGAGCCATCACCCACCTGGAGCAGCTGGAGCGTCAAAATGGAGTATATGGGACATTTCGAATTGAGACGGAAGATGGCCGGCGTGTAGAGAGCGGTCTTCTTCCCTCGCTACTCGCGACCCGCGACCAGTTGATGGAGGAAGTCGGCGTCCCTCCGGCCCATGCGGAGCGCATGCGCGAGATGATGGAGGACACGTTTCTTGAATCTTTCCTCGCGCTCGATTTTCCCGCGTCCCATACTCTTCCAGGAAATAGCCCTGAAACGGCTTACTTGACGGAACAGCTTCAGCGACGAGGCATTTCTCGGGCCGGCATCGAAAGGGCACTTGTTCGTTTCAATGGAGACGAGAACTACGGGGAAGATTTGCGTCGGCGACGTCAGAATGGTGAACGCGTCACTCTCTCCACCTCAACTTTCCCAGAAGTTTCTGCGCCACCGCCAGTTGCCGACGGTGGGGAAACGGTGGTGGATGATCAGAGCGTCTTCTCTTGGCGCGATGGAAATAATGAATCATCGCCCACGCGGGAAGGCCAGAATTTGCTCAACCTACTCTATCATATTGCGGAAGATCAAGCACGGAGAGATGGATACATCCACCGCGGGGTTACGTGCAACAGCTGCGGCGCCATGCCCATCCAGGGTATCCGGTACCGATGTGCGAACTGTATCGATTACGACCTCTGCGAGACATGTGAGGCGATGCAAGTACACATCAAAACCCATCTCTTCTATAAAGTGCGCATCCCAGCCCCGTTCTTAGGAAATCCCCGCCAATCCCAGCCTGTGTGGTACCCCGGGAAACCCTCGATGCTCCCTCGCAGTCTCCCACGGCCCCTGGCGAAGCGTCTAACAAAAGATACCAACTTTGAAAACACGGAACTCGACGCGCTGTGGGACCAATTCCGCTGTCTTGCAAATTATGAATGGTCAGATGACCCGAACAAGCTGTACATGGCTATTGATCGCAAAACTTTTGATCGGTGTTTTGTGCCCAACACATCTATCCGGCCTCCGCCTCCAAGTCTCATCTACGACCGGATGTTCGCCTTCTATGACACCAATGGGGATAACCTGATTGGGTTTGAAGAATTCTTGAAGGGACTGGCCAGCCTAAACAATAAAAGCAATGATGAACGACTGCGGCGTGTCTTCCGTGGTTATGACATTGATGGGGACGGTTTTGTGGAGCGAAAGGACTTCCTCCGTATTTTCAGAGCATACTATGCACTGAGTCGTGAGCTCACCAGGGATATGGTCGCCGGCATGGAAGACGACTTTTTGGAGGGTGGAGCTCGTGATGTGGTGCTCGGTAGCCAGCCCATCAGCTCTGCGTTTCCAGGCAGCATCCCTTCGGGCGAACCTTCACGCACGGGTGAGGGCAAGGGTGTCAATCCCCACGGCGACATGGAGCTTGTTGATCATGAAGGCATCCTACGACAAGACGGTGCTGACACTGGTGACCGACACTCGGTTGTAGGCGACGCAGCTGTCAGAGGCCAATTTGGGCGAGTGCGGCCGATGTTCCCGTCCACGTTACGCCTTGCCCAAACTGATTCTGAGACTCGTCGGTCTGAAACCCTGCAAACCGCTGATGAGGATGAAGATGACGACGATGATGAGGAGGCTAGTGAAGCCAGCGGATCTGACGAATCTAGCTCGTCCGTCGCAGATGGGAACTGGCCAACGGCTGAACACATCCTTGAAGAAGACATTATCGATGCTCTTGGGACCTATATTCCCCTTCAGGAGATCACTGATCCGATTGACCGCGCCCGTATCGCCACCTCCGTGTACCATCGAATGCGTGACGATGACCGGAGACGGGCTGATGAAACTCGTCGGAATGGAATCGACGAGCGCTGGAGACGCAGAGCGTTCTACACAGACGAAGAAGACGGCGCCACTGTCCCGGAGGGCTATCAAAGGGACCCGGCCTTTGATGATCTCAGCGATGAGGAGGCTCTAGAAGAGCCTGCGGCTCTTGAATCACACCCACCTTCACCTCGCTCGCGATCCTCATCTAAAGTGCGATTCCAGGATGATCTCACTGACGACTATGACGTGCGGTCCAATCCATCCACGTCATCCAGAAGCATACCCGTTGGCGAAAGATGGGGTGGCTTCGAGATCCCCGAGGTCGAAAAGGATGTGGGCAAGGAGATCTTGTACCAAGTTACCCAGCAGGGCTTTAATGAGCTCCTCGATATTCTATTCAAACCAAAGGAGGATCTGCTCATGGAAGCTTTCCGAACGCGAGCAGACCGCAAGCTCTGGGCCCGTGAGATCGAACTCGTGGAACAAGCGGGACCCCAGAAATGGCCTGCAAATGAAACCGCGCCAGTTACACCCGCAAGTAATGAGGAAGAGCTGCAAGAAATCACCAAGGAAAGGTCCCTTGATGACCTGCTGCACCGTTCCGGGTATGCAGTGCGAAGCCCAACTCTGGAGCCAGGGAGTACAGGACCTGTTTTAGCTCCCCCGTCGCCCGAAGCCGTGACATCAGACGATGATGTCCGTCCAACGCATCTCGTTGACCCCGAAAATGACGACGAAATTGGACAAAGACGACCCTTCGAAGATTCCGACACTGCTTCGACCATCAGCTCATCTGACCCAGATGACCAAGTTCCTGTTTCCCACAGCGCGTACTCGCAGGCGTCTTCCGACGCCGAGCCTGACACCAGTATATCGTGTGTGGACGAGACCCCCACCTACGACCCTACCTTGCCTCAGCATCGTCCCAACGACGAGACACCCCCTGGCCCCCGCTTATCTTTCCGTGATGCACCCTCTGTGATCGGGGCACCAGCACCAGCGGAGGATCTCACCGGCACTAACCCTGACCTCCCTGCTCAATTGCGTCTCCACCCCAACGGCACTACCTCTCTCCACTCCTCCTCCCCCGAAGCCGAATACACCGCCCCGAAACTTCCTCCCTCTCCCATGCAGCCGCTTCCGCCGCCCTCTATTTCCGCCAGTCCGGCCGAGCCCACTACCCCACGTCGACCTTCATCCCGGACTCTTGACCGATGGGCATACCTGACCCAGGTAGAGCGTGAGGCCAGGGAGCGCGGTGGCAGTGGAGCGAGACTGAGCTTTGAGGAGTTCTCGCGCCGCATGGCAGCTGACCGTGGTCGGCAACTGGCGTTTGTAGCCAGCTGGATTGAAATGGCGAGCTTTTGAGCAGGTCTCTTAAGTAGCGGGGCATTTGTGGATTTCTTATTCATCTGTGTACATTATACCTTTGTTTAAAAAAAGAAATAGTGGGAGATCAAGGATTTTCCTTTATTTTACGTGACTTCCAGGTTAATTAGTTATCGTTTCCTCTTTTCCTTGCCTTACCGTCCTAGGTCCGTAACATCGTAGCCCATCGTGGTTTTCGTGCCTGCGGGGTTCCTAACACCCTTACCCTGAGCCCTCCTTTCTGATTCGGCAACACCTCATCGACAGCAATATGGATTTCGCATAACCAGATCGTCACACCGCCCCCGGAATATCCTATAGTACTCTCCTTATATAATCGACAGGACTTTTACCCTGACTATTAGATCCCCTTCCAACTCGACAGGCCATCATAGTAGCTATCGAGTCAAGCTGCCGAGCTAGTGCTAGCAGCGACTGGCATAGTAGAGATAGAGGCAGCGTGGGTAAAGCAAGAGAATTCAGCCCCAGAAACGGAGACAGCTTTGGCTATTTTATTTTAAGACGCGTTAGCACAACTCTAGTAACGAGATCCCGAGGGGGTATAGGGGCAAGAGTTTACTTACTAACAGGAATAGTGAGCTCATCTCCCTTCGGCCCGCAAGCACAGATAAGGGTAGCTTTGTCGGGATTATCTGAACCGTCCTTAGTTCCCATTAGACTCCCGCACGACCCAATATAACCCGGGCCTAACCCGGGCTGGGTTGGGTTTTAGATTGAAGACTCTAACCTAATATTAGGTCTAGGTTATAATTAGATAATCTAGAGTAGATCTAGGGGTATTGATAGGGGCACCTCAAGATTTTCGCTATTGACACCTCATTATATTATGTAATACTCATTTTGACTTATATAATCTTTTTTGATCTATTTTCTAATCACATGATCCTCTTATCCTAACCACCAAAAACAGATTACCTTATTTGGCAATAGAGCAACTTTGATATATATACCTAATTTCGTCGCAATTCGAACACTTTAGGGGCGCCTTCCTTTTTTTGATTGGTCTAGCCCCCTCGCTCCTATCTAATATCTGCGTAGATTGCCTTTTTGGGAAAGCAGTAGGCTGAATTCGGGGATTTAGCAGTAGCTACCAGGCGATATTAGATGAATCTTCAACCCTAATTCGCTAGAATGGATAAATATCAGCCAATAGGATTACTTCTTTTTTTACGAGCAAATCAGTAATTCGATGCTTATATAGTAACCCTATAGTACTCGTCTAATAATTGGTGTATATACTAAGAGGGGCCTCTAAGGTAGCCCTACTAGCATAGATTCGCTATATATCAATCTGCCTCAGTAAATATCGAGATACTCGCTTATTGAGAAAGATATATAGCTAATTAGATACTAGTATTAGATATATTATCTGATCTGCTTTAATCTAATATAAAATTAGATTATATTGGCTGGTGATAGCCTTATAAATAGACTTCTATATAGTAAGTAAATCATTAGTAGAAGTATTTATATACCGTTTTAGGACCGAATACGTCCCCTCGACACGTGATAATATATTATTACCAAAATAGGTAAGGTTTTTGGTCCAAGTATAGATAAATCTCTCTTTATAGGGTAGCTATATATCTGCGAGATAGCGTATAATTAGTGGATAAGATCTCCTATAGGTCCGATTAAGGTTATCAAGATTAACCTTATATTTATCTTCGGTAGATAATTAGACTAATTAATACTATATACGTATAAATTCATCGAATTAGGGAGTATTTTCGTCTGATTAGCTAATATCTCGTTTTACCCTCGCTAAAACTACTTTGTTAATATATTAAATATATAATAAATATAGGGTATAATACCCCTAGATACTATATATCGTATTTATTAAAGCTAATTCGCGATCAGTTACTAAAATCGGACGAAAATCAGATTTAGATAAGAGATTTAGCTAATCAAAAAAGGTCTAAAACACCTAAATATAGCTTATTTTAACCTTATTAGGTATAAAATATAGAGCTATAGTGAATATATGGTTTAATAGCGTTATATCTACTATATAAAATAGAGGTATACCAAACCGATTAGTCTTATATATATAATCTATAATAAAAACCTTAAAATATTAGCTAATAAAATCATATAAAAATAGATGAGATAAATACCTTATTATATAAATTGGCTAATTAAATTAACTAAGGATAAGAGAAAAGAAAAAATTCGATATACCCTATATTATCTTGCTTAAATAAATATTTATAACCTTCTGAATGAGTAGTATCTATAGATATTTAAGAATACTACGTTCTTCTATCTCTTTTTGTCGAATTTCTGCTCGTATATTATAGATATCGCGTGGTATAATTCGTTGATAAAGAGACTCGCTATATAGCGTACTAATAATATACTTCGGTCTAATAGTAGAGAGTCGTTAAATTAAGGTTTTCTACGTTAGGGTAAATTAACGTGCGATTAGGTGCGTTATTATATCTTGATTAGTAGAATGATTATACGCGGGGTTCTTTACCTAAAGTAGCTAATTAGAACTCCTCTGGCGACTCCCATATACCAAAAATGGACAATTTTGCCGCCGAGTACTCGTTTTACGCCTTTTGGCGCCTGCAGGCGCTTGTATTCGGTCCGAATATACCCCAGATCTATCGCAGTGGAGATAGACTTGCCTATCAGCATTGGACCGCTTGATAGTAGTAGCATACCCCTGCGCTATACCCCATTGGCGCATAAAATCGACCAATTCATCCCGATTAGGGAAGGTTCGTTGTGGTGGGGGCAGCAGATCGGTAGTGGCAGCGGCAGGCGAATCAGCATGCGAATCGGCAGGCGAATCAGTAGGCGAATTGGCGAGGGGGTCTAATAGGCAAATCGACAGTCGAATTGCCAGTGGTGGCAGCAGAGATATCGGGGGGAGTAGCGGCGGTAGGGGTGCTAGGGGTAGGTATAGCGGGGTTGGTTTGTATGGTATACATAATAGAGCAGACGAAGCAGATAGGGTATACAGAAAGCGAAGAACTAGCAGGGTAGTAGTAGAAGAGAAAAAGAGATAAAGCAGAATATTGAGTAGATATACAGTAAATAGTTGCTATAGTGATGAAAATTGATTATATCAGCGATTTTGCTTATGTCAGAAAATGAGGTGTCAATAGCGAAAATCTTGAGGTGCCCCTATCAATACCCTAGATCTAGGGCCTTAACTTAGGTTATGAATATAATATATATACTAAGGCCTATAACTATATAAATTGTATATTTTTTTATCTATAATATTAAGCATTTCTTTTATAAATAAATTAAATTAATCTTAAGATAAGCCATTAATTAGCTATAATAATAAATATATCTTATTTATCTTCTAGTATACTAATTATTAATTTAAAGATATTAAAAAGCTTATCGCTTAAAAGAAAGGTAATATCTAAATATTATAAGATACCATGTGACCGTCTTGTTGATCGTGCTCGTGAGCGAATCGCCAAGTGGGGCCAAGGAACTGTCAACGCGCAAAGGCGCAAATCTTAGAGGATTTATCTCAGGAGTGCGGGGATTCCTTTCATCTTCCAGTGTTTTCGGAAATCGGTGTCACCACCTACTCTCTTTGTTTCCCAAACCCTAATGCCAAGAAACGCTACACTCCTTTTAGAATGATGAAAAATAATCCCCCCAATCACACACCATGTATCGTAAATCACCGGATTATTGTATTTGGCTGCCCGGTGTTTATTACTATAATAGCTGGAGAGCTGCTACCTCGGTGTCCCGCGTCAATAATGACGAAAGTCTACCCTAATATACGCCATAAAGCATTACGTCCTGACGATTTGGCGTAATCCTTCATTGACGAGAAACATGTAAGGTAAGGACCATCCTTAAAGGGCTCATCGGTAGCGTCTCGGTGGCAGCCGTGTACTCTATCAAGAAAATATAATCATATGTTCTAACCAACCCGCTCAAGCCAAGCAGCTTTCGCATCAGTATCCCACTTCCACCACAGACCTAGTGCCTTATCTGCCCTTTCATTGACCTTGAACTCCAGCAACATCTGTCTGTGATCTGCTGCGTTGATTGCCCGCGTCTTCCGTATGTCTTCCCTCTGCTCGAAAAAGCTGTACACATCTTGCCGGTAGAAAGATAACGGACACTCCGAGGCCTCACGATAATTGAACAACACGAACAGTTTAGCATCGCATATCCCGTGACGGTAAGCGACACTCAGTGTAAAGCGACCTTTAAAGCCACAATAGTGCCCCAAATAGACCATCGGATCTCGCTCCTGGTCACTAAGGCGCCTGCCTTCTTTCCAGGGCTGCTCGATTTTCTCTCGGAAATACCTTGCAGCCAGCCCTGCTTCCACCTTCGCCCAGGACGTCAGATCCACTGAGGGCTTCAGGTCGAACAGCGCCTGGATCAAGAGCTGGGCTGTAAAATCACTCGCATCGCCAAAGTCCCTTCCGTTCGTCATTGTGACAACCGCACTCTGAGTCTCCGGAAACGTGAACACTGAAAATATCGAACCAATCATGCCACCCGTGTGCCCTATCATCTGAAATGGCTCGGCATCTTTTCCTAGGATATATCGTAAATGTAATTGATGATCTTTGTCTCGAGACTCAGAATTACCGCTCATCGCACCAAGCATCGAGGAAGGAAGCTCCGCTCGAAACCAACCCATACCATATGCGGCATCCTTGCTAAAGTCAGGATCATCGGCAGGTCGCGTCCAGTAACCACGCCGGACCCGAGCCATCTGCCTTAACGGATTGTTCGGCTGTTTAGCCGCATGGGTCTCATTTTCACTTCGCTCTGCGGCAAGTACAGCAATACACCAGTTAAGCATATCGTTGAGACTGCTCCGCATCCCAGTGGCGGCGAGTAGTGGTGAATGTTCTTCACACGGCCACGACTGCTCAGGCCCCTGAACGAAACGCCCGTCACTCAGCTTCACGCAAGGAACCGCCACATTACCATCATTCTCAACGTCCGATCTTTTCATTGCCGTCCTAGTCATTCCAAGAGGATCCAGAATCCTCTCGCGCACGAAGTCCGCAAAGCGTTGGCCGGTCAGGTTTTGGATAGCCTGTGCCACAAGCCCAACCAAGTAATTATTATACGACCATTCGCGGTTAAACCTTTGCCCCTTCTCGTCTGAAGTTGGCATCATGTTCAGCAGCGGAATGAGATCTTCTTCGCCAGTGAGAATGGTCTTTCGAGGGCCAATGCATAGCATAGATGGAGCGGTGAGCCCTGTACTATGCCGTAGACAGTCGATGATGTCTGCCTCCCGGCCAATGCGAGGATCTCCTTCCGGGTTAAAATCAGGAACGTGCATTTGAATTGGGTCCCTCCAGCTCAGCTTTCCTTCGTCGACAAGGATTGCGGCAGCAGCCGAAGTAAACATTTTGGAGCAAGAGCCGATCATATACATAGTATCGGCGTCAGGCTGAAGTTGTTGCTCGGCGTCTCGATGCCCGATGCTTTTTTTGAAGATGACTTTGCCTTTGTGGACTACTCCGAAGGTGATCGATGGAGTTTGGCATATCTCTCTGATTTGGTGGATTTGCGGTAGGCATTCCTCTAGACGTTTCAAAAGTGTACTTGAGACGTGAGTTGGGTCCGCCATTTGTAGAGGGGCTTGGTAATGAAGCAATATGAAATGAGGCTCGTCAATTTGATCCTAGGTCACACAGACAGTAGTGAAACAAATAATATGAGAGGCGAAGTGAGGAGAATTGGGCCGTGGTGAGTTAACTTAAATGTAGCCCCTCGTCGGGCCCAATACTGTGGATACTCGCCTCAGGGGTCACTATTATTTGAAACCCTCTTTTTGTGGGCCATTGACGAAATTGAGTGGGGTGCCAGTGGGGCGCCATCGTGGTGTGGCCACATATGGCTGATTGCGGAGACCCCCAGTTCCAAAAGGGTTGGATGGTTCAGAGTTGGGATATGGTTGTGTTAGGCATATCCTTTTACGAGAAAATACACTTTATGATGTCTTCAATTACTAAGTATAAGGAACAAACACGAGCTCCGCTGACACGGTACTCCCGAACGCTCACTGGTCTAACTTGGCGTTCGGGCTCGAGGAACAATCAAAGAGTGTAGAGGTAGTTATGTTGGGACTGGGGTTCTGTCAGTAGTTCTCCACCGCCTCCCTAACCGCCCGCAGCGCACCTGTAGGTGGCAGTAGATAGCTTCTCTTCTTCTCTCCTAGGACCTTATAGATAGATAATTTGATTGTCTCTCTCTTTTGCTCCTTTTCTTAGAGTTCTGCTCTCCCTAGCTTCCCTTAGTACTCCCTAAGAGGTTATAAGCCCGGCTATGTATTAGATCTAGGCGAAAGGCCTATTTCGCTAGTATAGCTAGGTAGTAGAACCGATTAGACCTGGATAGACCCGCGGATAACCTATATGGGTCGACCCGTGGGTTAGCCTATAGATAGATCGTGGGTCAGACCTCTTGACCTATAGGCGGGTTAAGATAAAATAATAATAAATAGGAAATTAAAGAAGTAAAAGACTATTAATACTTTAATAGAAGATCCTATTTCTTAATTAAATAGAAGGGCTGGCTATTAGAGTATAATTAGTAGATCCTAGAAGAAGATATAATAAATATAAAAAGAGCTATTATAAATTATAAGAAATAAAGATAAAAAAGATAAGATATTATTTAAAAAGAAATCTTATAAACTAAGTAGAAAACTACTAAAACTCTACTAGAACGATATTATTATTATTATCGTAAAATAATAATATAAATATAGAACTCTATTTAAAACTCGGGAATAGGAATAGGGAAGTTCTTTTTTAATTACTTTAAATAACGTTTAGTATTAGAATTATTAATTAAATTAGAGACCGCTGGATTAGGACTATATTTATTTTAGGATACTATCTATAGGGCCGTTAGAAGCCTCTACTTTACCGCTATTTAATATATAAAACTATTATCTCCTAGAACTAAACAAAGAAGACGCTAAGACTAGAACTTTCAGAGATACTTCTTTAAGAGATCCTTAGATAGAAAGATATAAATAGCTATATTCTAGTAACGAATATTAATATATATTATATAAACTTTATATTAAGCCTATTAAAATATTAGCGAAATTATATTAGTACCGGTGATCCTATTTATTATAGTTGATTTACGGGTGATAATAAGAAAGAACTAATAATAATATACTAACTTTATTATATTAAAGGCCTTTACGAGTTCTATTATAGCTTTTTTAGCTATAATTAGTATATTATCTTTTTATTTATTCTTCTTCTTTTCTTTCTGTCTTTTTTTAGGAGTACCCTTAGCTAGGGGCTCTAGGAATTCCTTATTTAGCTAATTAAGGATTATCTATAGATTATAGGTATCCTTAATTATATCTTTTATAACCTAAAGAATATTAGTATAAACTAAAATAAAGATACCGCAGAATATACTATATTATATAATATATTATAAATAGAATACTACTAATAGATAACCGAAGCCGCTATATCTAATTTATATTCAATAACGAAAGACGACTTAGAGTTATATATCTTAATCTTAGTCTAAAAGTATTTAGTATACTAGAGGAAAATAAATAAAAAGATTATAGAATACGCTGGTTAGTATAATAACTAACCTAAATAATAATAATAAGGTATAATAATAGTTATAGTAATAAAAAAATAATAGAAAATAATAGGAATAATAAAAAATAGATAATAGAGCGCGATAAATATAGTATAGAAAGAGAAAAGAAGAAGAAAAAAAGAGTTACTACTTAAAAATATAAATAAAGACTCGAATATATAATTTAATATATTTTTATTTATTAGTTAACTATATAATCTCTTTATCGCCTTAATAATAAGATAAACAAAAACCCCACAAAAAGATATCGCGTTAATATATCTATATTATAATAATAAGATAAATACGTTAATTAAGGCTATCTAATCTTAAGAGAGGGGATAATTATAAAGGGTCTACTAAGATAGTAAGGTATAAGGTTATTCCTAACTAACGGAAGGGGTAAATTAAGTAATATTATATAATCCTAAAAGAAATCGGAACTTATTACTTAATCTACTCTATAGTAGAATAATAATGATATATAATAGAGACCTAGTTATTTATATTATTGATAATACGTGGAGTTACGAAGATACTATATAATAAATTGATACTCCTGTATCTAGCTAGCAAGACAAGATTTAGTCTTAACAGTAATAAAGATATACTATTTCCCCTACTCCTTTTCCTTGTTTCTTTACCTGATCGATAGGCCTTATACCGTGACAAGTATATTCTTTATAAATTATCTATCTATATATTAATTCTAGACAAAAATAAAAGTAAATATATATTTATAATATATTTAATATATAAAGATAATATTTTAAATATATTTAAACTAAAATTATAGCGAAAATAAAGCCTAAAAATTTATTAGTATAGGATATTTAGATATATATAAAAGATAAAGTTAAACCCCCTAAAAAAGGGCTAGTATAGTTACCTAATTTTTATATACAAAGATATATTAATTTTATAATAGCTAAACGAGATATACTAAAATAAACGAACCTCGGTCAGCTAAAATATTAAGTAAGATACGTTAATAGAATATAGTAGTTCCGGTCTTAGCGAACCTCGCTCAGCTAGAACCCGAACAGGAAGGGGAAATGTGGAACGCGGCAGGCAGTCGGAGGCGGCGGAGCAGGCGTGCAATGGGCGCCGTTTCCGGCGCCCCGCTCACTGTGTTAACTAATACTCTCTACTCGTGAATAGCATATAGTTTAGCATAGATATTAATAGTTAAAGATGCCTTCTTTAGTGCTATAGTAGTTAGCAGAATAAAACTATAATTGACTAAGTAGAGTATTTAATAATACCGCTTTCCTAATTTAATATTCAAGAATACTATCTTCTTTAATCTTAGGTATATAGAGTATTTTTTTTATAGAGCTAGTTAAGCCCTATAGGATGGTACTTTTTACGATGAAAAATAGCAACATTACGGGATAGTCTATTTCCTGACATTTAGCCTCCAGAGATCGTGTTAGGCGGAACCCTGAGTGAGAAGGCAGACTTCTCTTCGGCGAAATGAGTGGCGCGGTTTATCACTTTATCCGCGTCCTGCTGCTAAGGGAGACTGTAGAATGCACCAAAACAGTATGTGGTGAAGGATTGCTCCTAGGGAAAGAGAAACCACTGGGAAGTAGAAGACGAGAAAGCGAGTGTTGGATTTCATGAATACGTCAGTCCATTAGTTAGGGAAATTCTCATAAGCAAGAGAGAAGCTGACAGACAAGATCCGCTAGCTCTACTACAGGGTTCAAATTTCTGGAACCGACTTGCCGCGCTGGAAGATTCATTTCAAATCAGAGTTGAATATTAAATAAGCAGCAACTTCACTCTTCTTTATTCACTTGTATCCAGGCAGAGTAAATACACGCGCCCACGGTAGATTGTCATACCAACCAAGCAAGCCCGACCAAATCGCCGAGAGACAATATTTTGGACTCTTAGAGTGCCTCCGCCCACTGTGACAGTGAGCATGATCTCGTAGGACCGTCCTTGATTCAATCTTCATCTTCATGTTCATATTCGTCTTGATATTTTTGCATGATTGCCAAGTCGCGTTCGAGAGGAAATATTTCTTTCGAGGCCATTTTGAAGTAATCTCCGAATCCACCTGCAAATGTGATATCGTCCTTATTGCCCTTAGGCACTTGGTCTGGGGTTGGGTCTCCTGCTTTCCAAATCGCGACCGGCTCGGAATCTTTCGTCGGGTCGATCCGATATACAGTTGTGACTTTGTTTGCCCGCGTGAGAGCAGGGAACTCCCAGCCTAGTAAATATCAAAACGTATGAATTTCCGAGCAACCCAGGGCATCAGCGAGCTCGAACCCCTAGGGCTCCCCTCGCTTCTTTCTATGGCCACAAGTGGAAAGGGTAATTGAGAATCACGTACCTCCCCACGCAGTATCCGGGTCCCATCCATTCACATCGTTGCTCGGATTCTGTTCAGAAGGGATAACAAGATAGGCATCCCCCTTGATTGTTTCCGCAATGGCTTGCACTTCGTTTTTCTGTGCAATATCTGAGGTCCAGAATGAAAGGATGGACCTATGATCGGAATCTTGGAGCTTTGTCTGCACAGCAGATTTCAATCGAATCATTCTTTCAAACAAGGAAAAGGGCAATTTGCTTGATATGCGGTCCCATATAGCATACTTCCACTCGCGTAGTGGCGCCTTGCGATTGGGATCTTGGAAAAACTTCGGCGCCCATTCCTCTGCAAGGCGCCCCATACCAGAGGTATAGAATACAAAAGGAACTTGACTCGTATATCCCTTTTGCAACATCACATTCGCAAAGGTATTGACACCTAGAAGTTGAGGAGGTTCGTCACAAATACCAATGTCGTTGAGGAGGTCGATGAGTGCTGTGTCGTCTCGGATCTCAGAGGCAACCTTACCCCAGTCTTGCTGGCGAGGCTGAATTGAAGGACGGAGAGATTCTGTCCGAAAATCGACATTCTTCGATCGGATTGGGGTGGACAGGGCCTCCTTGAAAAGGCAAGTCGCAAACAAAAAAGCTGGCAGGATCCGTAGCAAAGAGATCATATCGCTTACGGACGGGGAGACCGGCTCGTATAGAGGTTTCTAGTATCTCTTTATCAAGGAGGTGGAATCAAACTCGGCTGCGGCCAAAGAAACAATGAAAATTTTACCATAGATCCCTGAGGTGAGGAGGGTCCATTTTGTTATAGAACCTGGCGTTGAGTTGTGGTCTTTCGCCCCGGAGGATTGGAAGATTTTTTTCGTCCTGAACTCTTGGAACCAAGATACTGACTAGCCCAATTAGTATAAAATATGTAGACACCCCTATAGCGCACTCCGTCGAAGATTTGCAATAGATAAGCAACATACTTAATGTGAGACTGTGACGCCCGCCCCGTTCCAAGACCCTGAATTTGCCCGTGTCTCAGCAAGAAACAGCTCCTAGGCAGGAAGATCGGTGTCAGTTTTAACAATCCCCAGCACATCACTTTACTTCCGCTTACGGCTAGCGCTCTGCGTAGATCCACTTGGCTCCGATTCCTGCGTGAAACTATGTACATAAATTAGGGGCCGAGTGTTACAGAACTAGCGTCAGCAACACGCTAGCGGAGGAAGAACAAGAAGTGATGGCTAATCAACTTAGGATCACATAAAGATATAACAGAGAACTGTGGTATTATTCCCGCTGATTATCCTATAACGTAACCGGTAAGCGAGCGACGCACCCCACCAAACCCATAGAATTCAAAATAATTTATTTACACCACAACGCTAAATTAATTATAAATAAAGCTAGCTAGTGCGTTTTTTTATACTGATTTCTCCGCTGCCCAATCTCAAAGCAGTCACTGCACCGTGGAGGTGCGCGTCCAATTGGCTGCGAAGCCGTCTGAATAGCTTCATGCGCTTGGTCTGATTGGCCTTCCGACACCTGGTTTGGCGTCGATATTGGCCTTGGCGTCTCCCTAATCGTAACACCGTTTTCGAAGGTTATACGCTTTGTAGATTTGCTGCGTTTAGCCGTCTGCTTTGCGTTTGTATTGCGTAATAGCTCATTTTGCTGAGCTAGAAAGGTGGCGTTATGCATAGCAAGTTCGCACCCTTTGATAATCTGATCTAGGGGTCGCTGGGTAGGGCTAGTAGGGCTAGCTGAGCTCTGCCGAAGCAAGGCTGTTACCGACGATGCTTGCTTACCCAATTGCGTTGGGTTTTGGGGGGTTTTTAGTGAATATTGACTACCCCTACTCCCTGGCGGCGTTGGCGTTTTAAGCTGAATATTAAGCGTTTCGATCACTCTTTCGGAGTTAAATGGTACTAAACCCGCTGCTGCAAAGCTATTTTTTTTAGTCTCTGCTTTATAGCTTTGAGTGCGTGCGATTGGGTAGGCGTTGAAAAAACCAAGCTTGGTAATCGAATTCACCCCCGCGCGGATATCAGTAGACATGGACAGACCCGTCCCATGGGTCAAAGATCTTGACCTATGACCCAAACCCACGACCCATAGGTCGGGTTAATAAAATCCTGACCCGTCTATAGGTTAACCCGCGGGTTAACGGGTCAACCTATTTTTAACCTATTTTAGTATAAATTTCTTAATTAGGATAGATAATTTATTTATCTTTTTTAATAATATACTATTATTAAATACTGTTTTTGTTCTAATATAACTTATAATTATAACTCTTTATAAAAAGAATATTATATAGTAATAATATATTTAGAATATATAATATATTAATTTATTGATTTAATATTTTAAGATAAGAATTATATTTTATAATAGATAGATATAAGTAAAAGAAGATATTAATTAACCTTTTTTTATACTAAACCTAAAAATATATATTTAAAGTCTATAATAATATTACTATTTTTTATATAAATAAACTATATATATTAGAAATAATAAAATAGATATAAATCTAATATCTAATATTTCTTTATTAATATATAAGTATATTATAGTCTTAATTATATAAAAGAATTATTTTAAATATTTTTTCTAGATTTATATAAAATAATAATATTAGCTAGTTAGGTTAAAATTGTTTAGGGATAAAAAGAAAAATCTTAGGGTATTACTCTTACCTAATTATTTAGGTTAATAGGTTAGCTTATAGGTTAACCCGTTAATCTATTTCTTACTATCTAATAAACTTTATATATATTAGTAGAGCCTATTCTGATTAGTTATAAAATTTAGTACTAGGATAGTACTAAATTCTATCTACTAATAAGAAATAAATATTAGACCTATATATTCCCCTAAATCTACAATAATTTACTTTAGATTATTTTTCTATATCTTGAGTCTCTCGTTATAAAAAGGTTATATAGTCCCTCTTTTACTAGATATAATAAAATATATATCTTTTTATAGTAGTCTTTCTATCTCTATTAGAACTAGGGTTTTAATCTATCTATATAATTACTTAAAACCCTAGTTTTAATCTATCTATATATTTATTTATAGCCCTAGTTCTAATATATCTATATAAAAAGATTAGCTGGTTAGGTTAAAATTTTTAGGGGATAAAAAGAAAAATCTTAAGGTATTACTCTTACCTAATTATTTAGATTAATAGGTTAGTCTATAGATTAATCTATTAATCTATTTCTTACTATCTAATAAGCTTTGTATATATTAGTAGAGCCTATTCTAATTAGTTATAAAATTTAGTACTAGGATAGTACTAAATCCTATCTATTAATAAAAAATAAGTATTAGACCTATATATTCCCCTAAATCTATAATAATTTACCTTAGATTATTTTTTTATATCTCGAGTCCTTTACTTTAATATACTATTATTATATCTCTTCTATATCTTAATTATCTATCTTATACCCTCTCTCTCTTATTAAAAATAAGGGGTTTAAATTATCTATTTTCTATTCTAATTAACTTCTTAATACCCTCTTAGAACTACTAAAAAACTAGTAAACTAAATAAAGCCTCTCTTCTATTATATTACTAATACTAAAATAATCTAATAATTAGAAAAAGACCTAGATAATTTTTAATAATATAAATAAAACAGAATTTTTAAACTAGTAGCTTAATACCTAAATTAGTAATTCTTATAATACTATAAAATAAGATAAACTAAAAAGGTCTATAATAGATTAATATATAGTTATATTTTAATTAAGTTATATATTTAGTAATAGAAGAGCTAAAGCTCTTATATAAATAATATAGTAAGATTATAGACTATCTAGTCTATACTAAGAATAGGATAATAAGTCTTTAACGTTACTAGAATTAGAGTATATACTAGAAAGGCTAAAGTACTATTAAATATTTAATAATCTAATATCTTATAGAATATATAGTATATTATATAGCTATTATTTAATCTATAGGCTAATCTTTCTTAGGCTAAGAACTTCCCTTAAATAGCCTAGTTAATTATCTAAAAACTATAGAAATAATAATTAATTACTATAATAATTATTTTATAGCTTTTTTTTAAATTATTAAATATCCTAAATTCTAAATCCTTTTTTGAATAACCTAATTATTATTATTTATCTCTAATTTCCTTTTTTATTAAACTATATAATATTAAATCTAAGAAATAATCTAAGATTAATAAAAAGGTTTATTTTAGAAGCTTCTATCTAAGACTAAGCTCTCTATTAATCTTAATTATTAGATATTATTATTTTAATAAATATTTATAGTTATCTCTAGCTATTTTATTAATATAGATTAAAATTATTAAGAGGTTTTATTTAGCTTTGAACCTATTTCTAGTATATACTCTAGATAGAATCTTAGTATAATCCTTTTTAATATCCTTTAGAAATATTAGATTAAAAACTAAGTATTTATAATAATAACTAATAATATATTAAATAACTCTATCTTTATTTTAAGTATCTAAGATTTTATTTAATTATTAGATATTAACTCTAAGATAATAATTATTTAGGTTCTATATATTATATATATAATTTAGTTAAGTTTAAAGTAATTATTTAGCTAGATAAAAATAAACCTTTAGAATAAGATAACTAAGATTATTTAGTCTAAAGAATATATCTAATATATCTATTAAAAAATATAAAAATAAGATATTATAATAACTCTTATAAAGATATATATTTATATTTCTTATATATTAGTTAAAATACTAATCTATTTTATATTTTAGATTAGAAACCTTATAATCTTTATTAATATAAGCCTTTAATATTAGAAGTCTTTCTTTAGTCTCTAATCTAACTACCCTTAATTAATTCTAATTTAAGATATCTAAATTAGATAGAATTTAATCTTTTTAATATTTTAATATATAAAATAATTATAATTAGTCTTTAATCGATTTTATTCTAAATATAATTATCTTTATTTTAAAATTAATATAGATAAATAATATTAGATTAATTATCTTCTTAATATTACTTAGCTATTTTTTTAATTTATTATAGTCCTCTTAAAAATAAAGGATATTACTATTTATATTATTTTTACTATCTATAATAAGCTATTTAATTATCTTAAAAGGTTAATTAAATAATTTAATAGAAAAAAGATTAAATAGAAATAATAGATATATTAAATCCTTAAATTAGCTAAAGATAAACTCTATAAATATTACTCTATAATAAATAATAAAAAGCTTAATAATATTTATATAATTAGTACTATCTTAGTCTTTTAATATAAGATTAAATCTTTTTAAATTAAAAACTAGGACTATCTTTAGATAGATTATAGTATCTAATATTAATAAAATCTTAAAAATTAGCTTCTAAGCTATTAAATTAATAATATTCTAAACTCTTAATTATTATCTAAAATAAAATAGTCTTATTAAACTAATAAGCTTAATATATTTTTAATAGCTAATTCTTCTATCTTAAGCTCTTAATCTAAAATAATATAATATATTAAAAAAAGATAAATTTCTATATATATCTTTATTAAAATTAGGATTTTAAATAATTACTTAAAACCCTAGTTTTAATCTATTAAGTTTCTATCTTTTTTTCTTTATTAGAACTAGGATTTTAAGGCCTATCTTAGAACCCTAATTTTAATAAGGATATTAGTTCTAATCTATCTAAATATTATACTAATTATTATAATCTATTCTTTATCTAGATATTATCCTAATCCTATTTTATTAGTTCTAAAAGGATTATTAATATAAATTTCCTATATTTATAAATTTTATCTATAATCTTCTCTTAATTTTAGTTATTAATATTAATATTAAATAATTATTTAATTCTATATATAATATTTATTATTATTAATAAAAGATACTAAATATATCTATTATATAGGATTTAATAATATTTATATATATTACTAAATTTAAAGTTAAAGAGAAATAGCTTATATTTATTTAAGAGTTTTAAGAGTAAAATAAATTAGAAATTATAAAAAAAGAAAAAAGAGACCTAAAAAACTTATAAAAAGATTATATTAATTAGTAATAATAAAAAAGAGAAAGATATTATAAATCTAATAATTATAGTTAATATATTTTATTAACTATAATAAGAAAAGTTAAGAAATAATTATAAAGATAATTATAGCCTCCTATAGATTTTTAATAAGGTTTATAAATATCTATAAATACTTAATAATTATAAGCTTTAAAAATTAAAATTAATTAATATTTAAAATAATATTCTCTAGAATTACTTTTTAAGAATTATTTTTCTAATTACTATAAAAAATTATTTAACTAAAATAAATATAATATCTATAAATATAGCTAAAAATAATATAATTTATAAAAGTTATATAGTTAATAAAGTATCTACCTAAATAGATTAAATAGGTTAACCTATTAACCCGCGGGATAGGTTAAAAAAATCTTGACCCGCCTATAGGTCAAGAGGTCTAACCCACGACCCGCCCATAGGCTGACCCACGGGTCGACCTATATGGGTTGTCCGCGGATCTGTCCAGGTCTAGACATGATATCAGCGATGGGTTGACAGCGGGAGGTTACGTATTTGGGATCGTGTCAGTCCTGATTGCTGTGCTATTCTGTGTATTGGGCCATATCAATTGCCTCTAGTGTATATGTCTTACTTTCTCCACATAGGTTAGTTGAATCCATCGCCTATAGAAAGGGTCGCGCGAAAGTATTCATAGAAGAATTATTGACTGTACGACAAGAATTTATGTACAGTTCAAGGCCTACGTAGTGCTTCTGCGTAGCGACTGCTGATGGCAGCAATGCTTTCTTTGTGGTTTCAGAGTATGAGGGAAAGGATAGCGCGGCTGAAGGATGAATTGTAAAGGAGAAGAGCCTGCTCTGGATGGTATCTTGGGTATTAGAATTATTAGACTTATTAGACTAGGTATACATGTACAACGACAAGAACACGAGCAGATCGAAAGAGGGCCTAACATGGTAATCTACAGATGCTATAGGATCGGAGGGATGCATGCCTCCAAGGAATGATGTGTCTAAACCAGAGATTTTGCACGAGTTGAGTTCTCACCTACTTCGCCGTGTGTAGTAATCTTAGTGCGAGTATGCGAAAGTTTGTGCAAAGATCGTGCTGATGACGCTAGAGCACCTTAGGAATTTGCATCTTTTAGGTATGTATTAAAGACTTGCGAGCAAGCAATTACGACGAGAATTAAAGAAAAATCCCCGCGTCGTGGGTAGACAAGGCTGTTGGAGACAATCAGATTGGGATATTTTTTATAGACTAAAGATATTCTGTAGTTAGAAGTACCAGCTTCGGGGTCTTAGCTACTAGTTACAGATATATAGGTCGATGTGACCTCCACTGTGGCATTTTTGCTAGTGTTCATTTTGGAAACGATGCCCGTTCTGAAAACGCATCTGTTGTAAGGGTGCTGTACCCGCCTTCCTGCGGAAGTTGCCCGATAATCATAGGAATTGATTGGTTAAACGTATATTTATACACAATTATCACACGCTAAGGCGCGGGATAAACCTGCTCGAAAGGGACGATCAGTGATAAGTTTCTCAATCGCTGGTTATTAGATAGTGGATATTACGTCATTCGCAGCTCACCATATATCCATCACGGCCGGCTGAAAATAGGGATCTACATTACACAGCCGAACTAAACCAATAAAATTCAGTAGCTAAGAAAAACTATTATGATTCTAGACGACAAATCGATCGTTCGTGCGTATATTATAGCAAGATTAGGATACTCTCTCACATTATCTGCTCATTGGCACTCGATCGGCAGTGCACGTTTAGGGTCTCCGACTTATTCACCGCAAGAATTAGTAAACGTGTTGATTAGTTAACGTTATTAATGCCCTGTATCCAATCATTGAGCGCAGCGGTGGATGGCTTACGTATAGCGATCGACAGTAATCAATTTCAGTACCTAGAGCCAGCTATTATATGTGACGATCTCCTATATTACCTATGATATCGAAGACTTGGGAGAAGTATAAATACGGCCTCCCAACCTAACTCTTGATCTTCTCTCTAAGGTATCTTACACACGCGAAGTCTTGAAATCTTCCCAATCAGAGGTAAGACTTTTTTTTACTAGACTACAAATTCTCCAGATTCCACTCTATATATGTGAGTAGCCTACTAATATTGTATTAGGCTTATATTATATATAGGTGGTTTACCGGAGTACTAACTATTCTATAATTTATAGCGCAAAATGTCCATTCCTCCACACTGGGGCTACGGCAGCGCTGGTGGCTCGACTGGTGGTGGTGAAGCGCTTCCTAAGTAAGGAAAAGGAATTGTGTTGCCTTAGTATAGGTTTTTCCTAGGGTTTTCCCTATACTGTTAATGCAAATGCAGAGGCTTCTTCCTAGATAATGTGAGAATCAATTATTTTGTAATTATCCTTCCTACTGGGTGTCTCGAAACTGGTGTCACTACGTCTACACTTCTTGATTGTTCCACGAGCCCGAACGCCAAGGGTGGTTTCGGATGGTGTTTGCGCATCCTATTGATGTGTTGGAGGGACTGAATAGGATGCTGAGGGCTGTTATATTGATGAATATATGAGCAACCTAATAGAGGAGCATTTGTTGTTCAGAGGATTTTTCTAGCTAGGGCTTCTTTTACAACTAAGGAATACCTCAAATGTAGCAGGGTGACTCTGAAACTACGTATCGTTTGGCACACTGTATTTGATCCCACCAGACATCGAGGAAATGTAGATAAAGAAAGCAATTTACATTGTAACTATACTATCACACAAAAAGCCTAAGGGTCCATAGAACGCGGATATTGCTTTTCATAGGCGAGAACGCAGGACTTAGAGCTCGTCTTTCTGACCACTGGGAGCATGATCCAGCGTCAGAGTGTTCATATCCCAGGTTTTAACTTGGCCGTCTTGAGTCCTGTAGGCTAGCTCCTTGCTATCGGGTGAAAATGCACACCGGTTGACTTGCGTCCCCGCAGCGTCAAAAAGATAGACATTTCCGCTAGCGTGCGCGGATGCGATATACTTGCCATCTGATGAGAAAACAACATCACTGGCTTGCTTGCCGTCGTAAGCTACACTCAGATCACGGAGGTGTGACCGAGTGGCAACATCCCAGAGTTTAACGACAGGTCCGCTATGCGCGGATGCAATTATCTTGCCGTCGGGCGAGCATACAACATTGTACCTCGGTGTTCGCTCGGGCGAAGGCTCAGCTGAACCCAAACCGCGGTAAGACTATCCATCCCTTCCTACCTAGGTAGGTGTTCGGTGTTCGCTTGGCTTAGCTGAACCCAAACCGTGGCAAGACTATCCCTTCCTACCTAGGTATCTCTATGTCGTCTCCCTTCTCATACATCGCATGAGCTACAACCATGCGATGTGGGTGTCTTCAGTCCTCTGAAAACGGCATACCGGGGACAGGTTGAGCAGGCATGTCGGGCCGGGGTAAGTAACGTCGGCAAGCCACACTTTACCTATCTTTATGATCACGCCCGACAGGAGGCATTTGCACCCCGCAATATAAGATCTGCCTGGTCTAGAAGTGGCCTCTTCCCGTTCGATCCATCTCGCATCTTCTGAGATTTCCAAGTGTCCCCGTGCGGGGTTACGATTGCTCTTCTGAGTGGAATGCCACCTGAATTGAATCCGCCTGAATCCCTCCAGGAATGAATATATCTTCTACTAATCAGGAAGTCTAGAATTCGGGTTCTTTAGTAGCCCTATACTTCTTTTAAACTACAAATATCAGTTTCTGGAGTCTACGCGAGAAATTGGCCGCGTAGGCGGGGCCGCACTTATTGTGTGAGCTGAATAGTAAAGCAGGTGAGTAAAGACCGCGGAAAAGGCGCCAGGTTTCAGACATACGCCACAGAAGCCGATCATGGTAATTGAATTCCCATGGTCTAGAGGTTGTGAGTCGCTTTTCTATACACTTTTCATCTTGGTCAATTATCAGGGAAAAGCTTACCCGCATAAGGGCCGAGCCGACAACAATATTCACATATTTGAGGCACTCGTCATCTCCCCTGATCGTCCCCCGATCAGCTATGCGATTTGATGGGTCCGAGGGACACCGCAACGCCAACCGGACCAATATCAAATTATGACAGGCACCAGATCAATAGAAGTGGGAATGGACAACGCCATTCAGATCATAGACCTCCGCTTTTCCCTGAAGCGATCGACATGGATTAATTTCCCTGCCGATTCAGCTGAACAGTTCATGCATCACGGTGGAGATATAGTGTTCTGCGTCGTGAGAAATAAAACATCGCCCTTTCACCAAACGCAGTCTGAGAAACTGGGTTTTCGCCAAGTGGGTGTACAAGGATGGTGGTGGGGGAATGAGGATCAACGACTAAACTATATGGGTTACTAGATCGAGTGGAAGGGTAAAACTGAACAACCAGGTTGTGGCAAAGGACACGGAGCAAGGCCTGGCTCTAAAAATCCATAGAGCATATTTATCTGCAACCCGCATCCACCTTTCACGCCCAAGGCTGCCAGTAATAGATATGCAGGTCGATGTTGACCTCCACTGCGGTATTTTTGCTAGTGTTCATTTTGGAAGTGCTGTCCGTTCTAAAAAACGCATCTGTCGTAAGTGTGCTATGACCGCCTTCTTATTGAAGTTACCCGATAATCATAGGAATTGATTGGTTAAGGGTGAAGTTTATCTATAAATCACACACCAAGGTATGGGATAGACCCTACGAGTTTCCTAATCGCTGGCGATCAGCGAGTGGTTATTACGCCATTCGTAGCTCGCTGTATGTTTATAGCGGCCGGTTAAATAAGGGATCTGTATTATATAGTTAAAATTATCTAATAGAATTCAGTAGCTAAGAAAAGCCCTCATAATACTAGACGACAAAGCGATCGTTCGTGGCGATCGGTAGCAATGAGTACCTTGAGCCGGCCACCAGTGATAGCCCCCCTATATTACCAAAGACATCGAAGCATTGGGAGAGGTATAAATACAGCCTCCCAGCCTAGCTCTTGATCTTCTTTCGAAGTATCTTTCACGCAAGGTCTTGCGGTATCCCAATCAAAGGTAAGACTTGCTAATATATGATCATCTCCTTGTCTACTATCGGTTCACTAAATTTCTTATCAGACTCCAAATTCTTGAAATTATACTCTTATACCTGTAAGTAGCCTATCGAGATTCTATTAGGCTTCTATTATAGTGGTTCACTAGAGCACTGACTATTAGTATTATTTGCAGCTCAAAATGGTACCCCGTTGGGCCCCCTGGGACGGAAGCGCTGGTGGCTCGACTGGTGGTGGTGAAGCGCTCCCTAAGTAAGGAAAAGGAATTGTGTTGCCTTAGTATAGGTTTTCCTCCAGGGTTTTCCCTGTACTGTTAATGCAAATGCAGAGGCTTCTTCCTAGCTGATGTGAGAATCAATTATTTTGTAATAGCCCTTCCTACTGGGCGTCTCGAAACTGGTGTAACTTCTCAGGGAATACTAGGGGAAGCTGGGGAGAGCAGAACTCTGAGGAAGGGAGCAGAAGAGAGAATCAAATAATCTATCTGTAAAGTCCTAGGAGAGAAGAAGAGAAGCTATCTACTGCCACCTATAGGCGCGCTACAGGCGGTTAGGGAGGCGGTAGAGAACTACTAACAGAACCCTAGTCCTAATATACCCCCCCCCCCCCCCCCCCCTTTAGTATCGATACCGCAGACCTTAATCTTTATCGAATTTGCCTAAATCTCTCAAAAACGCAATAAAATTAATTAGCCTCTGATTCTCGTAGCTAATTAGAGCGCTAGGATACGTTAGTAATCAATTATATGACCTAGTAGGCTAATTTTATTATTATTATTATTATCTCTTTTCGAAAATTTGTTAATTAGTATTATTGCTTTTGTTATTTTTATACTAATTTATTAAAGTTTTTATTAATTTTATTAGAATTATTATTATTATTATTAATTTTATATTAATAGGTCCTAATTTTATTATTTAGTCTTAGTAAGGGTTTAGTAAGGTTTAGAGATATTTAGAATTTATTAAATTTAGTAATAACGAGAGGTTTAGTTAATCTATTAGTAATATTATTGTTACTACTAATTAGAATTGGTTTAATAAGGCCCTTCTTTCTTGTTTCTTTAATAAAGAAATAGCAATTATTAATCTACTTTATTATTAATAAATAGCTATCCTTCTTTAGTAAGATAACTATATTATTAGAATCGGTCTTAATATAGACCTTCTTTTTATTTTATAGTTCTATTAAATTAGCTAATTTAGTAAGGAATATCGCTTCTTTCGCTGCTAAATTAAATATATATAGTTCTATAATAGTTAAACTAGGGGTAATAACCTTCTATTTTACCGATTACTAGGAGATAGATATATTATTTATAAAGAAGATATACCTTTTAGTTAAATAGCTATTAGTATAGTCCTAATACAAGGTATTAATATAACTATATAAATTATTCTTATTATTATTACTAGAGCTATTTAGAGTAATCCTAAATTTTATTACATCTTATAGATAACAAAATATATCTTTAATAGCTATAAGGTCCTTATCGCGAGGTGCTATAATCCTCTAGTATAGTTTATTAACTATTAACATAAGATTAAAGTAAATCTTCGTTAATAACTAGTTTATTTTTCTAATATCTATTAAATAAGCTTTATTTTTATTATTTTTATTTAATACTATAAAAGCTTTATAACTATTTAATATTAGTAGTTTACTTATTTTTATATTAGTAAAGCTACTCTTTGCTAATACCTTCTTTATATAGGCTTCCTAATTTATTTAAATAGTCCTATTCCGGCAGAATAAATTATAGCCAGGAAAATAAGTTAGATTATCTAATAATTTAACATTAAAGGATTATATAAATTCAGCGATAAATTTATTAATATTAGTTTTAGTAAATACTCTTTTAATAATATTATTAATATATATTAAAATAAAGTAGCTCTTACCTTTTTTAAATATATAGGCGTCTTTAATTAATAGTATATTTCGGTTTTACCAAAGGGGTGCCGTTTCCGGCAACCCCCTCTCTTGGGTTTAGCGCCCGTCCGTCCTGGCCCCGGTGTGGTTTAGCGTTACCCCGATTAGGGATGGTGTCCTACGTTATCCCTTAATAGGTATTACTATCTTTCTCCGTCTTTACGGGCCCTCGTTAACTATATAATCCTACCAGTGCGTTGCTCGATCTCTCTTTTCTATATCCCTACGTTTCTCCTTAAACGGTTCCTCTAAGGCCGGATAATACTACTCCGACTGCTACTACTCGGAGATAACTATTTTTATATATATACGCTCCGCTTTCTACTTCCTTTATCTATATCGATAGTAATAAACGCTAGCGTCTACTAACTTAGTCGATATCGCCAGTGTGAGTCGCTGATCTTTTCTAGAGGGTATAATAATATAATATAACTAGTAGTTTATATTATAGTTCTATTTTATTATAGAATAATTCTATAAGTTCTATAATATCGATTGTTATTAGTATAGTGAAGAATAGGGACTATTTTATTAGTCTATCGATAATAATTAGTAATTTCTAGGTTTTTTTACCATTTTTACTCTTTTTAAGTAATATAGTTAAAAATACTATAATATAAAAGAAATTATAAATAAATTATCGATAGAAATTATAGAACTTAATAAAGACTTAGATATTATAGTAGCTTTTAGGTTCTAGCTACGAAATAATAGTATTAATCTATTATTAGTCTATTTATATACTATCTTAGTACATTTCTGTTACTAAGATTTCTTTTTTGATTCTATACTCGCGTTAGAAGCTGGCGTCGGAACATCAAAAATCGGCACCTATAAAAAACACGTCTTTTTAATATATCAGCCAACCAATAGAGGCCTCTTAGCCCCTAAAAACTACTATAGAGGCTCTTAAACCCTATGGTAGTAGTGGTTTACACGCGTCAACCCCCTAACTCGGCTATGTGGCCTCCTAGCTCGAAGAAGTACTAAATATACCGGATACCCTAATACCTAGTCGCTAGCTCTCAGAGAGCCTAATAGGCCCTCTAACCGATAATTAGGATTAAGGAAAGGACTACCTTAACTATAATAGAAGCTATAGACCCCATGAGTTAGGGGGGCCTAGTAGGGCACCTAACCGTATTAGCGAAGCCCGGAATAGGATTAGAAAGGCCTCCTAGAAAGAGGCGATAGGTAGGCTAAAATACTAGGCCTCTATTCTAATAGTAGGGGCCTTATAATAATAATAGGAAGATTACTAAAAGAACCTAGAATAGCTACGTATATAGCTAACAAAGGAGCTAAATAGCTAGAGAGCGGAGTAGCAAATCCGTGAAGACCTCTATATAGAGCGCGTTATAGAACTCGAAGTCGAGGTTAAGAAGCTCCGAATAGAGCTTATAGAGGCTTAGTAGACTATATAGTAGTCTAGATCGCTTATTAGACCCG